GCATTTTTGATCTAAACTGGGATAAAACTCGTTTCTATACACTTTTCTTAATTTTCATAGACTTGCGCATAAAGAATGCCATACGGCTACAGATGGCGGTAATGGCTGATTCTTGAGGGCTATCATTCTTGTGGTGCAGTTGAACCGAACCGCATCACTATGCCCGATATTCGTCTACACTAAGTGCCGCTCAATTCTGATGTTACCCTACGACGAAACTGTTGAGAAAATGATACTCATTTAAAACTAACTCACCGTCTGGGATTAAGTCATTAATAAGATCCGATGCCGTACACGGCAAAGTTATGTAGGAGAATGGAATTTGAGCTTTATTCTTCCCAAGTATTTACCATCCATCCAGCACAGACCTGGGATTATTTGTTAATAAGAAGACCATATTTCCATATTTCATGATGCTTTGCACTGGATGACTAGTTGGCAGATTGCTTCCACAAACTGAAGTAAAAAAACAGGAAGCATGGTGGGCTACTCACAAAAGTGTAAAATGCCCTAGATATAACTCCGAAATATAGACTGAGTGAGGCGGTTTCCAAAGAAAGTCGTTTTTAGCGGGTAAATGGTACAGGGCGCTTACAACACAGTATACTGAGGCAACCCAGACGCAGTTAGTGATTTAGGAATTCACTGGGATGGGCTCTATAGCTTCATCATTATTTGTAAGGCTTTTTTTATCTATTGGATGATGAACTGCCTTCTGTATATTTGGCTGTTTTCCCCACCTCATTCGCTCACTACCTTGTTCTCAGAAATGAAGGCTCAGAACCTCAGTCAGGATTCTGCAGTTATACAAACTGCTGGTAGGTAATTGTTTTACTCATTTTGATAGGCAAGCTAGCTTCTACGGGGTTATTATGATCTACACTGTATTAAATCTGAGAATAATATGTAAAGAGACTTGAGTTTTAGGTACGGAGATGCGGGATTACATAACGCCGAAGCAGAGGAACACCTTGCTAAAACGATAAATTATGAACCTTCTCTTTTTATCGAAATCTCATAGCATACAAAGGCTGTTTCCAGAGGAGTCCGTGAGAGTTAGAAATCCACTACAACTCCGTGGTTACTCAAGGCAAATTGTGAAAGAAATTAGGAGCCAGCCAGTTACACTGCTAGAACGGTTGGTCTCAGCGAGAAATAATGCCCACAGTGTGGCCCTTCATCCTGCTAGAATCATGCTTCGCCTACATTGCCTGGTGTTTCTAAAGTCTTACCTACCTAACCTGGTGACCCAGCCCTTCTTAACACTGCGTAAGTTGGTGAAGGGAGAAAAAAGCGCTTACTGCTGTTCAGCGATATGTTTATTGAAAACAGTAAAAAGAGGGTATATTTATATGAGATCACACTACGAAAAACAACCGCGAATTTGACCCTCGAAAATCCAGTTGTCCTTACTGTGATCCAATCGGAACGGACAAACAAATTGGACGTCGAAGGCAAAACAACCAGGGTTCAGCTGAATTGACGATTTTCGTTGGTCCCCTATACTTTGTTTTCTTGACTCCACAACTTAATTCTTGATTTTGAACGCTGCTGAAGAGAAATATTGTGAGGTAGTATAAGAAGCTCTTTTTCTGAGCTGCATACTACCACCAGAAAACTCAGTTTTTAGAACAGACCACTGATTTATTGGCTACCTGTCGGTAGCAGTTCCACTCATTCCTAAAACTACATTAAATTATGGACCCTGAAGCTACTACGTTCTGATTCTGATCATGCTGTGGTTACAATCTTGATTTTCGCCCAGTGGAAGCACTTTTCAGCCTTGCAAGCAACTTTTCTATATCTGATGATGTATCCTTTGGAGCAGCTTTTAAAGATAATACTTCAGTTTAGACCCCATCTTAAAAACGTATAGTCCCCTCCAAACAGTAAACATTGTGTAAGTTTGGTCGAAAGCAGTGGTGGAGCAGGAGTTGGGAAAGCCTTATTTCGCTTGCAGCCAATTTATCAGTTGCCACAAAGTTCTTAATTGTTGGAAAATCTGTGTGTGCACTACCGACCAGGACGTAACCACTGCGGAGAAGGATAGAATATCAGCAGGCACGGTAGCATCATGTACGATTAGCAAATGAAGTGGGAGAAAGCTAACAATGAAAATCTGATGTCACACTTTGTATAACTAGGTATACTCTTGGCATCAACAAAAGATGATGCCTGGATAGGTTTAGATCTCATAGTTGATGTTTGGTTGCTTTGTCGACTTTGGTAGTCAGCAGTAAGGAGATCAGATGGCAGGTCAGCCTGAAGTATTATTCATCCAAAATAGGCGGCACACAGGTTGCATGGCCAGCCCATATATGGAATCTCCAAGATTTACTTTCTGTAAACTATCAGTAGCACTTAAGAGTGACAGCCGACATATCATTAAATGCTGCCAATATGGGCCTAATTTTATATTATGATTTCCAGGTATCATTTCGGATTAACGCCTAAATATTTTTAGACGATGAGGGTGTTGACGTTAACGTATAATACAAAGTATACCAGCACAGGATCTGATGCCCATAACTTCTGTGGTGTTTGTTCCGCGTAGATCGAAGACAAAGCAAATAACCAGAATTGATCGTCCACATTATGAAGTATATTTCGAGACCAAATTGGAGTGCGAGGATGATTGTTTAACTGCCTGGGGATCGTGCGCCGATGAACGAACGTAAGAAATGGTGTATAGGCTTGACCACAAGCCTTCGACTGAGGAGGTCGACTTAAACAATGAGTGTCAGCATCCTCTGTCGTGCGACGAATGATTTGGCTGGTGATTCTGGATAATTACTTACCGCCAAAGCTCATTCTCCCCCGGTGGCGTTGTGAGGATCCTATGGCGAAATTAACCGGAGGTAAGAGGCCCATGGTGTTACCATCAGTAAAACCTTCTCGACTGGCTTGATGGATTATTTACTGGTAGTCTACCGCTGGTAATTGGGTGTTTGCATATCCCTTCGTTTATGTTTGTCTTTTGGATCTCGTACTAAGTTTGCTTCTTGTTCAGTGCCCATCGCACCTGGAAAAGAAAACAAGAATGCTGAGAACCCCGTCGAAGAAAATTCACCCAAAATAGAATTTGAATAATGGTATAGATCCATCACAATGAGAAATAATGTGAAAGATAGAATATCCGGGAAAAATATAATTTTTTATTGGATATAACTTATATGGTTATAAAATGCTTTGGTATTATGTCGCTGGATGCAATGAAAAAATTGAGAAAAAATATGCCACAAGCGCGATAGACTGGGTGGGCTGAATCATCCTGTTATCTGAGAAAAGTGTGAAGATTTTCTGCAAACCTCACGGTTCATCCAGAAAGCGTTTTCTTCGAGGGCTCAATAGATAGTTCGGTTGCCTCCGCCGTGCTAGCGATTTCCTCAAGGACTTGTTTATTATCGGTAATGCTTGGTTCGAGGCTCACGGGATTGCATTCTGAGTAGGCCGGTTTCAGACGGGGGATGCCAACAAAGTCTCCACGGCCTCTTCTGTTTAGGAAGAAAAATTTATCCGTACCTTTAAAGACTTCATATCGTAAATTGTATGGAGGCTGCAGAGGGCGACTTACGGAGCCACGACGAACAAATACATGTAAAGAAATTTGCAGACACAGATGAACAAAGGCTTCTGTGGATTGTGGTTGTAGAGAAGTAGGTTTAAATGAACGTATTGCATTTGTGGGCCTGCTGACTTGCGTGACGTGGTCTGCAGCTGATTGGGAGCTAGATGGAGAAGCAAACTCACCTGGCAGTCGTAGTGTTGCGTTATACGCTAGCTCAGCAGCAGTAAAACCAGCACCAGTTTTCGAGGAATTTCGTATGTACAAGAGAACCAACGGAAGTAATTCAGTCCAATGTGCATTGTTTGCAGCCGATAACCCAGCCTTCAAATGTCGGTGTAGACGTTTTACCATGCCATTTACTTGAAAATGGTAGGCTGCTGTTCTAGAACGCATACAACCTGTGAATTCAGTTTAGGCTAAAAATAGGCCAACCCAGATTATTTGTTATGGAGGATGGGCATCCAAAGTTCGCGATCCGACAGAAACGCGTACGATTGTTTCTGCAGATATTTCGCTGAGGAGTACTGCTGCAAGTCACTGAGTAAGACGGTCAATGCAGGTCGAAATATAGGTATATCTTTGAGATTCTAGAAGGGGTCCAATCGTATCTTTGTGAACGTGTTCGAAACAAGCAACAGGGATAAGAAGGGTTCCAAGAGAGCTTCTATTGCGTCTTACTGCCTTGCACTTCTGTCAAGCTAGGCATAAATGAGCCCATTCTCCTACTTCCTTATTAATATCAGGCCAGCAAAACCGACCAGTTATGAGCTTGACGGTAATATGAATACCTGGGTTGGATAAGCCATACAACGTATTGAAGACGTTATGGGGATAACTTTTAGACGTAATGGGGCGAGGAGTACTCGTGGAAACGTAACATAGAATGGTGTTTCTTCCAATTTGATTGGACCCAGCATAAAATAGTTTATCATCAATTCTCACGAATTGTGCGACTTATCATGTGATGGAGTTACTAATTAAATGTATTATTCCTCACGCATTTTGTGATTTAGCGTGTAACCGATTCATCTTCTTTTGTCTCGCCTTAATCTTTGTGTGATCACCAACCAATCAGGATGGATATTTCCAACATATAAGAACAACACATTCACAAGGTGGTAAGCCGACTTTATTTTGATAAAGAAAATGTTTAAATATCATGTGGTTTCTTAAACTATATAGTATAGTATACTACAGCATCTTACAGTCACAGGCCAGCCTTTTTCTTTTGTTATTTGCGTGGCTCAGTGAGTCAGAAGGTATAACGGACAAATAGAGGTATTAGAGTACCAGTCGAGTTCATTACCGTTTTAATAATTAACAGGCTCAGACATAACTACGTAGCAGCGAGTGTATCCCTTTCATCTCAGTTACAAAAACTGGCAATTAAGTTATAACACTATACCGAAGGGTTCCTCGGCCAATTGCAGTCTGAACATCAGTCTGAATTACTTCAGCTGCAGCTTTTACTGATGATGAATAAAACCACAAACAAATCAACTCACCAACCGTTTCACTCATCTCTAAGGAACATACCTGGTAACTGTTTCGATATCACCTTCTAACTAAGCTCAGGGGTGCGTGGGAAAATCTTTAACACTTCTTAGTTTGGCTTTTGATATTCAGTAGAGATTTGAAGGTCATTGGAACGTCTGATTAGAAGCGGCTGTTCGAAGTGTTGCAGAAATGGGTTTATGAGTTCCGATATTTCATATTTTATTTCCTAATGACTTCAAACTTCGTTCGCCCTCCTCCAGCTCCAGTCTTCAACCCAACACTTGAAGAATTCACTGATCCTATCAGTTATGTACACCGTATTTCCCCAATCGCATTTAATTATGGCATTTGTAAAATACGCCCACCAAGTGTAAGACATTTATTTCTTCTGTAACGTAATAATTTTATTAGGGATGGAAACCACCATTCTCAGTTGATCAGGAAAATTTTACTTTCGTACCACGAGTTCAGGAATTATCTGATGTTTGTGCATACAACCGTGTGAGGTATCATTTTATCACATCCCTTATACATTTTTGGGAAGCACAGGTATAACTAAGTATTTTTGAAGACTTATTTATAGGATGTCAACTTATTCGTACCCCAAATCAAGGGGAAAAGCGTAGACATCTACCGACTTTGGAAGCAGGTGAAATGTGCTGGTGGTTATTCAACTGTTTGTGAGAAAAAGTTATGGTGTAAAATTTGTGAACAGATCAACTTGCCGGCAACTCCATCTTTCGCTTCTGTCCTATCTTCACACTACAAGAAATATCTTTTGCCATACGACACGTTTCTTGCCAGTGAACCTGTATGTTTGATTTTCCTACTATTCTAATATATAGGCAATGAATGACCAGGATGTTAAGTCTACCCGCTCAAATCAGTTGCACAAGAAGAAGCCATCGGTACGTAGACCTTTTCATAATCCGATCTTTTTAGGTTGGGAAAATGGTGTGTTCTGTATGCAAACTCGGTAATGATGACGAGTATCTCCTCTTGTGTGATGGGTGTGATACATTTGGAGCCTGTCATACATACTGCCTTGACCCACCTTTATCTGATGTACCGAAGGGAAATTGGTACTGTCGTGACTGTGTGATAAGAAGATACAAACAGTTGAACAAGTTCGACGCATTCGGTTTCAAAAGCTCAAAAATGAAGTATACTCTTCATACTTTCGGAATTCACGCTGATGATTTTAAGGCGAAGCATTTTGGGAAACCTACACATGTAATTTGTCTAATCATCCTAAATGGGACTTTTAGATGGTTTCACTTGAAGAGGCTGAGACTGAATTCTGGCGTTTGGTTAATTCTGAAGATACTGAGGTAAGCGTAGAGTACGGGGCTGATCTGAATGCTCATGAACATGGATCTGGCTTCCCAACTTTACGATCAGGAAGAGTCAGTCAAAAACTAAAACATTACATTAATTCACCGTGGAATCTAAACAATACTCCTTTGTTAGATGGTTCAGCTCTGAGATTCTTACCAAGGGATATTTCAGGAATGATTGTGAGTTCTGTGTTTTCATATTTAGTTCTTACTGTTTAGCCACTTATTGTATACTGTCATGCATATAGTAGTTCGTACTGGAGTCGGTTTCAATTTTATCTCTCCGTATAATCCCCAAAACTACGAAATAATAATCGCTTAGCAAATATTCAGTCAACCCTAGTGAGTAAGCGGGTGACCATAAGAGCTGTACTAATGGAAGTGTGACAACGTTTCTGTCTATGATTTTTTTTGATTTACAGCTTGATTCCACACTGTATTTTTGGTACAAGTATGGAATTTTCAGCATGGATATCGGTAGCCCAAATTTTGCAGGCCGACCATAGATATCAGGTGTGCGCCGGCGTGGGCTCGAACCCCGGGCCATGTGCATGGTCGGCGAGCGTCCTAACCACTGTGCCACCGACGCACAAAATGATCGAAATATTATGTCTATCGTCCGTAGGAATGTCTGTAGTAAGGTAGTTTTTCGCTAGGTTGTAGGACAAATAATAACAGCATCAGTTTGAATCTAAGGTCTTTTATCTTCCCATAATTCAGAATATATGTTCTATTTGTGCATGCTTTTTAAGTTGACAACATGCTGCTTGACTAAACTGTACGTAACCTGCCTTTGGTCTATTATAAGCGTGCCATGGATGAGGTAGAAAATTTCAGACCTAATTAGGCCAATGAAAAATGACAGGCTGCGCGAGTTCCTTTTTGAGATAAGTACAGTGTGGGCAATTTCTAGGTCCACTGACTTTATTCAATTACACGTACTGGACTCAACCCCGCTTGTTGTCTCATGTGTTTCTTCATACTAAGTGGTTTTGTCACTAGTAATATATTTAAAATCGTGGCAGTTCCACGTTCGTGAAGTTTCCATCATTGTCTTGGCATTTCAGAAAGGTGCTCAATTATTCGGGTTTATAGGCTGACGATTTCGGTGTTTGGAATTCTGTGCAATCATTGTTTGAGATATCCATTTTCACCATGGTCATCATGCGAATCGAAATGTTGTATACATCCCCCACAATGTCGTCATATTCACTTCGTAAGCTACCAAGCCTATATTACACAGTTATTTGAACTGAAGTTGATGTTGGCTTAAAAAAGTAATCGAATTCGAAAACTGCTGCTAGGCCTGACTTTTGTCACTTCAACATATCCGTTTATTGATGTTATAAGTTGTTGTCTTTTAAATGCTGTGCTTATATACTGAATCGAAGACATGAAGGCTTACTAAGGAATATTCCTATTTGTAAACATCTAGGGATATTGTGTGATTTTTCTGAGGAAAACATTTCATCTCTATTGATTTATTATCCTGATCAGAACATGGTCATGCTTTATTCCTACAACAATGATAATCCTATTCACAACATTTGAAAGGATCTCATTGTTTTTATGCCAATGGGTTCTCTAATTTCCGTAAATATTCTGGAATGATAAAATTCCACTCGTCGGAATCAGCGTTTGACGTAGATGTTTTGGGTATTCGATGATGTAATTACTTGTAGTGTTACTTAAAAACCTATTTGCCATAACTGAAGGGAACTTTTATTTACGTGTAAGTTTTGTTGTTCTTCAGTGTGCTGGTTTTTTCTTTTATTTTTGCAGTCAGTCAGTCAATCATTCTAGTTTTTGTCACAATGCACATTGTGAAAGTTTCACAAAGGGGCAAAGTTCAACAATAGCGTCCCAAGGGATGCGAACGCACGAGTGACCTTCAGGCAGCCAATCATAAAAATGAGGAATTTTGCACGAAAAATGACGTATATTCACAAAAAATGCATGAAAACACATTAAACGGATTATATTTCTCTGATATGACTTAAAAATACGTTCCAGCTGCGATGAAGAGTATCAGTTGCTAATTTGGACTGGTTTCTGTAGATGTATTCACAGATTCAGATTCAGATGATAAGGATAGAAGGCTCTTGTGGCCTGTGTTAATCCTTGCAAAGTATATCTCTGCAGAGATCTAACTTCTCTTTGAAAGCGTTCACCGATGGAGCTGATACTACCAAAATGACTGAAAGTGTGCTGTTTTGGGAATGGTTCATCCCTCTTCTCTTTCTGTGTAGTCCTCTCCTAAGCCCTCGGTTTAGTTACTATGGTTCCAGTAAGAGCATTGGCGACTACATACAAGGGAAATAAGGATAATAAAAGAACTTGAAATAAACGAAAAATCTATTCCTAATCGCTACCCTAACCTTAACCCTAAACCCTAACCATTGTACCACCGACGCACACAATGACCGTAACCCTAACCACAATACTCGCCTTAACCCCTATCCTAACCCTAACGAGATGTTAACACATTGTCCAAACAGTAATAAAAGTGTTATCTGGGTGAAACTTGCTCCTTATTTGATGAATAGGGTTGATATTTCAGCTATGATAATGACAGGAAACAATTGGTCAATGTTTGAAACAATCATCTTTGGTATATTCGGTCGGATATTAAGTATTTGAACAACAACTGGTCGTTCATTCTTACAGGGGCTAAACTCTAATCCGTATACAAAGAAATGAATTGAATAATCACTGTTTAACGGAAAAGAAATATCCAATGAAGAAAAATGCAGTAGTCGGTAGGTGACCGATGAATCCTTAGTGTTTTATATATGCGGTTGCATCTTAAAGATGTGACGCCACGACCATCACCCCGTGGTTCATTTCTACCTTTCTTATTTCTTCCTTGTGAGTTAAGTCCGCTTACCTACCATCACATTCGAACTTCTCCTGACCGAATATTTGTGGAAATTCGTCCCTTATGATACGAATAAACTTCATTTATATTATATTGAGCTAACTAATAATTCAAACTACATTCAGAAGCTTTTTCGTTACAATTGATCACCACTGATTTGTTATATCACCGATTATAATAATCTTGAGACAGTGTTTTATTGATTGAACTGGACTGAACTACTTGCTTTTATCACCATAGGTGTCACTGTCTAAAGTAGAGATATTTTTGTGATAGGTGTATTTATTTATTTGAACACAGATGGTGCATAGTTGCTTTGCAGTGGTTAAAGGAATGTGGCGTCAAAACATCCAGGTGTCCTGTTAGTAAAATTTTTTTTGTAAATTATTTCACCTCACACTTTATTTTATTTAATGGTCATTTCACATTTTAGATACCGTGGTGCTATGTTGGTATGGCATTTTCTTGTTTTTGCTGGCATACAGAAGACCACTGGAGTTATTCTATAAACTACTTACACATGTAAGCCTTATTATTGCTATTTTTTGATATGCAAAATGAGTTATATATATATATATATATATATATATATATATATATATATATACCGAGCATATTATTATATGTCTTCCTTAATTCTTAACTTTGTGGAATACAAACCAAGTTGAGATCTTACATCCGACTATTTTATTTCAGCTTTTGCCGTTAATTTCACAGACAAAAGTATTCTACCCACTCGACTACAAAGGAAGTGGGCTCAGAGACAGGATCTGCTAATCTCTCGAGACTGGTGGAAGATACAGTTATCTAGACAATAAGTTTGGCAGTATATTTCATCTCCTGAAATTCACAGATCGGTAATCACTTGTGATGAATGTTTCTCAAGACAGTAAATGCTCAGCTCAGGAAAGTGTGTGATCTGTGGCAGTGCATTTTCACGTGGTGAATATGCTAGTTTCCTCGTAATTTCTCTGTTGGAAAGTCTACAAGTTGTGAGACGGAAGCGATTGTGTTTTAGCTGTTGGAAAGAATAAATTACAAAATCGGGCTATGAAAGAGTGGAGGGTGGAAGCAGTGATTTATATGTATTACACTCGCTTTTGATGATGCAAAATAATTTTTCGAATTCTGTTTACTGTAATAGTGCTTTCAAGCCTTATGACGTTCAGAAGGTCTACTTGTATGTGTCACCAGTAAGAGTAAAACGACCAAAGTCATTTGCTGATAAATACACATTATCAGATATCGGATCAGACGTGTTATTTGTAGATGCCCAACTGGCGGACCGGTCATATATCAAGGGCACGAAAGAGTCCATTGTGCTGTAAAGTCCAGCTCTTCTAACACGTTAAAGCGTGAACTAGTGTTGTTTCATGTAAAATCCCCGATGACTGGACAAATTTTTCTTGCGAGTACTGTATATATTACTTCCAGTATGAGGCTTGATGGGGCCGTAATGCCCAATTGTGGAACCACCATCAGCTAACCACACCTGTGTGATATACCGTTTCTTACACTTCAACACGGTAAAATGAAGCTACTGTTTGGGGGCAATGTACCAGAAGTTCATTAAGTATAAGAAGAGAGATACAGGAGGTAGAGATTGCCTGTACGCCACTGAAATGGGGGGCAAGGGGGCTGTATCGAAGGCTCAGCACCTTATCTCCTCCCGTTCAGGTTCACGGTTGTTGGTGGTTAATGATTATGACTTCAGTCTAATAACGCGAATCTCATAGCGCTATTAAAATATTTGTGTAAACAAGAAGAATGGGATGTGCATCGAGATTTTTGGCGAAGACTTCTCCGGTATTAGACCTAAGAAAGACTACATTGCTGCAAAGCAGAACCAGGCTTGATGAAACATATTGAACCCAACATTTGATGACTGGATTAATATTTTTACGACTCCGAAAGCGGTTCAAACAGACACACACATTTCAGAATTTTGATATAATTTTAAAATTCTTTGTCTGTTACACCTCCATCAGCATCTAAAACAGTCGAAATAAACCTAGTTTTTTTAACTTATCTAACAGTTCATTGGCAGCAGTGAACGCACGGTTGAATTACTATAAGTACGGCAAAGTACTTTGTATTTCGATGCACACCAGCTAACTAACTGATTGTAAATCGATTTTCAGATAATCGATAGTGATGGCGCCTGAAGATGGTACTGGCTAAAAATAGGCTGTAATGTACTCGTATTTACCGAAGATGGTTTCCGTTATTAAATCAATGACTATCTAGACCCTATTGAGCACCTAAAAGACTTTTTTGATTCCGAAAGTTTGACGTCTGCATTCAAGTCTCTAGCTTCTACTACTTATATTGGAGTAGAGCTCATTCTTCGTTTTATCTGAGCTGAAATTGCTGGATATGTAGGTAATGAAAAACAACACTTCTCCTTCTAATCGCTCCCTACTCCAACTTAATCTTCTAGTCTAATTGCCATTTCTATGAATATAGGGTCAATTATTCTACCTTTGACTATAGAAATCCTTGAGATACCAGATAAGCTGGACGCCAACGTAGCGGGATCCTAGGGATAGTTAGATGGTTGATTATAACTATCTCACTGGGATCATGTACACATATATTTGATATGCAGTATACATCGATAGCGAGTAACCAGACAATATGATAATATTTAATATTTCTGAACGGATAGCAAGTTTTCCAAGTATAATGTCAACTCTACCGATTCACTATCCCGTATCCAAGTATCTTTAGGTGCTTCTTTTGTCATATTTTTCTTTATATCTGCTAGAATTTCACTCCATAGTAGATGACTAATGGTGTTAAATGTCACTGCACCTAGTAATATGCTTCCCACGAGAGTGTAAATATGATTAATTTAATGCAGACAATCTCTATGTTTTATTGATTTGGAATGTTACAGGGGTGAACCAAAAACTTGGTATGGAGTACCAACGAACTCTGCCGACGCCTTCGAATTGGCTATGCGATCTGAAGTTCCCGAATTATTTGTCAATTCTCCAGACTTACTACATCATATGACTACAATGGTTTCACCGCATAGACTTCAGGCATATGGTGTCCCTGTTTATCGTCTTGACCAAATGGTTGGTGAATTTGTGGTGACATTTCCACGTGCATTCCATGCCGGTTTTAATCAAGGGTTCAATTTTGCTGAAGCAGTTAATTTTTGCCCTCCTGACTGGGTAAGTATATTTAAAGCTTCTTCTCTTACTAATTTTGTTGGGTTTACGTTTGTGCCTCTTTTTTAGAAGGCATTTTAAGGTGTTTTGTTTGCTGCATCACTGGGATTGTAGCGATAAGTTTGAGAATACGGCAATGTGAAATATTTTTAGAGTGTTTTTAACAAAAGAACTTGAGAGAACTGAAAATTAACTTTTGCGAGTGTGAAATCAGAAAATGAAAAGTGTCGCTGACTTATATCGCGATGTTTTAAGCTTATATACTATGAAATCTAATCTAGTGGCTTGTGAGAAAGTGCATGCTTACTCCTGAACTTATTTAGTGAGCATCGTTTCAACTACAGGCGGCACGAATGAGGATGTCAAAGTCAGGGTTGTAAAAGCCTTAGGAACATCCACTACTCTGAAATCAGCGTGGAATTCTGTTATATAATTAGCATAAACGACAACATTCAGATTTTAAACATTAATATCAAGTCAGTACTTCTGTATGGTTCAGGGAATTGACTCGTACATCACTAAAAACATTTCGAACAGGCTTCAACAGTTGCCTTCGCTTGATACTGAAGATTAAATGATCAGAAAATATAGGCAATAAGAAACTCTGGGAACGAGCCAAACAAGGAAAAATTGTGCAACAAATTGGGAGACGAAAATGGAAATGGACACACCGAGGAGACCGTTGAGTGACATAGCACGCCAGGATCTCGAGTGGGACCTGAGTAGGAAACGGCGATTTGGTTGCCTTGACTGACGTAGAACTTTGCACCGATGTGCAGCAGTTCGAGTCGCCACACTTCACTTAGCATACAAAGCAAGAGAAAAAGAAAGTAAAAAGAAATGCAAAACGGAGATATTAAACAGAGATATGAGGTAAAAAGAAGAGTAATATCGAAGAACCGCATAGTTTTATTGGATATTATATGTCACAAGGAGTGATTGCATCTGCACCAGCTATCAATGAGAACGATTTTGAGCCATATCACCAATTGTTTCCAGCCTTCATTGGTTTTTACCGTACCGAGGACCCCAACCAGGAAGTCTACACCTTCCTACGTGGCTTAAACTAACTGTTATGGATTTCATTGACTGGTGCCATGTTTTGGTTTGACCGCCACTGGCTGTTTTCCAATCTGATCCTATGTCAGCTAACATTGATTGTCGAGGAAGGTGGTGGCTAAGCAGGCATACGTAACACATGTCCTATCCACCTCAAACGATGTAACTTCACAGCCTCGTCGATTGATTGATTCCCCCTCCTTACCTAGCACTCGACGCCTAACCTCAATATTGCTCACCTTATTATACCACTTCACACGGGAGGTAGAGCGCAGGTACCTATGATCAAAGACAGCCAATCTTTTCATGTCCTCCACTCTCAGTGGCCACGTCTCACAGCCATAAAGGAGGACGGAGTGGACTGATGAGCAGTACACATGCCTTTTGGTTGATAGCCAGCCGGATATCACGTCTACTCCAGAGACGGCGTAAACTAGCCCTCTGTATCCGTGGTGAGATTTCGTCAGAGATCAAAGCGTTGGGGCTGATGGTACTTCCCAAATAAGTGAAGCGGTCAACACGCTCCACTAACCACTTCACTCCCTATTTCTAAACTAGGAGCCAGTGTAGTCTAGTCCTGTGACATCATCTTGCATTTGGCGGGAGCGAATCGCATGCCAAACATTCGTAGATTGCAGCTCAAGGTGTTCAGATGACTGCATTTTGTCAGCACCCTCGCCTAGAAGGACTATATCGTCTGCATATTCTAAGTCAACGAGATTATTCCTTGGTAGCAAGTCAATCCCTGAGTCGCTGAAGTGAGTTAGGGTTAAGTCCATCAGTACATCTATGATTAAGTTGAATAGAAAAGGGGATAATGGACATCCGTGACGGATGCCACTAGTTGTCACTACTTCAGATGACAACTCGTCGTAAGCCGTCACCTGGCTGCTTGAGTTCGAGTGCAGTGAATGCGTTGATCAGTGCAATGTATTTTCTCGGAATTCCCTTTACGGCCAAGCATCGCCAGAGTACCTCTCGGTCGGCAGAATCGAATTCCGTCTTTAGGTCGAGAATTATGATGATTGTTGGACGAAGGGTGAAGATATGATCAATACACCCTCTTCCTGGTCTAAAGCCTGCCTGGCTCTCTCGTGTTTGTGCCTCCCGAGCACCACTTAGTCTACGCAATATTATTGAGGCTAGGACTTTAGATACTATATTAGTCAAGCTAATCCCTCTGTGATTATCACAGGAAGACTTGTCTCCCTTCTTGTATATGGGGATAATCAGTGATTCACACCAACCCGATGGGACTTCTTCTGATTTCCAAACGCTGTTTAGTACTTCAGTTAATGCAGACAGTAAACTGTCTCCACCGTACTTAAATACTTCTGGAGTCATTCCATCAGGTCCTGCTGCTTTGCCTTGTTTCAGACTAGTGACAGCTTTAGAAACCTCAGTTAGGGATGGGGGACCTGTGTCTATATCCCATCCAGGGAGTTGTTGGATGTTCAGCAGGTTGAGGGTGGCTGTAGGCCAGTTAAACTGCTCCTCATAGTGCTCTTTCCAGCGTTCCAGTCGTCTATCCTGGGAGCTAATTGTGGTGCCATTTTTCTCCGAGATTGTTTCACTTATCATTTGCCTTTTGCCACCTGTTTCCCTGATAAGCCTAAATAGTTGTCTGGTGTTGCCGATCGCCGATGCCTTTTCCATCTCTTTCGCTAGTATTATTAATCAATCTGCACATCCACCTCCATGCACTCTAGAGTTGGCTACGTCTAGATATGTAATGGCCTACTTACCAAATTTTATTTAACCGCATGCGCTTCAAATCCACTAATTGATTTTAAATTCCACCGCCTAAACAAATGACCTACATGCTCCCCATGTGTGTGTCTGAAATCCGACCGAATTTGTCTTTTGTATCATCAAGTTGTGTAACTGTATCGAAGTGTTTGTTATTCGGGGTGTTTTACGATTCTATCTGGTGTACATTTTATTAAACGAAAATGCAAAGTTGATTATTGATCAGCAAAACTAGACTGAACTTTTGTTATTGTAATCAACCCTAAAGTAAACAGATATCAAAGTGGAAAACTGGATGAGCAAGTTTTTTGTATTTCTTTTCTGACGAGATAATTTGTCGCATAATTAAAATATACAATTAAAATGAAGTAGAGAAAAACTATTCACGAAATTATTACTATATATTATTATTGTTCCCTTGGGTTCCTAGTGGAACATAGGGCTTCAACTGCACGTGTCCACTTGCTTCTGTCTTTTGCTGTACTTTTCACCTGCATCCATGTTAGTCCATACTGTTTCAACTACTCTTCACACGCGATCTCCTCCATGTCACCCCCGCATTGATGTCCCACTCGCCGCTTCCATTTCGGCCTGGTTCCACTCGAGCAATGGCCTGACGCGGGCGCGATGTCACCCAGTGGCGGCTTCCTCAGCGAGTGAGTGTCCAATCCGTCTCCACTTTCTCCTGCATATTTGTTGGTTGGCGATTGATTCTTGTTTTGTTTGTTTGTTCCCAGCCATAGTTTCTTGATGGTGATTCTTTCCGGCCCGGCCATCTGATCTTCAGTATAGATCCAGCGAAGACAGTTGTTGGTTGATAAAGGTGTGGTCTGCAACAGGCTGTTGGAAATATTCTTTGTGACCTGACCACCAAGTTTCTGATCCGTATAGAAGAACTGACTGACTTGACGTTTGCATTGAAGATCCGAACTTTTTTGTTGATGCTGAGTAACGAAGATTTCCAGATTGATTTCGGGTTGATGAATGTGTTTCTCGCCTTCCCGATTCTCGCTCTATTTGACATCCTCGTCCGTTCCGACTTCCTGTGATTGAGACAATGCTCCCTAGATAAGTGAATCAAGTAACTTCTATCAAATCCCTCCCGTTGATGGTGATTGGTGCTGGATGTTGCTGTTGTTGTTGGTTGGTTGGTTATTTTCATAACCTCCGTCTTGTCTATGCTCACTTGGAGTCCTGTCTTTGCTGCTTCTTCTGCCGGTTTGTCAGTTTTCGCTTGTATGTCTTCGATTTTGTGTGACATCAAACATAAATCATCCACTCGCGAAATCCAGCTCTTCTAGGTCTTTCATGTCGGTCCAGGATATCCCTGTCTGCTCGTTTCTCACTGTCTGACGCATAATCCAGTCAGTCCACCACAATTAGGAATATCATTGGTGATAATAAGCAAGCACCCTTGTCGTCTGACTCCTGTTTTTACTCCAGACGCCTCACTGAGTTTTCCGTTGTGGATCACTTGACATGTGCCGTCGTTGTCGTACAGCTGTTGAATAAGGTTAATGAATATTTGGGTGGTGCACGCCGTAGTACTCGAGTAGTTTCCAAATTACTTCGCGGTCAACGCTGTCGAAGGCCTTCTCAAAGTCTATAAAGTTTAGGAAGAGGTTTGATTGCCATTGCATGCTTTGTTCGATGATGATGCGTAGAGCTGGGGTTTGGTCAGAACATGATTTGCCTTTCTTGAATCCAGCTTGTTCAGGTCAGAGTTCTGTACCCAGTGTATCCTTTATTCTCCCCAGGACGATGCGACTCAGAATTTTACTTGAGTCGAAATAGCAAATTATTATTATTTCTTTGGATTTGGTGTGGAAAACACTGCCTCAACATGCGTGTCTTCATTTTGTCCTGTCCTCTGCATCCCCCTTCAGCTGGATCCATGATTGCCCATAAACTCTCACTTTCTCCTCACATAATCTCCTCCACTTCACATTCGGATGCCCAACTCACCGTTCCCTATTCGGGTTCCATTCGACTGTTGACATGGTGTGCTTTGTCACCCGATGGTGTCTCCTCAGCGTTTCCTATCCATCTCCATCTTCTGCATATTTTTTGACCAGTAGGTTCTTGGTTGGTTCATTCACAGAGTTCCTCGTTGCTAATTCTTTCCACCTGTCATCTGATTTTGAGTATGGAGCTGGCGAAGGCAGCTGTTGATAAAAGTCTGCAGCAGCCTGTCGGCAATACTTTTCGTGATACGCAGTTCAAGTTTCTGACTAGTATAGAAGAAGGACTAACTCAATAATGGTGTTGAAGATCCTAATTTTGTTGTTCATGTTGAGTTCAGAATATCCCCAAACTGGATTCTGTCTGTCTGTCTCTTTTCGACATAGAACTTTGCACATATGTGCGGCAGTTCAAGTCGCCATACTCCTTGTAGCACACAGCAGTAGTAGCCCCAACTGCAGTCTGTTGAGGCGTAAGCGGAGACTACGAAAAGGCGACGACGGGTAGCGCCGTCTTTCCTTCTTTTAACGGACCCATTCAGACAGACCGCACACATACGACTATCTCCTGGGATCCAGTCAAGAAGTGATTTTTCCGCTCTTACACTCAGTGCTATCCCTACACCTGCGAGTCCTCGCGAGCTAGCTGAGGGGTCTCCTGATACCCTTAAAGTTAATTTTGCAGATTCACCTTGTTGACCGGGTGAAGTCAAATGAATGACCACACTCGAGTCTTGTGTGCGTGTCTCCGAAACACAACATACATCCATGGCTCGAGATTTCAGAGTTCTTGTAAGTGATGCCTGTTGTCCGATTCGGCAGAGGGTTCTGGCGTTAAATGCTCCTATATGAAGTTGGTGACCTGGCTTTTAAAGGCTATCTGGGGTGTTTCCATGGCTCTCACCGTTGTTTGTGGTCACAGAGTGAAGCGAAGATGACCCGCTAGTCTGCAGAATAGTACTAACTGTAGTAGAGAAGTAAGATGAGGAAGGTGATGTGAGTAAAGGAGAATGATACTCAGGAAGGCTTCGTGTGTTTTTGGAAGTGTGTGGGCGGTTGTTACTTCCCGGCTGCCCACACTACCGTAGAAGTTGTTTGATTCTTCGAGTACCTGAAACAGAAAGAGGGTTAGTGTTGCGTGACCGCAGAGCCCAGGGGTTCTAGAGCACGATGAATATCTGTCTGGCCTTTGCAATTATGCTCTAGACAGCCGTAGCTGTGGAGTCGCCTGTAGTTGAAATTATGCTTCCTAGATAAGTGTAGGAAGTGACATGTTTCAAATTTATTCCGTTAATAGTGACTGGCGCTTGTGATTGGTTGGTTATCTTCACCCCCGTCTTCTCAATGTTTACTTGAAGTCTTGTCTTTTCACTGCTTCTTCTGTGAACTTGATGGTTTTGCCTCACGAAATAGCAAATAGCCAATAATAATAATGACAATAATAACCACTTTATTCCAAACCATAATAATCATACAGGTTGAAATTCTCAGCATTCTTACACAAATTGCAGCAGTTTAGCTTCTGTTGTAAATATATAAATACATAATGTTGAAATAAAAATAATAAAACTACAAGAACGGAAAGTTCGTGGAACATAATTAATTATAACACGTGGAGATATAACACAAGGCCATTAAACGTAAAGCTGTGTATTTATTCTGTATAACAGATTCTTTATAGGCAAGTAATATCGCAGTAAACAGCACGTTGTATAGCAATACAAGTGAATTTTATGATTTCCAAGTATTGATTTGTAGGGATTTGATTGATTGCTTACAGGATTTCATCATTGGCTAACATCGGTTAAAGAACCATTGTAAAACCTCAGAATACTGAAAAGATGTTTCGTCCTAGTTTGGGCCACTCTTCGGCAACACGCGCCCGCCGAGGTTCGAATCCAAGATCTGGTTACAAGGCGAGCTACCTCGTAGACCAATAAGCCACTAGGACCCGATCCAATCGCTAACCAGCCCATGAATACCAACTTCTGCCAATTCACGACATCGCTAGCCAATGTCTTCGGCGAGTATTTGTCCTCACACCCGACCTGCTGCACCCTAGTGGTAGTGAGGTGGTAAAGAGATGTACAGTTATACCAGAATAACTCCCCAATAGTTTAACTGATCATACTACCTTACTATTATAACTTTTCTTTTTCGATCTTCCCAGAAGTGTTATGCTGTAGTTGAGAAATTGCACAAATTAAGTGAACTGTTTGTTGTTTGTTATTAAAAATTTCATACTAATATTTATTTACCTATAATTTATATTTATTTCAGTTTGAATATGGTCGAAATTGTATTGAACACTATGCCTTGTTGCATAGAACTCCAGTTTTTTCACATTCAGAATTATTATGTCGTATGGCTAAATCAGTTGAACCGCTTAGCATAGAATTCTTAACTGTTATTACTAAACAGTTGGGTGATTTACTCACCACTGAACGTTGTCTCAGACGCCATTTAGCTAGAATTGGTGTCAGGCTTACAGAACGAATGGTATTTGAAAATTCAGAAGATGAAAAAAGGGAATGTGATTTATGCCGAACAACGCTGTATTTATCTTCTTTGGGATGTAAATGTTCAGAAAGTAAGAGATTTCTTAAAAAGTTGTTAATTATTTTGAGAGTTTATTTATTTATTTTTCTCCTTCACGATTGACCATGTTTAATGTTAATTACTGTATTCAAAACTATATTTTTGGTTGTAAATCGCGATTTAAGTAATGAATAAGTTGAATGTGGATATATAGGTAAAAGTTGGGTAATTCAGAGGAGTGCTTTATGCACCTCCATTGTTTGGAGTGTATGCGGATAGGTGTTACACGTGTTGACTGCCTGTGTATTTTAGTATGATATATTTGTATAGTTAGACATTTTTTTCCTTCACATTCCCAGTGGAACATAGGGCCTCAAGCTAGTGGCTTGAAGTTTCCGTAGCATTGTTTAATTTTACAGGATGGGGTTGGTAGCCTCATGCCCAACCTTTCCTCTTTACCAGCATTATTTCTGGCTTAGAGAGGTAAAGGAGTGCGTCGGTGGCCGGGGATCGAACCCCGGACCACGTGCATGGTCGGCGAGCGTCATAATCGCTGTGCCACCGACGCACAAGAGTTTATTTATGAGATAGTTAAATTTATATAGAAAAAAACTGAAGGTAGCACTTAATTCAACCGATTTGCATCTTCTTGTCGAATCTTTATATAACGAGAATCTACTATTAGGAGGGCAAAACTTTAGCTTCCTATGATTGGTCACTGATGTTTTCAATCTCATCTTTATGCTATTATTTATTTTTAATTCAATTTTGATTTTTCCCGCTGTTTGATTGAACCGGAATGTTTGGCCTCTGTTGACATGCCGGCCGCTTGTGCAGATGCTTCCACGATGTCTGAGAATTAACCTGAAGTGATTTGGTGGATGATGACTAGCAGTGGAATCCAGGGTGCACATTTCGTCCCATTTTTGGACTCATCATCTGAAGGTGCCTGTATTCCCCAGTGATTAATGGTGTTCCCACTGAAGAGGCTCGAACCCAGTACCCATGGTTTCAAACACCAAAGCTTTGTACATTAGACCACTCGGGCCGTGAGAGCCACATCTTGTGCAACGGGTGTTAGTTATTAATTAAATTTGAACTTTCCCGTTGATTGATTAGACCGAAGTGTTCGGCGCTTCATGAATTCCATCCACCAAAACCATCTTCATTTTGTTTAATGTGTTGAATGCATCAGTCAGATCGTAGAATCCTACTGCTAATATTTTTCTAGTTAATTCTAATATCTGGAAGATGCGTAGAACATATCTACTATATTTAAGAGCACAATAATTCATGACCACTTCCCCAACAGATCAGTAATCAGTGGGTTTGTTTTGAAGTCTTCAACCTCCAGCTAGCTTTATATTATACATACTGATGTTATTTAGTTACTTGGAATATAGAACCCTCATGTCCCAGACTGTAAGCTACAGTTATAATGAGGACTGAAGATAATACCCAGTTGGTCAGGCGGAAGCAGATGAAGCGTGATTTGAAACTCGGACTACTAATTGTATGAAAGTCGAGTGCGTAGGCCAGTGAGTCGAATCTCCGACAAAGTGATATATAGCAGTATTCTCAACTATGTTCATAGAGATGCACTACCTGTATGTATGGTCAGTGTTTAGAAAACGTGACAAATACAACCAACAATACTAAAAGTTTATAGGGTTTCAGTGTAATATTGTGTAAGGGATACCCATGAGCCTTTCGTCATCTTTTAGACGGAAACCGATACGTGCAGATTGTGTATACGTGTCGTTGGTCATAAAGTGACCTTGAAAAAGTTATATTAGCTTTAACGGTTTGAATTTTTCAGCCAAATCAGTCGGCAAAAGCTGCTGACAAGCTCGGATCTTATTGATGCTTTCTTCCTAATTCGTGTAACTCAAAGCTATAATGGAGTGTGCATTATAGTTTACCGCCTGCTAAATTTTTGTTTGCTTATGTTTCAGTATGCTACAGTCGGAATCGAGGTTGTTACAAGCTTTTAATATAGTCAAATGTGTCTGTGAGTGATTGTTTCTGTCACTCGACTTTCACTAAGTTAGTCATGGGTTTGAACCCGATTCCGCCTGCTGAAGTTTGAATAGACAAGTAATGTTATCAAACTAGGCACAAAGGATTCTCGTAGCTACTGAATATTAATATTAATGATAATTTGGTCAGCTAATCTAAGTTCTTAAAAAAAGTAGTTCAAACGATTGTGTTTAGTATGCTCCATGCCTTTTTACGTGGACTGGATTATGCGTCAGACTGCGTTGGGAGTGAGGAGAGAGGAGTACGTTGAACCTGTAAGAAAACTCTAGGAGATCTGGACTTCGCCGATGACTTATGTTTAATGAACACACAAACTCGAAGACTTGCAGGAGAAAACTAACAAACTGACTGAAGAGGTTGACTGCGAAGATAGGACTCGAGGGGAACATAGAGAAGATGGAGGAGATGAAGATAACTGCCACCACCACCAACAGCAACAACAACCAGCACCGATTACCATCTACTGGAGAGATTTGAAAGAGGTTACTTCATTCACTTATCTAGGAAGCACGGTTTCAACCACAGGCAGTTGGAACGGATCAAGATGTCAAAGCTAGTCAACCTGTGGCCAGTTTGGAGATCTTCTGAACTCACTCAGCCAGCATAAAGATTCTATTAAACATAAATGTAAAGTCAGTTAGTCACTTCTTTTATATAGGCCAGAAACTTGCATTGCGTGTCACTAAAGGGATTTTTAACAGACCGCCGAAGACTTTTATCAACAACTGCCTTCGCTCCATACTCAACGTCAGATGGTCGGTAGAAAGAATGGGTAACAAGGAACTATGGCTGGGAACAAACCAACTAAGAACCGATTACTGAATAAATATGCAGGAGAAAATGGAGATGGATTGGATATACATTGAGAAGGCCGTCAAATGACATTGCGTACGCTGCCATTATTCGAGTGGAATTCCAATGGGAAAACGATGAGTGGGTCGTCCTAGGGTGACATGTAGGAGATCATGCGAAGAAGAGATTGGCAGTCGTGGACTCAACTGAAGAGGACAGCAAAAAGTATAAGAAAGTGGAGATGTTGTTGAAGCCGTATATTCCAATCGGAACCGAAGGGAATAATGATAATGCGTTTTTACGAATCACTTTGCTATTCAACGGGTCGTCTTTGAGTGGTGAAATTATAACAGATAGACGATTAATTATGTCAACTGTTACATTTTCGTCACGGAACAACATAAGTTGATGAGACCCCAGCTTCAAGACATTCACCCAGCAGCAGTAGTTAGAACTCGTGACTTGTGGGTTCCACCATGCCCAAAGTGAAGTGGTTGCTTCCCGAAGGCATTTCGTTAGCGGTAGCACTATACCATAAGTTAACAAAATTAGGATTTAAGATTCGTTAGTTTCCAGCTCAAGTGGTTGGATGGTCAACGAGCTTGATCTTGTAATCTGAAAGTCCTGGGTTTTCATCCCTGGTTTGGTCGTGTGTGCTCACCGTTGAAGAGTCATGGACTGGGACGAGAGTTGTCTAGTTCTCCCCGGCTTTCAGTGATCTCTCTAAGTTACTTCCTTTTATGATAAAATTCGACAACTGAAATTAATCCAAATTGTCACAAATCCCCATAATCTAATTGAAGTTCACAATTTACAAATTAGTAGGCGATTCGCAAATTGTGAATTAGATTCATGGTAACACCAATTCGCTCAAGTAGCTACCTAGAAATCGGGTGTGGTGTGAACTGACTCGGCTGTTTCTCTCAGCTGAGGCGAACTATGTACACCGTTGATGACTTTGGCCGTGAATAAGCGAAACAGTTGTCCAATGTTTAGATCATCTCGATCTGGCTAGTTAGCGCTACTGATCAATATGAGATATATGGTATATTACAACTACTCATTTCAATTAATCATAAGTATGTAGTTTTATCCCATAAGATAAAGACAAAATTCTGTGGATGTTCCTTTAAGACAGTTGTTATATATATGCATCCTCTGTCTGTCTGTCTGTTTTCGTCATAGAACTTTGCACAAATGTGCGGAAGTTCAAGTCGCCACATTCCGTGTAGCACGCGAAGCAAGAGAAGAAAGTACAAGAAAAGCATAATAGAAACAGTGAGCAGAGGTGTGAGACAAAGGAGTAATAAAGAAATACAAAACAGTTTCATTGAAGATCATAAGTCACAGGGAGTGGATGCATCTGCGCCACTGAGAACGATTTTGAGCCATGTCACCAATTGTTTCCAACCATAGATTTTTACCGTCCCGAGGACCCCAGCCTGGAAGTCTACACCTTCCTACGTGGCTAAGACCAACTGTTGTGGATTTCATTGACTGATGCCAAGTTTTTGTTTGACCGCCGCTAGCTTTTTTCCAGCCTGACCCTATATCCGCTAACATAGCTCGTCGAGGGAGGCGATGACTTGGCATACGTAACACATGTCCTAACCATCTCAGTCGATGTAGCTTCACGACTTCGTCGATTGATTTCCCCTGTTTACCTAGAACTCTACGCCTAACCTCCATGTTGCTCACCTTATTATGCCACTTTACACGGGAAATAGAACGCAGGCACCTATGATCAAAGGCAGCTAGTCTTTTCATGTCTTCCACTCTCAGTGGCCAGGTCTCACAACCATAAAGGAGGACGGAGCGGACTGATGAGCAGTACACCCGCCCTTTGGTCGATAGTCGAACATCTCGTCTACGCCAGAGTCGGCGTAAACTAACAAATGCGAAACGAGCCCCTTGTATTCGTGCTGAGATTTCGTCAGAGATCAGCCCGTTGGGGCTGATGGTACTTCCCAAATAAGTGAAGCGGTCAACGTGCTCTACCACTTCACTTCCTATTTTTAAACTAGGCGTCGATGTAGTCCAGTCCTGTAACATCATCTTGCATTTGGCGGGAGCGAATCGCATGCCAAACATTCGTAGATTGCGGCTCAAGGTGTTTAGAAGACTCTGCATTTTGTCAGCGTCTTCGCCTAGAAGGACTATATCGTCTGCATATTCCAAGTCAACGAGATTATTCCCAGGTAGCAAGTCAATCCCTGAATCGCTGAAGTCACCTAGGGTTAAGTCCATTAACACATCTATGATGAAGTTGAATAGAAAAGGAGATAATGGGCATCCTTGACGGACACCACTGGTCGTCATCAGTTCAGATGACAGCTCGCCGTAAGCCCTCACCTGGCTGTATGAGTACGAGTAGAGTGCCTTAATCAGTGCAATATATTTTCTTGGAATTCCCTTTACAGCCAAGCATCTCCAGAGAACTTCCCGATCGACAGAGTCGAATGCTGCCTTTAGGTCAAGAAATATAATGACTGTTGGACGCCGGTAGGAATTCCTATGTTCTAGAATCTGTCGGAGGGTGAAGATATGATCAATACACCCTCTTCCTGGTCTAAAGCCTGCCTGGCTCTCGTGTGTTTGTGCTTCCCGAGCACCACTCAGTCTACGCATGATTATTGAGCCTAAGACTTTAGATACTATATTAGTCAAGCTAATCCCTCTACTTCAATACAAACGGAAATAAATTGCAACACTTTTGTATTTCATGTTTGATGATGCTCAGCAAGACTTTGTGTGCTCTTGGAAGTGTGTGCTCGGTTGTTACTTCCCAGCCACGCACACTGTGGAAGTTGATTGATTCTTTGCGTACGTGAAACAGGAAGAGGGTTAGTGTTGCGTGACTACAGAGCCCAGGGGAAAACTGCTTGAGGCCGGTCACACACGGTTTCTTGAATTAGTTCTGTGTTAGTAAATTTACCGCCGTTTACGGACCACCGTAGGGTTAGTCGGGATGTACAATTTTGTGCGTCGACTTTTTCTAACCCCCTCCTTCCAGAGCGAAGAGACAGCATAGCCGGCTAGCATGCTGGTCATCTGAAGGAAACACCTTACTGCTGTTGCATCCCTATCCCCCAGCTGTATGACTTCGTCCACAGAGCCCCAGCATAGCGTAGAAAGAAAATTCCTATGCTATGCCGGTAACTGCTTTTAGTCTAATTGCTATCCTAAAAACCTTCCTGGCATGGTAGAACCTGCAGGAACATATGTTCCAGCCAGTGTAGCCTGTTGGGTCATTGCGATATGCAAGCTCAACCACCATATCAAAGTAGCACCTATCAGTCGGGTTACTGTTTCTGTTGATGTCTGTTTACCTGTAATTGGTGCTATGCTTCGGTTTGACTACAGACTTATATACACTTTATTTAATATTCTATGTTTCATTAATTTTATTATTTTGGGACAGTGTATATAATAGAGAAAGAAGTACATAGTTCATTTTATATGAATCTATAGCGCGGTAGTTATTTATAATGTTAGAATTTTTTAGAAAACGATAATAATAACATGTTCATGATAAATTAGTTTTCTCTTTTGTACATCGATATGTATCATTCTCTGTGTATTTCTACTCAACAGTTATATTTTCTTTTTTTAATAGGCATGGTATGCTTAGCTCATTATCAAAAACTTACATGTTGTTCACGTGACAATCAAGTAATGCGTTATCGTTATGATTTAGATGAATTAACTGAATTCAAGGAGAGATTACAACAAAAGCTAACTGAATATGAAGAGTGGAAATGTCAACTTGAAAATAATGTTTTTAATTTAATGCCTAATAAATCGGTTTATTCCACTGATATGAAATTATCTAATATTAATGACAGTAATAGTAATAATTCTGAAGTCAAGACTAAGTTAGATAATCCCTTAGACATTCCCATGGATAATTGTGATAATGGAGATAGTGTGAAAGACTCTTTCGATACTCCTGTTGCTGTTGCTGCCGCCTCCACGGCTGTTAAATCTAAGCTGAAAGATGAAGATAATGCTGATGAGGAAAATGAACCTCCTGGTAAGAAAAACACCATTCATTATTAATGTTTTTATTCTAAAATCGTTTTGTTGTCTATCTGTTTAATTATTATTAAAGCCTTACTTCCCGCCTTTGGTATATCCTTAGTTTTTTTCCTTCACGTTCCCCAGTGGATCATAGGGCCTCAAGCTAGTGGCTTGAAGTTTCTGTAGCAGTGTTTAATTTTACAGGTTGGGGTTGCTAGCCTCATGCCCAACCTTTCCTCTTTACCAGCATTATTTCTGACTTAGCTAGGTAAAGGAGTTCATTGGCCGGGGATCGAACCCCAGACCATCTGCCTGGTCGGCAAGCGTCCTAACCACTGTGCCACTGACGCAGAAATATAAGTGAGGGAAAAATAATAGTATTATCGAAGAACCATATAGTTTTATTGGATATTGTATGTCACCAGGAGTGAATGCATCTGCACCAGCCATTGAGAACGGTTCTGAGCCATATTATCAATTATCTCCAGCCACTGGCTTCTACTGTCTCGAGGACACCATCCCGAAAGTCTACACCTTCCTACTTAGCTGGTTTAAACTAACTTTTGTGGATTTCATTGGCTGATGAAGTCGTGTTTCGGTTTGATTACCATTAGCTCTTTTCCAATTTGATCCTATGCTTGTTCCTATGATTGTCGAGAAAGGAAATGGATAGCCAGACAGGCCTATGTAACACATAACATAGGTTGGGATGGATCGAAATCTGAATATCCGCTTGAATGTGTCCGTTTTCTGTAAACCCTAGTGCCCCATCTTCTGTCCTTTTTATGCTAAAATCTAACATTGGATGCTCCCCCTGATGATTTTCCAGTTCATAAGTGAGTTGAATTTCCCTTACCTTTGAGTTGATACATTCGGAAAAAAATCTATTTATATTTTTTAGTGCTGTAAATGTGTCGCCTACATACATCTTCACCATACTTTGGGGGAGGGTGTGTGTGGTGGGGCTGGACTTTTTGAATCAGTAAGTCTTCCCACCTATCTGAGAATATATGCGCCAATATCGGGAACATTGGCAACACCGTGGCAACTGGTTCCCTCACTTTGTTTGTATATTTTTCCGTGGAATTTAAATGCGGTAGAAGTCAGGCATAGTCGCACTTCTAGCGTTATCTCTTCTAGTGGCAGTTTGGTTCTAATTTCAACTTCTTAGTCAGAAATGACTTCGTTTCTAACCGCTTCTGTAGCCATATTTATATTAATTACCCTTACAAATTAATCAAGTATGCAGGAAAATATAAAAACAGATGAAGAATACTAATGGTAGCAATACTGATAATAATAGTGATAATAATAATAATAATAATGACATGCATGACAAACATTCACCTAATGATGACGACGCCAGTAGTAAGGAATTTAAATCATCATTAGTACTTCCATACGAAGAAGGAACCTAGGAAACATTACACATTCCTAACAAAGCAGGAATAAAAGTGTCATTCAAACCCATAAACTCGCATGGAAACAACCTGTGTCGGTTAAAGGATCCTGTGGATCCCGTTGAACAAAATAATTTAGTTTATCTAGTACACTACAATGACTGTCAGGCCAAATACACAGAATAAAACAGTATAATGAAGTCAGTCAGACTAGTAGAGCACAAAAATGTGCATTGGTCACATAGAGGTTAGGACGCTCGCCGACCATATACAGGGTCTGGGGTTCGATCTCCGGCCGATGCATACCTGATATCAATAGTCGGCCTGCTAAATTTGGGCTTCCAATATCACATGCTGAAAATTCAATAGTTGTTCCAAAATACTGTGTGGAATCAAGCTATAATAAAATTAAAATTAAAAACTAATCACTGAGATAAGGAATCCGGAGAATAGTTCAGTTGTATCACCCACTACATGCGATAACACACAACCATACAATAGGATGGGATAAGATGACAGTTTTGAAGTCTAATATAACAGCGAGGAAGGAGAGATTGATAACGGAAGCCTAATTTATCGAAAATGCGTGCAATAGGAATGATTCAACACCTGTCCCAGGCATCTAGAAAATTCCACTTACTCTATGACGAATAGGAAGGAATAAAGAAAACTATAAAACGGAAGTTTCGAGGTTGTGTAGTTATTAGTGATATAGCTTTGAGAGATAATAAATTGTGTTCGAAACTTCGTCATCCAGTAAATAGTACTGTTTTCCCACTGTGTGATATATCTAATCAACGAATTAGTATGGAATTCGGTTAGTTTCGATGTCCAAATATGCTTTAACTAGTTATAGGTTAAAAACCTGGGTCTATCGAGTTCTAAACAATTACCAACTTTTTATTTTGTCTTTGTTATTACAATAGTGTATCTGTGTTACGGCATTGATGCTTAATTCACAGTCTTTCTTCTCTTTCACACTATATTACTGTATGTGGATTCGGTGAACGCATCTTATTGCCAATCTAGACAGACATAGAAACTTGTGGGCTTTAAATCTCTGTGATATAATCACTCAGTCTTCGAATATTTGGCATGGGATTCGCTCCCGTGAAATTTAAGATGATGTTACAGGACTGGGATTACATTAACTCTTAGCTTAAATATAGGGAGTGAAGTGGTTAGTGGAGCGTGTTGACCGCTTCACTCATTTGGGAAATTGCATCAGCCAACACCAGCGGGTTGGATCGCCTACGAAATCTCAGCATGGATACAGAAGACTCGTTTGGCATGTGCCTGCCAACTGACGCCATCTCTGGCTTAGTAGACGTGATACCCGACTGGCTATCTACCGAAGGGCGTGTGTACTGCTCAGTGACCTGCTCTATCCTCCTTATGGCTGCGAGACCTGGTCATTGAAAGTGGTAGGCATGAAAAGGCCAGCTAGCTGTCTTTGATGATGAGTGTCTGCGTTCTGTCTCCCATGCTGAGTGGTACATTAAGGTGAGTAATATAAAGGTTAGGCATGAGTCGAGTGCTGGGTAAGGAGGGCAAATCAATCGATGAGGTTGTGAAGTTACATCGATCGAGATGGTTAGGGCATGTGTTACGCAGCCTGCCTAGCCACCCATGGACTTGCTGGACCTGCAGTGTTAGCCGCTGACATGGGATGGATCAGGTTGGAAAAGAGCCAGTGGTGGTCAAATCAACAGTTAGTTTAGGCTAGCCGCTTAGGTAGGTGTAAACTGGTTGGCTGTCTCGTTGGGATCCTCAGGCTGGTAAAAACCAATGACGACTGGAGACAATTGGTGATATGGCTCGAAATCGTTCTCCTTGTAATTTATATTATCTAATAAAATTCTGTTGTTCTCGCGTATTGCCATTCTTTTTGCCTAATATCTCTGTTTATTACCTCTCTTTTGAATTTCTTTCTACTTTCCTCTTGCTTTGTGGGCTAAGTGAAATGCTGCAACTCGAACTGTTGCACATCTGTGCAAAATTCTACGTTGAAAACAGTAGTAAGAGTAGCCGTAGGCATAATAACTGTTTCTGTAGGTTGTCTTTCATTCACTTGTTGTTTTTCTTTTCTCAACTTGAACAATTTACACATATCACGTTTCTGTTAGTTGTTTTTAAATACTTCATATAATATTTTCCGGTCATATAGCCATATGAAGAAGTTTATATTGCAATTGGCATATATAGATGTGATTGATTAGCTACTGGTGTTTATTCCACCTTCTATTTACTAACACTATTTTATTTTACTCTTTATATTACTCATGTAGTAATACTGCATTAGAGTTTTTAGTCTTACGTATTATGTGCATAGTAATACAACACATCCTGATTGACTGCCTTAATTTTGCTAGTTCACAACTAAACACTTTTAAGTTTGATCACAGGTTGACATCAGTTGATGGAGAACCATTGGAAAACCACCAGGGAGTACTGGATAGCTGCTTCGTCCCAGTTTTTGGTACTCTCCAGCAGTATGCACCCACATAGGACATTCTAGGTGGTTACCAGGCAAACTTCTAGACCATTCAGTCACTGGGACTGGATCCAATGGCCACCCAATAGATTCCAACTGATTTTAACGCACCCACTACTAGCCAGTGTCATCGGCAGCAAGTATTTTTCCTCACTCTCAACCTGGTGTGCCCCAATGGTCATGACTTTTGACTGGACCCGCAGACAGTTTCGCTCTGTAGTCAGTCATTAGCTAGCATCAGATTAATTTGCGAGATTTAGTTTTTTAGGTTGTAATCAAACTTAAACGCTTTTTATTTTCACTGTTATTCCTATCGTTCAAAATGATCTTTTTCAACATCATTTCAAAGTAGATTTAATTAGGAAGTAACAACAGTTTGAGAAACTAGGCAGTACTTGGATAGCTATTCCCTCTCAGTTCGGAATTCATAAGTGGTGGGTAGAACCTAGGATCTTTAAGTTAAAAGAAGTGCACGTGAACTATTCACCTGTCGAGTTGAATTCCAATGCCCCATAAATTTTAATGATTTAAAATTCTCAACATGATATCATCTTCGCTGATATCATAGGTAGGTAACTGTTGTTTGCACACTTGATTTAGTAGACGTCACCAGTCGACGGGCAATGTTAGCTGACATAGGGTAAGGCTGGAAAAGAGCTCGCGGCGGTCAAACGAAAACATGACATCAGCCAATGAAATCCACAACAGTTAGTTTAAACTACTGAGGAACGTGTAGATTTCCTAAATAGTTGGGATCCTCAGGATGGTAAATACCAATTTATCTGGAAACAATCGGTGATAAGGCTCAAAATCGTTGTCAGTGGGTGGGTTAGATGCATCCACTCCTTATGACTTATAATTTCCAATGAAACTATATTGTTCTTCGTTATTACTATTCCTTTGTCTCACATCTCTGTTTACTGTCCCTATTATGCATTTCCTCTACTTTCTTCCCTTGCTTTGTGTGCTACAATGAGGGGTTGTGGCAACTTGAACTGATGCACATCGGTGCGAAGTTCTATGTCGAAAGCAGACAGACAGACATCATCAGTCATAACTTTTCGTTAAAACTCTAGGAAATCGAGGATAATTCTGTAATTAATATTGCTTCGTGAGGAAATCTACCTTACAGTCAATTGAAGCTCTACAGACTCAATTACTGAAATTTTGATATCATTACTATTTCATTTAATTACACTATCCTTATTATATTTCAGTGTGTTCAAGATCTTCAGAATCCACACCTTCGAAAGTGAAACCAGAAGAAAAAGAAGAAAAACGTCAGAAACCAACTTTATTGGAACTGAATGTAAGTTGCTCAGTGAATTCTTGACCCACTAAGGTATAATAAACACTGTTTCTTTTATCAATCATAAAACGATATGTTGACTTTGAATAGATGGTAAATATTATATAGTACATAACTTTATGAAAATGAGTGAATACATTTCATCTGTTGACCAATTTACTGACTAAGGTATCAACGTAGAACTCTGTACACAAACTGTGTGCCAGTTCAAGTTGGCACATTTCAGAGCATCACATATATAAAAGAGGGAGAAACTGCAATGGATCTTTTCAATTGCTTAGCTAATATTCTATGCCTACGCCTCATTATTATTAATCATATTTCTCCTTATAATAAGAAAGACAGAAGAAGGGCATCTATGGTCAAGAGCCGCTGATTTTTTCATCTACAACATTTGTGTCTTACTGTCGTAAGGTAGGACAGAAAGAACTGCAGTACACTTCAAAAATTCTTTGGTAGATAGACTGATTGCATGGAGGATTTCATCATGAGCTGACATCAGTTAGAGAACCACTGGGAAACCTGGGAGTACTGGACAGCTGTTTCATCCTAGTTTGGGACTCTTCAGAAGTACGCACCCATCATCAGGGTTCGAACTCTAGACCTTCTGGTTACAAGGAGAGCTCATAGACCATTAAGCCATTTGGACCCGATCCAATGGCCAGCACATGATTTCTAACTTCTGCCAATTCACGACATAGTGTGACCACTTTGTAATGTCTTCTTCGGTGAGTTACCGCCTCACCTTCAACCTGCTGTAACCTACTGGTCATGGCTTCCCACCAGAACCCCAGATATCTACTTGAATAGGGCTTCAAGAATGAGCTTTGAAGTTTCAGTAGCTGTGGTGTGTCCTAGGTTCGAATCCCAATGGATGCGTATTGATGAAGAGTCCCAAACTAGTCTGACGAAACAGCTGTCCAGTACTCCCAGGTTTTCCAGTGGTTCTCTAACTGATGTCAGCTCATGATGAAATCCTCCATGCAATCAAACAAAATGCCTACAAAACCAATAATTGAAGATAGACTGATATCACGTCAGTGCTGAAGGCTAATCGTGAGTTGATTTCAACTACTCGAACAAAGCTTAGTTGTCAGTTGTTTGTCAATCTTCTGCCGATATAATAATTTTCCAAGTATAGATAGTGTGGTTTTCATTAGTCATATATGAATATATATCTCACAGTGACGTGTTCTACAATCGAAATGAATAGAGTGCTCGTGATTTTAGCATTTTGAAAAACCTTAACAATTTTAATTTAGCTGCATTGAGTTAGGCAGATTAAAATCGAATATATTCAGAAAATGAATATAAACCTCATTGATGAGACTGCTTTATGTTGTAAACAGTATTAAACTGGTCTTTCGTGAAAACCAGGTCATCTGATGTTTGAGTGTTCTGTTTTTTTCTTGTCTGCATGTGTGTGTGTATGCGTCTATTGCTACTAGAGTTATTCGTTCGTGCTGAGGCGTCATACATCGTTTCATTCAATCGTGTAGTTGTGATTTCGGATTGTCCTTGTACTTTCTTCTCTTGCTTCGCGTGCTACACGGAATGTGGCGACTTGAACTTCCGCACATTTGTGCAAAGTTCTATGTCGAAAACAGACAGACAGACAGACAGACAGTAGTTGTGATTTGGGCAACTTTTTAACTGACTAAACTGTTTTCTTTTCTGTATCATCATCAACTACTTTTATCCTTCTCGTTAGTAGTACAAATTAATTGAATGAAGTAAATAAAAAAATTAGAATCCAAGTATTTTTATATTCATTTAAGCATCCGTAGCATTGTAAGAAAACGTCTGAGATTGCTTCTTCCTTACTAAAGTAAAGTCCGCGACATTGGATGGCAGTAATACAGATTTTCACACGTTCCACTATGGGTACATACTTTCAACCCCACACACACACACACTTGAGAAGTTTTATCTTTATTTGTGAAACTTATCAGGAATAAATGAAGGTCATCTGTTGACTTTTATTTCTTAGTCAGCCTACTGTACTTCGGTTTTAACAACTGTATAGAGTATTTACCTGTAAAGGAAATAAATTTGACCAGTTATCTATGAGGCAAACTACTGAGTATACCGTAAGAGGATACAGTTCTTACTGTTAAATTTAAAGGCTCACTCATGAGGAGTGTGTTTGTCTGTTTGTTCTTAATACATACTGTTTTCATTTCTTTGCATTCTCGGTGGAACATGGAGCTTCAAGCTTGAGCTTTAAGGCTTTATTAGCAAAGGTGTTCATATTTTACGGGTTGGCGTAGCTAGCCTCATGACTAACCTTTCCTCTGTACCTGGCTTACACCTGGGCTAAGCAAGCGTAAGGAATGTGTTGGCCAGGAATGTCGAACCCTGGACTACGCGAGGCATAGTTGACGATTAGTCTACCACTGAACAATCAACACACCTTTTTCGGTTTTAACACCTGGTATTCCCAACCAGTCACCTATGCGCAAACTCCAACCGTGCCCCCAACGTTGCTTAGCTGATGAGAATGGTAACATGGACGAATTGTTGCTGAAGTTCAACAACATTCACCCTTCGCTTACCTTTACTTGTGAAGAGGAGCAGGAGAATAAACTACATTTCCTGGATGTCTTGCTAAATAGGATAGAAAATGGGTCACTTGGGAGAAGTGTGTACAGAAAAAGCACATTCACAGGGCAATACACACACTTCCTTAGTTACGTGCCCATTAAATATAAAAGGAATCTTGTAAAATGTCTCGCGAGCAGAGCAAGGAAGATATGTACGGAGGACCTCTTACAAAAGGAATTTGAATATATTCACGATTCCTTGACGGAGATGGGTTATCCGAGTAGTTTCATAGAGAAACATATGAAACCATCAGAGAAAAAACCTGTGACTCTGACTGCACATAAGAAACCTCTATTTATTAAGTTACAATTTAATGGTGACTTATCAAGTGAGATTTTATTCCAGAGACTTTCAAGGAGTATACGAAGAACATTTTATTCAGCACACCTGTGTTTGTCATTCTCTAGCCGACGAATGATTGGGACGCAAACGAAGGATAAGCTTGATAGTTTTGCCACATCTATGTGTATTTATCAATTCAACTGCACCTGCGGTGACAGTTATGTTGGGCGTACTACTACTAGACAGCTTAGCCAACATGTTAGTGAACATCTCCCATCGTGGTTTGGCAAAGGACAGACAAAAACAATCCGTTGCTCAATTCTGTCACATTTAATTGATAGCGGTCATGTAGTCGAGAAAACGAAAGCCTTCAAAGTAATTCATTGTATCCCACCGAATCTTTTTAATAGACTTCGTATTCGTCTACTGCACACAGCTGAGGCGATAGGCATTCGAACTATTAAACCTAAACTATGCATTCAAAAGAAGTTCGTACAGCCATTATCCCTCCCTTGCTTGGCCTATTAAGACATAACCAACTAATGACTTCTACACCACCCCTTATTTATATTTTCAACCCCTTTCTTATCATCCCTTAATCTTATTACATCATCATTAAAAACGTGTCTCATTTACTTCCCTTACAATCAATCTAGCATTACTTAATCAGTTCATTTGTTTTTGCTAGCCTTTATCGACTACTTCCACCTCAACGTCTGTTTGTTTATTCATACTGTTTTTCATTATTCGTGTTATCACAGATTGCCTTATTTTTTCATCCTTATTATTGATAAGACCATTATTATTATTATTACTATTATTAATATTATCAATACTACTATTATGACTAATTGCACAATTTATATTCACCATCGTATTATCCTATAGACAAAACACCATGATTGGTTTATATTTGAATTCTTATTTGTAAACTTATATGTATTAGATTTAAGCCTAATGAGATCTAACTGAAAACAATATTGTTCGCTTAAATGTGTTGTTTTAAATTAGTTAGTCGGATGAGAACCGGTGTTTTCAACGTGGTACAGCGTATAGAACTTTATTTTTATCATTTATTTGTTAAGCTGTTTCTGATTTTTCTTGACACACTAGCTTTTAACATTTTTGTTTTTAAATCATCTGTAAAAGTAGAGAGTACTTCTGTTCAAACATGTGACAGAATCTGTCGTAAACTTTAAAAAAATTGTTTTAACTACACAGAATTTGCATCATTGTATCTGTTCAGGACAAGTTTTTGCCTTCCAAATGCTCCATCTTAGTTAATATTTCTATGATCTCAACTAAGCGAGACATACCTGTATCATGCAACAGGCTATAACAACCAGGCTTTTCGTCTGTCTGTCTGTTTTCGACATAGAACTTTGCACAAATGTGCAGCAGTTCAAGTCGCCACACTCCATGTAGCACACAAACCAAGAGAAGTAAGTACAAGAAATGCATAATAGAGACAGTAAACAGAGGTGTGAGACAAAGGAATAGTAATAACGAAGAAGAATATAGTTTCATTTGAAATCATAAGTCACAAGGAGAGGATGTATCTGTGCCAGCTACTGTGAACGATTTTGAGCCTTATCACCAATTGTTTCCAACCATTGGTTTTTACCGTCCCGAGGATCCCAATCAGGAAGTCTACATCTTCCTACGTGGCCGGCTTAAATTAACTGTTGTAGATTTGATTAACTGGTGCCATGTTTTGGTTTGACCGCCGCAAGCTCTTCTCCAACCTTACCCTATGTCAGCTAACATTGTCCACTAAGGAAGGCATTGGTTAGGCAGGCATACGTAACACATGTTCTAACCATCTCAGTCGATGTAATTTCACAGCCTCGTTGATTGATTTCCTCTCCTTACCTAGAACTCGACGCCCTACCTCAATATTTCTCACCTTATTATACCACTTTACGCAGGCACCTATGATCAAAGACAGCTAATCTTTTCATGTCTTTCACTCTCAAAGGCCACGTCTCACAGCCATAAAGGAGGACGGAGCGGACTGCTGAGCTTGTTGTTTGAGGAGCCAGTTTATTCAGGCTCTATATAATTGAGTATCTGCATAAGACTTTGCATAGAATTGCAACAGTTCAAGTTGCCACACTCCATGTAGCACACAAAGGTAAACAAGAGACAGAGAGAGTTTCAAAAGGACTATAGTGAGCAGAAATGTGAAGGAGGAAAACTAGTTACACGGAAAGAAAAACAACATAACGGTTTAGTGGATATGGGAGAGATTACAAGGCGTGAATGCATCTATCTGCACTATTATTGTAACATGTCAATCTCTAAGTTGGTAATGTCACTTAGGGTTTTAAGTTCATTTGTGCTTCTAAGATGAATTTAAACAGAAAAGGAGACAGTAGTTGTCCACTCGAGTTGTCATCACTTCAGATGACAATTCTTTAGTCTCTTACACGATTGTGTGAGCTCGAATAGAGCGCCAGACATTGCCCAATAACACCCCTCAGTCGATGGAGTCGAATTACACCCTCAGATCAAAAAATATCCCATTTAGGGGACGGACGCCAGTGAGTGTAATATGCTCATATTCCAGAATCTGTCGAAGGGTGACTATACCTTACTCAAGCAGATTGATTTTTCAGCAATCTGAAGACATCAAATACTTTGCTTCTTTTATAGTTTTATTAAATAGTTATATATATATATATATATATATATCAATAAATAGTCAGTATTACAAGTTGACACTTGTTATGATGCTTCAGCAAGTTACCTTTAAGGTGTTATAAAGTGTGTGCAAATTCATCACATATCGATTTTCATACACCTGTCATTATAAACTGACGAATATTTTGTATAGCTAATAAAAAATACAAACTATCAGTGATTAAACAGTCAGATACTGTTGGTTATGCTGAGTAGCTCTAAACGAATGAGTGGTGTTTTGGTTTACACTTAACACTATTATTATTATTATTATTAGTAGTAGTAGTGTCGATCGCCCAATAACATTTCTCTTTTTTATTTTTCTTTCTTTCTTAGGAACTGTTAAACATTGGTCGAACACGTCAATATCCTAGTTCAATGGTGTCACGTTTAAATCATATAATCAGTACAATTAATGAATGCTCTTCAGTGATAGACCAATTAATTATGAGTTATAAGAAAGCCTGTGAAAGAGTAAACAATATTAAAATATTAGATATAAAATCTTCTAAATCTGATATGACAGACTCAGGTAATGAAGATGATGATGATGATGATGATAATGACGATGATGACGGTGATGACGAGGAGGATGAGGAGCAAGAGGAGGCAGAGGTAGACGATAATAAAGATGTGAAAAAGTACAATAAACAACGTATACAGGATATTTTAAATTCTTCTGGATCTATCCAGTCCACTTCAGAAGAATCAGATGATGCGGTTGATAATGATGATGCTAATGATAATGAAACAAGTGGTGAGGACTGTCACAATTCATCAGGTACTTCATTGCGTAGAAGCAGTCGAAGATTGAATAAAGACAACAGCAGTATTGATGATGATGATGTTGTTGTAAAGAAAGAGAAAGCTGAAAATATCAGTGACGAGCGAAAATCGAATAATAATAATAGTAATAATTTGAAAACAACTCATAACAATTATGCATTACGGTCAACACGTAAGAATTGCAATGAAACCTGTTCATATCGAACACGGAGTAAATCTTCTGCATCGAAGGGTCCGTTTATCTCAAAGGTGAGTTCTGTCTTATGCTTACTGCATAACAGGTGTTGCTCAGGAATATCAGATAAAATGATAGTTATGTATTAGCTAGAAGTGCTTTTGGAAGCGTGTGTGGTCGGTTGTTACTTCCCGGCTGCCCACACCGTGCAAGCTGATTGATTCTTCGGATACCTGAAACAGAAAGAGTGTTGCGTGACCGCAGAGCCCGTGGGACAACTGCTTGAGGCTGGTCACACATGGCCTGTATGAATTGGTTTCTGGGGTTGGTTCCATATTAGTAAACTTACCACCGGTTACGGACCACCGTAGGCCAAGTCGGGATGTGAAGTTTTTGGGGTCGACGTTTTCTAACCCCTTCTCTCCAGAGTGAAGAGACAGCACATCTGGCTGGCATGCTGGTCATCTGAGGGAAACACCTCACAGCTGTTACACCCCTGTTCCACAGCAGTACGACTTCGCCCTCAGACCCCAAGCAAAGTGTAAGAAAGATTTTTGCACAATGCCGGTAACTTCTTTTAGTCTAAATGCTATCGTAACAACCTTCCTGGCATGATAGGACCTGCAGAAACATTTATTCCAGCCAGTGTAGCTTGTCGGGTCATCGCGATGTGCAAGCCCGACCACCAAGTCAAGTTAGCAGCTATCGGTTGGGAATTCCTGTTAAACTATTCGTTTCCTTCAGTATCTAAATATGAATATCCTTACTTACTTCTAAAGCTTATACTGCACTGTTTTGTGAAGAAGTGTTTACGTCGAATAGTATCGGTCAAGGAAGCTTATGAAGGTTTTGATTCTCACATCTAGCTACACAGTAATAGACTTCATCTCAGGAGGAGGCTTCTTTTTATTGTCTCAGAGTACTTAAATTTGACAATTCTGTTCGGTGTAAACACTGACTGGATGACATAGAGTCTTCTGAGCATTTGCGGTGGTGATTTAAGGATTGTTTGTCGGCGTCCCTTAGCCGTTAATTTTTTATACTCTTATTTTTAAACTTGTGTGGATGAGTTCTGTACTTAGCATGTCAACTATTCGTCTTACCTGTGATTTGACATTGGACGTAGTGATTTCAATACAGACATGGAAGTTAGCTTTGTTTCTTATGTCTCTGATTATGTATCCGATTCCTGACTAAAAGTAGCGTGTACTTCACGAGAGTGTGTTTTGTGCGAGTGTATTGTTGCGAAAGTTCTGAGAAGACCTTAAGTATTCGCTTACCAATGTTGTTTTGAACGATTGACCATGTTTAATGTTAATTACTGTATTCTAAACTATATTTTTGGTTGTAAATCGCGATTTAAGTAATGAATAAGTTGAATGTGGATATATAGGTAAAAGTTGGGTAATTCAGAGGAGTGCTTTATGCACCTCCATTGTTTGGAGTGTATGCGGATAGGTGTTACACGTGTTGACTGCCTGTGTATTTTAGTATGATATATTTGTATAGTTAGACATTTTTTTCCTTCACATTCCCAGTGGAACATAGGGCCTCAAGCTAGTGGCTTGAAGTTTCCGTAGCATTGTTTAATTTTACAGGATGTGGTTGGTAGCCTCATGCCCAACCTTTCCTCTTTTACCAGCATTATTTCTGGCTTAGAGAGGTAAAGGAGTGAGTCGGTGGCCGGGGATCGAACCCCAGACCATGTGCATGGTCGGTGAGCGTCCTCACCGCTGTGCCACCGACGCACATAGTTAGACATGGATTAGTAGAAATCTAAAGGTGACTAGAGAAAGTCATGATATCAGTTCACGAAGTCTCTGGGGTATTCATGTGAATGGTGTCAATGATCAGTACTTCTAAGTTGATGCTACCCAATACTTACTGTTTGTTCATGATTGACGCTTAAGGCTTCGGTCAAAATGTTCCTGGAAAGCAGGTAGTTTACTTCCCATCAATATTCATTATCTTAACTTTAGTTTCTTAGTTTGAACTCAAGGTCTGTGATATTTTAAACACTTTAACTTATGAACTACACTTTACTACCGGTCATGTCTGTTAACACCTTAGATAACTTAAAAACTCTTCTGCTGTTTATTTTGGTGATCCAAAATAATTTTTAAAGTCAGGGTGGTTACGTATCGTCTCTCTAAAAGGATGTACTGAAAGATTTAGTAAACAATCTAGTTAGTTATTTAGTTAGATAGATCTCAATCGCCCAATACTAGGTTATAAACTACATCTAATGTGTTTGGGGGCTAATTATATCGGTTGGAGGATTAACTAGGTGGAGTGAGACTCGAACCCGGAACACACTGACAGAAAATTGGTTTCAAGTGTCAGTTTGCAGGAATTTGATTTTATTGGCTACAGGATTTGACCATAAGCTGACGTTGGTTAGAGAACCATTGGAATACCTCCAGGGAGTACTGGACAACGGTTTCGTCCCCCCCTTTGGTACTCTTCAACTGTGCGCACCCACCCAGGAATTTCCGGTCAGAAGTCAAGCTCGTAGGTTATTCAGCCACTGAGACCCAGTAGCCAGTCCATGAATTGTAACCTCTACTAATGCGTGACTTCAACGCGACTGATACCAACCAATGGCATCGGTGGCGAGTATTTGTCCTCACTCCCGACAGGGTGAACCTTACTGGTCATGACTTGTCACTAGAACTGCAGTCAAATTTGTTGCGTAGTAGTCAGTCATTGGTGACAATGAGATTAAATTTGAAGCGTTTTTCAAGATTGTTTTCCAAGTTCGGTTGCATATTGATATCAGTCAAAGAACCATTGAACACTTCGAACATCAGAAAGTCGAAGTTTTCATATTCTCAGTCTACTCAAAATTAAATTAAATACATATTTATATACTATTGTTGTGTTACTGTTACTTATATTTATAAAACTCCCATTAAATTTTTATTTATTTAATACCAGATAACATTGAATGAATTCGCCAGCATAGTTAAGCTGACTACAAATCTACCAGTTGTTCTACCTGAATTATCTGAATTACAAGATTTTGCTGATCATATCACAGCATGGAGAAATGAAGTATGCAGTCTGTTGGCACAGTTAAATAAGAAGCTAGAGATTAACAACAACAACAACAACAACACGGAGGATGTTCACAGTATTATCACTGACATTAATATGGATGATGCTCCCGCTACGACGACTGTCTCTACTGCTGCTGTTGATGTTGTTGTTGTTAGTAACATTGATGATGGTGATGATGTTAACAGTAGAATGTTCGATGCAAATAAAGTGGAACTACAACTTCGATCTATTTTACCTTCTGTACTAAAAGTGAAAGAGTATATTGATTTTGCCAATATGATCGATATTGAATTGCCAGAGTTAAACCAACTAAAGAGAGTAAGTATACATATATACATATTTATATATTTATATAAATGCTTTGTATAAATGTGTGGTTGATTTATCGACAGAAACATACAGTTAAAACTTATGAAATGTGATTTAAAACCTGTAGCCAAGAAAATACCACATATATGAACCTTGAATTCTATCTAAGGTGACTTAGCTACTGACATCTTTTTAGAAGAAGGACCACACAGTCACTTGAAAACGAAATTCGTGGCAGTATCTTTTGAGAATAGTGTGTTTTTCTATAGTCGACAGTTACCGATGAATAACCTGAAGTACAAGACCCCGCCGTAGTTGATCAACTCTATGTCTGTGTTATCGGTTCACCTGCTTGTGTGAAGTTAGGTATATCTGTTGTCCAACACGGGTTTTGTGTTGCTTAATTGCGAAGAGGTGGAAGCGGGTCTGTAAGGAGCTCAGGAGTGTGGTGAATTGAACTGCTTCACTTCTGTACAAAGTTCTATGTTGAAACTAGTTAGTCAGTTTGGTTACTTGGATGATCTTTTATGAGTTCATTCATTCTATCTGTTATAAAGTTGTGACTTATTCGTTTAAATACACAACTTTCAATCAGATTCACCATTTTTTCAACGCGGTGTTGTATATATTAAAGGCAGCGACGGCGGAAGATGATGAAAGCGTATGACTCATCTTTTAGCTTACGTATACTATTGGTTTGATCACGGGTCGACACCAGTTAAAGAATCATTGGAAGACCAGCTGAGAGTACTCCACGGCCGTTTCGTCCTAATTGTTGGACTCTTCATCAGTACCTACGCTGAATGCGTAGCTACACCTGTAACCAATCAAATCGTTACAAATCAACACTTGACATTAGTATTAGTATTATTGTATTTGTCACCTTATTTCCTTAGGTGTCAACTTTTTCTTTGCTAGAAATTCGCTTTGAAATAGCAAAGTATTCAGAGTTAATATTAGTTACTTTTTAGTGTCGATGGATTGTTTGTTAAGTATTATTCTGTGAAGTAAACAAAAACTTGAGAACTGTAAAGACATAACGTCTCTTTTTGTTTTTCTATAGCAGTTAATTGTTTCAACACTTATAAATCATACCTTTGTTCACCTTTGTACATACATAGATATGTCTGGTATTATAAGTATTGATTGTGGGTGACTGACTGACGTCTTTAAGTAAATCTTTGAATTGATCAATTTACCTTCTTTCGCACGCATTTTATGTGTAATTCTTAACATCAGCAACAACAACAATAATAGTAATATTACTGTCAGTATTATCATAGTTTGAAACCAATTTCGGTACAAACCCACCTCTCCCCACCCCGAATAATATGCTCATTCGTTCCTCTCTGATTCAGATTCATCATATATTTTGGTTAATAAAAACTGAAATACTTCATTCAGTCAGCCAGTTAGACCAAGAGATTCAGCAGGTTATTGATTTATGCACTTGCCTTACACTCAGTGGGTCCAGGGTTCGAGACTCTTTACGCCCTCAAATATTGTCTGTGTGGCTTTGCAGCCTGGTACATAGAAAGTTTCTTTTAAGTAGCTGAATTCCAACTTGGTGGTGTCCACCTTGTTGGGTGAAACTTTTATTTCCTCTTTAGTGTTTCACTGAATTGAAATGATTAGATTCTGTAGGGCGTTTTATCTAGGATGCCTTGACACTGTTATTATATCGGTTGTATGTTGATGTTGCTACTGCGATTAATAACAGTTAGTTGCGCTATGCTATGTGTGCGTTACTGTACGGGTGTTTGGTAAATGAGAATCTCTATCAAGAAACTGAATTGTTTTCACGAGAAAGCATTACTTATCTATGTTACCGGATCGACTGATATCGACTTGTTGATTAATGTGTTAGATAGTACACAGAGATCTCTGAGTTAACCTAAAGAATGGTGTCCAGGATCTTAAACGCATTATCATTCGCTGGATTATACAACCTGTTGTTATGCTACAGTGTCAGTATGAACGCTGTTCACGAATTCAGGTGCAATTTTCATCGTAATCTCGTTTTTAAGTATTGTTTGAATAATGGGTTGATAGCACGTTAGGGTCAAGATTAGTATCAGGGTTAGGGTTAGAATTAGGGTTAAAGGAAGTGTCAGAATTGAGGTGTTTTATTATTGTCCGTATCTTTCTTGTAAATAAATATATTTGGGAGGAGGGTATTCCCTGGTTCATACAGATGAAACCGTTTTGATAGTTTGTGGGGAAATTGACAACTGATACGCTTCATTTTAATTGGGAACTAGCTCTCAGTTACCCCAGGGTAAATGTAGTCTTTTATGTGTCTCACTATTATTATATTTATCTTCCTCGTAAGTAAAACGGCTTTTGTGTAAAATACATGGCAAGTTCTGTAATCCAACGAATTGTATGCGTGCAAAGTCATTGGTACGTTTGCACTGTCTGGTCGTTATTCTTAATGCTTGATGATTTCTTTGAGCGATATTGCATTTTTTTCTCTCGATAGTTAGTTTGTGGAGGTTCGATTTGTTGAAAGTTTGATTACGGATTGATGTCAGTACTAGGAGGGAGTACTGGACAGTTTTGGACTCTTTATCAGTATGCACCTATAGCTCCACCGTCGGGGGATCGAACACAGGACCTTTGGGTTACGAGGCAAGCTTGTTTGTGACCATTTAGCCGCTGGGATGGAATCCAATGGCCAATAAATTTTAACATCTCTCAATCTGCGATTTTAGCGTGACCATCAGCCAGTGTCATCATGATTTAAATAAGTGATGAGAAGTTGTATCAACTAAATCTTCCAGTTGAGTCAATAAACCTGTTAGGCATTTAGCTTATACCTACGATACCATTTTGCATCCTTCTGCAAACCGTAATCAGGTCTTTTCAGCATATCTATAAACTTTGAAGTTCTTTTTTGTACGTGTGCATATATCCCTAATAATTTTATTTTCAGCTTTGATAACGAGTTGACATCAGTTAAAGAACCACTGGAAAACTAGTTGAGAGTACTACCTGACAGCCGATTTGTCCTAGCTTAGGACTCCTCATCAGTACGCGCCCACTGGGGTGCCAACCTAAGACCTCTTGGTTACAAGCCTATGTCGTAGACCATTCAGCCAGCCAGTGGGACCCTACTTCTCAATGTCCAGCCCATGAACACCAACTTCTGCCAATTCGTGATATGTGTAACTCAACCGCCAGTCAATGTGTCATAGGCGAATAACTGTTCTTGGTGACTCTAAACTATACCAGCCCAAACTAAAACTACCTGGCGAACGGATAAATGACTTTGACAACGACAACTTTGACCAGTCAGACACCTCTGTAGTAAAAGCGCATAATTTGAATAAAACGTTTATATAAAAGTAATGCAGTGTTGAAGAGTAGTTACAAAGGATAAAGTTCCCGTATGTATTCCAAAAAAACCTTCCAATTTCTCATAGGAGTCTTCACAGTTATGGTAAACCAAGCCCTTTACATAAACTCATCGAGATAACTGTATATCATTGCATTTCTTGATCCATTCACAGTTCTGATCCGTTTTTTGAGATGACTCCAAAAATTTCCGATGGAATTAGTGTGAGTTCCATCGAAAAGATTGAAGTCATTTGTATGGTTGACGACGTGATGATTATAGCCCGGGGTTGGTAGCTAACTATCACTACTCCATTCATCTTTATGAAAAGTTGTTCCAGGCATCACTAAGCGTTGGATTATAGGTAATAAGACATTAACACTGCGATTAGGGATCGCCTCAATGTATCCTTTCTGGAGGGTGGTGTCACACTCAATCTACCTCGATTATATTTTCTTTTTATAAGCACTGTCTCATCCATATGAACAATGACGCCAACGCCGCCAAGTACTTGAGTCAGTCTGTTCATTTTCCATGATGTTACGTCCCTGCAGTACTGGTACCATTGCACTGCAGACACTTCTGAATTTTCTGATTCATACGCTGTTGCTATTACTGGTCTTTTAAGCACCCAGTTGTGACACATCATTAAAATTTTCGTTAGAGGTAACTTAGACTTGGCGGAAAAACTACCTGCGGAATCGGTAAACTAAAAAAGAATGGCATACCTTCTCGAACTGACTTTCTGGTTCGGCAATCATCGCATCTGTGAACAAATCCATCAATGCATCTAGTATATCTTGGTATATACATGACACCTCCACATTCACACTTTTTCGACCTTCCTGTCAGTTTGTTCTCCAAACAATAATATCAAAAACAAGATCTGGAGCGAATTTGCTACGCAAAAGATGTACAGCATGCATAAGTATGCCTGTATAATACGGATTCAACTGATTGGTTGCTCAAGGTCTTTTATCCGTTCGCTAGGTAGGTAGTTTCGGTTTAGCCTGCTGTAGTTTAGAGTCACTCTGTTCTCTCTTCTACCAGACTTGGTGGATCTCTCTGGTTAATTGATTTCTCACTAGAAGTCCAGGTAACACTAACTCTGATGTCAACTCGTGATGCAATCTGTAATCAATCAAGTTAACCGACCCTCGATAATTTTATTTTTTATTAAGGTACATGATTGCCTCATTTGGTTGGAGGATGTCGATAAAATTCTGAACTTCAAATCTAATAATATTTTTAATAGTAATCAAAGAGAAAATGATGATACTGGCAGTGATGTTAAACCAACTGTGATACACAAGCCTACACTGAATGATGTTTGCAAATTACAATTACAAGGTAATCAAGTGGCTTCATCTATCGCTTATGTAATGAATAATATTCATGAAAATGGATATACGCATAATTTTGCTTCGTGTAGCGTATTGGATACGGCATTAACTGTGCAAAGTCGACGTTTATTGGATATGGTGTCTGCAGTTAAATTAGTTGAAGAGAGTTTAGAAAAAATTATCCAAGCAGAGTATGTTATCCTTTTCTTTTATACCTTTTTTTTCAAAAAAAATTTATATTTCTTAATTAGGTTTGCATATGAGTTTGATACTTTTGTGATAGTACTTTCATCGATACAACTTTTCTCCATACGTATTTATTAAGTGGTTTTTGTTTTCTTATTCTGAATACCCCCTCCCCCCACCTTACAAATGAAATTACTGTGCTAGCAGAAGGGCATCTTCAATACGCAATCCTCACACTACACATGCCCCAGTTGCCAGGTATTATCACATTAAGACTTATATAATTTCAAATTTAACCACGAATTGATATCATTTTAGAGAACCATTGAAAGTCAGTTGGGAGTACTCATCGGAGGTATGCACCCCTCAGGGTTCTTACTCAGGACTTTCTGGTTATAAGTCAAGCTCGTAGACCAACCATTTAGCCACTGGAACCCGACTCCTCAATGGCTGTCCCATGAATTCTAACAACTACCACCGATTCGTGATTGTAACGCTACCATTGCCGGCTAATGTCACTGGTGGCGAGTGTTTGTCTTCACTCCCGACGGGGTGGACCACACTGGTCATGAGTTATCACTAAAACTGCAGGCTGCTTCATTGTGTAGCCAGTCACTAGTGAACATGAGAATGATTTTGAAGCGTTAGTTTGTGGGGATTTGATTTGTTTTAAGTTTGATTACGTGATGGTATAAGTACGCATGGGTGAATACCTACTGCTGATGAGTTCCAAGCTAGGAATAGACAGTCGTCGAATACTCCCTTGTTTTTAGTGCTCCTCTAACTGATATCAATCCGTGATGAGAATTCAAACAAATCAAATGTCTACAAACTAACTGTTAGAGACTTATATAATTGGTTTAAGTAGTAGCCGGATTTCCGAAGCCAAAACTAATCTCTCATGAATTTTTGTTTCATAGTTTGTGTGAGGGCCGGAATAATGCCCGGGCGTCGAGACAAAAACAGCTGGTTGTCTTATGAGGACACTTCGTGAGCTTTGACTTGAAGTCATTTCGAAAAGGTAATGTGGCTGCCTAAGAAGCTAGCTGCATTTCCATGTTTTCCAGTGAGTGAAACAGGTTCACATGTCATTCAACCCGTTCGGGTTCTGGAGGCCATCCACGCCATAAATTTGCAGTTAGCCTCTTCCAGCTACCCTAGGTAGGGCAGCATATCCACCCAAACCTCTGCACTTACCATTTCACTTTTGTAAGGGACAATGCCTCATGGAGGAGGTGAATAAGAGTTATCTGGTCACATGGGAGCATTTCAAGAGGAAGACTGCAGTCAGCTACCCACTGTCGGCTGTACTAGGTTGTTAGGGTGATCATGAAACTGCATGTAATTACTAAGTTGTACACATATATCGATGGTTTTTACTCATATCATCTTATGTTATACTGGTGTAACGGTGGTGGATAAAAGAATTGGTAATGGACTTTTTACTAATGAAAAACGCATCATATATTTATGCATTTTGACCACATTGAAAGTCGGCTAGTTCAGCTGACAATAAACCGTTCTGATTAGCTGGCGATTATTGACCCAAGGTTAAACAAAATGGCTAGAAGTTGTCCAATGAGATTGTTTCCAGACCACATCGTCAACTAGATTCAGATTCTAGGAATAATCACTTTTGCCTTTTGCCTCAGCCATTGACTTAAAATGTTGATTCCAGTTTTTGGTCGCTTCATATCAGCTTGCATTTATATAGCACACGCTGCGTTTTTTTTACTTTCTTCTCTTGCCTTGTGTGCTACAAGGAGGGAGTGTGGTAACTCAAACTACTGCACATCGGTGTAAAGTTCTATGTTGAAACCAGTCAATCAGTCAGTCAGTTCCAGAATAAAGATGTTATTATTATTGCCGTCATCGTCTTATTTTCATACTTTTTATCATTATTTTCATTATTTTGTTTTTTTAAAGGCCGCGCAGTTTATCATTAAGTGTTATAAAAGAACGAATAACGGTAGCACTGCAATTACCGATTCATTTGACTATTATTACTGATGTCCAGGAGATATATGAAAATGCAAAAATTTATGAGAAAAAGTTTAATTGCCTAGCAAATATCCTACTGATCAACGATAACTCATGGATTAAAGAGGAAAAAGCAGAAGAAAGAGAATCAGTCGGACAAGCGAAGCTATTACAACCACCACCACCACCACAACAACAACAACAACAGCCACTACAAAAACCTGATGATGATCAAGAAATATCATTACCTACACAGGATAGCAATAAAGAAAATATCACTGTAACTGATGCATTTATTGACGAAATTATGGAAGAGATTGGTTTAGGCTCATTGAATTCTACGCCATCAACATGGTTAGCCTATCTCAATACCTTAGAAGAGAAAACTGCAAATTGTGTTGTGAAATTTCCACAAATTGATCCTATTAAAACATTGGTAATTTAATTAATTAATTATATCACATCATTTCTTTTTCGAGTATATATTTATGATATATATTACGCTTTGAAGTTCCTATAGTGACTGGATTGATTTCCCAGGGTGTGTTGAATCCATATCTGCCGAGCCTAACATAACTTTTCGTCTTTTCACAGTCTTACGACCGGCTAGTGAACTAGGGGAAACCTTCAAGTGAAACTGTAATTTATGTGTTCGTAGATGATGACACGGAGGAAATCGTCTGGCGTCGGAATAAAGGCTTATTATATAATAAGCGATCACTGAGCCAACTGGAAACTACTTCAGACAGCAGAATGAAATGGTGTAATGTACTTCTGACTCTCTGCGTCCCGTTAGAGAGGAATAATAGTAATAATAGTAGTAGTGCATGTGATTAACTTTTATTTACAGCATGTTGTGCATCAGTGGTTCATCGGTAGAATGAATGCCCGTCAACCACACCTCACGTGGCCCGGGATTCGATTTCCGGGTTGACACACTTCTAAACCTCGCTAAGCCGACAGTAAGCTCAGTATAGAGGAAAGGTTGGACTTGAGGCTTGTTTTTTTCCTTTTGTAAAAATTTCATGCGAATGCTCTTTGCTCGGTGGTTATTTTTCCTTCTTCTTTTATCAGGCTATGTATAGTCAAAAAGTCATTCTTAAGAAGAATTGCATCTATGATGTTTCTATTCAACAGCAATAGCATGTCATCCTTTTCGGATCTTCTAATGAGATGATCAGCTACCTGTTTAGTTATAATTATTGATTCTCATGTATGAGACTTTAATTTTCTACTCTACTCTGTTTTTGAGTTTGGTTAGTTGCTTATTTTTACGGGATGGAGTTGCTAACCTCAAGCCCAACCTTGCCAATTTACTAGTGTTTTTACTGACTTACGGAGGTTAGGGAGTGCGCCGGCCCGGGATCGAACCCCTAACTACATGCGTGGTTGGCGAGCGTTATACCGCTGTACCACCGACGCACAGAATTACAGAATTACAAAGTTTTTTTTGAGCTATCAGGAACAGTAGGTATTAAAAAAGAGCATTATCTAGCGTTTTTCAGTTCGCGTAATCTTCTGTGGAGTCTTTTGCGTGATATCCGTCTATCCACCAAAGAACCTACTAAACAGGTTGCAAAACAATTGACTTCTTCCCACCTTAATACTGTGAGACATTGACATTAAAAGTGGATAATCTGAAAAGATTCTGTTTCTCATATTCGAGGACGTATTATTATGAGTAATAATATGGTTAGGCGCAGAACGTTTGGTAGGGATGGAAAGTCAATCGATCAGGCTGTGAAGCTTCATCGGTCGCTTGTAGTGAGGCAGGTGTATTAACTCTTTGTTGACGTACAAGTGCTGAAAATCCTCACTAATCTTTGCCTCGAACTGGAGCTTTTAATTTTCGGTAGCAAAGATTTTGTTTTCATGCGGTGGGGTGGGTGGTTGCTAGCCTCACACCCAACCTTCCTTCCTCACTTGATTCTTACTACTAGCTTAACGAGGTTTAGAAACGCGTCAGCCGGAGATTTTGCCAGTTGCTACTTTTAATTTAAAACCTCCAGAAATCTTCTTCGTTTGAAAAGTTATAATTTAACTCTGAAATTTTTATTTGGTTCTTTTTTATCCGGAATTTTAGTGGTTTTCAGTGGTGTTTGTACGTCAGTGGGGTTTCAGTGGTGGTAGGCATACTCGCCAACCACGCCTCACATGGTGCTGTGTTCGATCCCCAGCCCACAGCCTACTTAACCTGGCTTAACCCCGCTAGTAAGCTTGGTAAAGAGAGAAGGCTGGGCATGGAGCTAGCAATTGCTTCCCCCATCCCCCCACCTCAAATGTTACTGAAACTTCAAAGCTCATGCTTGAAAATCTGTATTGCATTCACAACGCAAAGGATATTGAATTTAACACAAATAATCAGTAATTCATTAGTTAATTCATGTTTTCCATTTCCAAAGTGTTGTTGATTTTTAAATTAAATTTTTTAAAGACTTCAGTATTAACTTTCTCACCTTTTGTTTCACTCTTTTTTGTTTCTCTTTTTGCATAACACAAACACGCAGTTGTCAGAGTTGAATGTTATTCATGAAAAATTGGTAAAATTATTCCTTAGACCAGAATCAACTCAAAGTTTACTAGAAGTTCTCTTACCACGATCAGCATCTGCTTTAGAATGGCTTATTCGTTTAGACGGTGGTCCAGATCTGCCTGGTTTATCTTCATCTAGAAGTGATGGGAACAATTGTCCATCAACTACATACAAGCGTCATACACGAAGTCCAAATTTTCAAGCATTAACGTATAGATCGTTGTGTAAACACAGTGCAGAAGTGAGTGAATCTTTCTGTGACATTCTGTTATTATTATTATTATTATTATTATCTTGAACTGTAGAAATATGTATTTTCCAGTCATTGGGTTACAAATGTGAGTTTATTCCACGGTTATAATACTCTGGCAGAGGTGTGCGGCTTATTGGCCTAAGCACTCGATTTCAGGTGACGGGTCACGGTTTTGAATCGTGTTCAACCTATTTGAGCTTAGGCAACCATCAGCCACAGTAAATGTGGCTCTTAGCCCCTGTCACATGGAAATTCTGTTCATGGTAATTGATTTCAAACAACTACAGTACTCTGTAGTCCCACTCTAGAGAGATTATAGTCCAGTATTAGTGAGCACTTTCAACGAGGAATAAATAAATCAATAAATTTAATCATGTAGTATGTTTGCTGTGTGCGTCGGTGGTACAGTAGTAGAATGCTCGCCAACCAGGCACGTGGTCCCGGGTTCGATCCCCGACTGACTCACTCCTTTACCTCGCTAAGCCAGTAATAAGACTGGTAAAGAGGGAAGGTTGGGCATGAGGCTAGCAACCACCCCATCCTGTAAAAATAATCACCACTGCCACAGACACTTCAAGCCTCTAGTTTGAAGCCCTCTATGTTCCACTGGGAACGTGAAGGAATAAAAAATGTTTTCTGTACGTAGGTGGTTCAGCGGTAAACTGCTGGCCAACCATGCACATGGTCCGGGACTCGATCTCCTGCCGACGCACACCTGATAACAATGGTCGGCCAGCTTTCCATTATTATTATTCCAGCATTCCCATTATATATTTTCTTATATCATCTCTAATTCTCTAATATACATTTGAAGAAAACAATGATAACATACTTTTATAATTCTTCTTTTTTCCGTTTTCACTTTATAATGTTTCATTTTTTTATATTTAGGAATTTGCTAAAATATCCAGTGATAAAAACTGTAGTGAAATGTATGAATCAGTGTATAGCCGTTTTATTGATGGTGAAATCTCATTAATGCATTATTTACGTAGTACAAATATGCGAAAATCAAGAGCAAAACACCAGGAGAAAGTTGTTTACTGCATATGTCGACAACCGGGTCTAACAAGTTTTATGCTTCAATGTGAATTATGTCGTGATTGGGTGCATAATATATGCGTGACACTTCCATCTTTAAAGGTTAGCTTAATCTATTCATCAATTTATTGATAAATATTGAAAGTGTTGATTTGCACTGGTTTGGTTGATTGGTGCTTACAGGTTTGACTACGAGTTGAAATCGGTTAGAGAATCATTAGGGAGTCTGGGAGTACTACTCGACAACTGGTTTCGTACAAGTTTAAGACTGTTCAGCTACCGGGGTTCGTGTTATGACGGGAACTACGACCCAGTAGGCTATGAGTGAATACTAACTTAATGCACACTGGCTAATCTGTCCTAGTCACGCGTCAACAACAACAACAACAATAACACCGTTGGCATGCAAAGACATACGGAAAGCCTGGACGTTCGGTGAAGTTAAACAATTGCGCCCCAAAGGATGCAAACTCACGAGTGACCTTGGGCCAACCAACCATAAAATAACTGACTTTTACATTAAAAATGACGTTTATTTATAAGCAAATGCATGCGAACGCATTAAACAGAGTATCTTTCTCTCACATGACTTAAAGAAACTTCCCAGTTATGATCAGGAGTATCAGTTTATTAAGATAGACCACTTTCTGTACATGTATTCACCGAGGTGACTGGAGATGAGCTGTTTTTGTGAATCTTATATCTCTCTTATCCTGTTGTGCAGTCTTCCCCAAAGCCGTCGGTTGAATTGCTATGGTTTCCAGTAAGAGGATAGACGACTGTTTACCAGGAAAGTGTGGATAATAAAACAACTTAAATAATACCAACTCTGAATCTATCCTTAATCGTAACCCTAACTATAACTCTCATTCTAACCCTAATGTCTACCTTAACCATAACGAGCTATTAAAACATTGTCCATACAGTAATTGAAAGCGTTATTTGGGTGAAATTTGCTATTTAGTTGTTGATGTTTACGCTATGTGAGCGTTCGCATCCCTGGGACTCTATTGTTTAACTTCATCGGACGTTGATAAAACAGGGCTTTTACTATCTCAAACAGCAGTCAAAATTCTATACAGAAATGGCCTTAAAAATGTAGTAATTCAATGATGCATCCATCAAAAATACTAACAGCCAATAGGAATCCAGCACTCCAAACAGCAGGGAAAAACAAAGGGACCACGTCACTGCGCAATAACTCCCTAAATTAGTCATTTTAAGGTTTTAGACAAAACTAATTGTATATATAACAGGTTGAACCCGAGACCTTCCGGTTACAAGGCTACCTTGTGGATCATTCAGTTATATATATATATATATATATATATATATATATATATATATATATATATGCATAAAACCACTTGTCCTTAAGTACATTATTCGGTTACAATATAGTTGCTCACTCTATTTAGCATTGGTATGAGATTTTTCCACTCTTAAAATTTAATGTACTTTATTCAGTATATACATGTGTCTATACACATCTGTTCAATACTTGTTGAATGAAGCATACAAAAATTTATTTACAATTAGATATGAATTTCTTAATCTATTGACTAGTAAAATTATCTACGCATCATAGAAGTAATTTGTTTGATTATATATATTGAATATTTAACTGGTTGATGGTGACTAGCAGTGTGGAATACAGGATGCGCATTTCATCCTATTTGGGACTCGTCAGCCACTGGATGTACCTGCATTTCTCAGTGAGTGATGATTTTCCCACCGAGGCTTTGGAGTTTGAAACTATGGGCATTGTGTTCGAGCTTCGGTGGGAACATCATCACTCACTGAGAAATGCAGGTACATCCACTAGCTGACGAGTCCCAAATGGGATGCAACGCGCATCCTGATTGATTCCACTGCCAGTCACCATCCACCAATGAAATACTAAATAAATGCCCAGACATTCTCGAAGCATCTGCAAAAGAAGTCGACATGTCAACCTGAGACCGAGCACTTCGGTCCAATCAGTTGACGGGCAAATCTCAAATTCAATTAATACTTTGAGTATTAGTGATAGCTAGAAAGAATAGGGTTGAAAATGTTGGATTGAGTGTTTTTACTCACAAATAAGAGTGTGTGCGTGGGACAGTTCACTTAATTTCTTATATATCCGTCGTTCATTCATCCCTTATAAATAGGGGATTTTTAATTTTAGAACTGATAACACTTTGCTGACGACGAGAAATCCTCAGCTTATTTTACATGAGAATGAACAATCAGGTCTAATTGGCTATAGTTTTTTACAGAGGTATTTAAGAAATGATGATGCGTCAGAGATTTGATTAAAATGTCAAACATCTCTCTGGTTTGTCGAAGTCACTGATTATCCTAGTTGTGAATAAGGGGGGCGGGAATTCTTTGTGCGATAGTCATAGAGGAAATTGTTTAATCAATAGAATTTTTAAATTCTTAGGCTTAACTAGTATTTAGTAGCAACATGTTTGGGAAAATCAGGTTGAAATCATGGATAATTGCGAGTTTCGTAATCGCCACTAATTTTATTCTGTGATCTGAAGGCGAAAACGATCCTGTCTGTTGAGAGATTTTATGGTTGCATATTTCACTATTACAAATACCTGCTGAAAGTATCTTTCTGCCCAGGGTTCTAGAATTAATTACCCATACTCATTCAAAAGTGAGAACAGACCATATTGAAGTATAAAACGGTAGTGTCTTGTTTCAAGTTCGCCTATGGATTGATATCAGTTAGGGAAACTCCAATGCAAATCATTGGAGTGCTGGACAGCCTTTTTGTCCTAGTTTGATGGGTTTGAATCTAGGACCTTCCGGCTACAAGTCAAGCTCGTATACCATCTAATCACTTGGACCTGACTCATTCACCCATGAATTCTAACTTCTAGCGATTCGTGATTTTGGCGTGACTGTTATCGACCAGTGTCATTGGCTTTTGGTGTAGTTGTGTTCTCTGAGATGGATGGTTTATTTGCAAAGCCCTTATTGCCCTAATCGGCAACATCTGCAGCAAATACTTCAGTTTGAAGAATGCTGTCTAGTAGGGCAATGAAAGCTTCGGAAATAAATGTTCCAGCTCAGAAAATACAACTACATCAAAATCATCCACCTGAGCTACAAATCTCCTCCATTATATCTAATGTCATCGGTGACGAGTATTTGTCCTCATACACGACCTGGTGGACCACATTGGTGATGACCTCTGACTAGGACTGTAGGTAACTTTCTTCTGTGACCAGTCATTAACGAGGATCAGATTAATTTTCAGGAGTTAGTTTGCTTCCAGTTTGATCACGTATTGGTGTCAGTACGCACTGATAGGTACGTAATGATGATGTGTCCCAAACTAGGATGAAGCAACTGTCCAATATTTTCTAGTTTCCACTAGTTCCCTCACTGATATCAGTCCGTGGTTAAAGTTAAATCAAATCAGACTCCTACAAACTAACCCTTGAATAAAGTTTTGTTTCACATGCTGTTGTAAACTACACACAGCTTGAGATTACATTGGTGGTTATGTAGAAGAACATACTGTAAATGTCAAAGCGTCGTCATTAGTGAAAATGTCGTCAATTGAGGAATGCGAAATTCATAAAATCAAGAGACTATCAAATTTTCTAAGTCACATCATTATAAGTTTTTATATGCCATACTTTTATGTGAGCTTTTACTCAATGAAAGGGTAAGCTGTCGTTGATTATAGGTGGTCTGCGTTATAGCTCCCATCTTAGGTCGTATATCATTGTGATTAATATTGAGGTTAGGCGTTGAATGTTAGGCAAGGAGGAAAGCCAATCGATGAGGGCTTTGAAAGATGCTGAGAACCAATGACTGGAGACAGTTGACGGTGATATGGCTGAAAATCGTTCTCAATGAACTGGTGCAGATGCATTTACTCCTTGTGGTCTGCCATATTCATAAAAGCCTATTGTTTTTCTATGTTACTATTGTTTCCTCCTCTCTTGTCTTCTTTTTTGTTCTACATGGAATGTGACCAGTTAAACAGCTGCACTTTTGTGCAAAGTTCTATGTCGAAACCAGTGAATCAGTCTTTCTAAGTGTTGCAACTCTATATGATACACTTCTTTGTAGGGTTTTGCTTTGTTCTGTCAATCAGTTATCAAACAAACGAGGAAGGTAAAAATTCTTAATTTTGAAATCTGTGATTAAATCAAAGGACCATGGGATTTACGCAATTAAAATCAAAATACTGTAGGAGAATTATGACATTCTCTCTTTTTGTGTAGATAACTTCACAGTTAAAAACGTTTTATTGCAAACACTTTCAAGGAGCATAATTATGCTGGTATCTGCACACACACACACACACACACACAAACACAAGATGTCTGTTTAGTGCATCGTTCGAATCTTTAATTCACTTGCAACATTTGCTTCTTGCTGTGTGTGTATACTAGGAAAGCATTCTTAGTGCTTACAATGTATTTGCTATCGCGCTGACGCCAGCTCATGAAGTCACTAGTTATTGAATGGATATGAAGGTATTATACTGAAGGCGCTGATGGATTGATTGTCTTGCATTCAAGTGTACACACCAAAACTATGATGGGGGCATTATGTTATGAAATTCGGAGGTGATCTACGCTTTCCCAAGTTTGTTTTTTACCCTCATTTTTTCTATATCTAATCTGTTCTTCGAAATGATATTTATGTAGTCCTTAAAGAGAGAGCTTCATATCTTAATTTTCATTTGTTGAATGTGGAAAGTTCACATCTTCAAATTACCTGCGTTGTGATCTTATTTCAAGTTTTAAACCTTAAGTTTAGCCTACTAAATTACATATGTAGTAGTATACTTCATGGTCTATCAAGGAATTGAAAATATTTCCATATATTGGTTTTTTTGTAGGGATTTTGTTTGATTGGTTGAAGGATTTCAACATGAGTTGATATCAGTTAGAGAACCATTGGAAAACCTGGGGGCGCTGGACAGCTGTTTCGTCGCAGTTTGGGCATCATCATCAGTACGCACCCACCAGGCTTTAAAGCCAGGTGAGTCCCAAACTAGGGCGAAACAGCAGTCCAGTCCTCCCAGGTTTTCCAACGGTTCTCTAACTGATTTCGGCTCACGATGAAAGTATTTTGATATTGAAACTCTGCTAGGATACATTTCAGTTTAGGGAGTTAAAATATCTATACGACACTATAGAACTTCCTGCTTGCCTATATATATATATATATATATATATATATATATATATATATATATATATATATATATATTTGGTACTCGGTAGATGGTGGAGAAGTACTCTTCAATAGTAGCTTTGTAGCCAGTTTGAACCAGGTATTCTACTATGGAGTTATTGATGCTTCTCAGTACACCTTTATGTAACCACACTGGTAGATGTTCACGAGCACGAAAAATGATGAGGTACATAGACTAGCCACTTCTAATTGTATCTACCAATTCAACTGCGCTCGTCGTGTAGCGAGTTATATTGGCCATTTTCTTTGTCATTCTTGTGAAACAAGAAGAGCGATAGGCTGAAGTGACCAAACCAAAACATAGCTACATCAGTCAATGAAATCCATAACAGTTAGTTTAAGCTAGTCACGTGGGGAGGTGTAGACTTCCTGACTGGCCGGGGTCCTCGGGATAGTAAACACCTACGACGGCTGGAGATAATTGGTGATATGGCAAAAAGTCGTTCTCAATACCTCGCACAGATGCATCCACTCTTTGTGATTTACAATATCCAATAAAAGTATATTGTTCTTCCACATTACTATTCTTTTTCCCTCACTTACACTTCAGTTTATTATGTCTCTTTTGAATTTCTCTTTATTGTCTTCTCTTACTTTGTGTGGTAGATGTAGTGGACTGTGGCAGCCGAAACTGCTTTACATCTGTGTTAAGTTCTACATTGAGACCAGTCAGTCAAACTCCATGGTTTCCCTGATCTCTCATCTCCTCCTCACATGGCCTGCTCCACTTCATCCTCGGACGTTCAACACGGCGTTTCAGATTCGGCTACCACTTGAGGGTACTCCTGGCGCTCGATGTCACTCGACGGTGTTCTAAGCGTGTGTCTGATCCGTCCACATTTTTTTCGGCATAGTTGTTAGGCAGTAGATTGTTGGTTGATTCGTTGCCAGCCAGAGTTCTTTGTTGCTTATGCTTCCTGGTCAACCATTTAGTCCTCATCATGGAGTGGAGGCAGCTGTTGATGAAAATTTGCGGTAGCCTGTTCAAGGTGTTTTAATTGACCCGCAAGCTCTGAGAGACTTATTGTTGAAAACTCGAATCTTGTTTATACTGATTGCAGCAGATTTCCATACTGATTTCACAGTAGTGAATATCTGTCTTGTTTTTGCAATCCTGACGGGCTTCTGCGTCTTCATGTATGCCGCTACCTTCAGTTGAAACGATGGTGCCCAGATAAGTGTGAAAGAAGTTAACTCGTTCAAATTCCTTCCATTGATACAGGGCTTAAACTCTTGATAAACTATTTGGAAGTTAACTAAATAGATAATTACGCTTATATGGTTGTTACCAGACATCTCCTAGTTACGGGTCATGAGATAGAAATCACAAAATCCTCTAAAATTATCAGTACACAAAATAGTTCATTTCTCTTCAAGTTTACCGAAACAATTGTTATCAAATGCCTGCAATCGGAATGACAATTTGAGAAAGAAGCAGTTATCAGTCTTCCCTTGCCTTCTCCAGGCAACTGGATATCTTTCCCTCTCTTTCATTTGATTACGTAACATTTATCCTTAACCCCACCCCCATTTGATATAGTGTAGTTTTGCTTGTCTTTTGTTTCTGTAGTCTGAGTTGAACTCAGTACATTGTTACCTCATTTATTAGTCACTCATCAACTTACGCATCTCTCGTCTTTACTACGTAACTCCTCTACCATTGTACGCATACATTTACCTTGTTGAAACTTGAATTGCCTGTGTTAAAACTATATAAGCGTAATTTTCTAAGCACTGTGTTCACTAAGTTCAGGGCCTTCTGTCAACTGACATCATGTAAAATTTGCAAGTAAGTTAAAACTTTTTTGTACATAAACTTAATAAGCTGTAAGCAGCTGATGAGAAGCCCACGAAGTAAGCAATGACGGCACCATATTATTCTGCACAAAGCACACTGTTGTTCTTGCTTTATTCTAAATAGATAATGTAGCAGCAACACTATCGTGATGGTATACGGCATCTTACTATGCCACTCAAGTTCCTAAGTATAAATTCCCGAATTCCAATTTACGCATTTAGAAAGAAAACATTGGGCGAAGAAATATGCATTCCTTTTCAATCAGTTCCTCATCATCGACTCTACATTAATATGTAGTTTTTTTTTACATTAAAATGTTTTGCCAATCAAGTGGTTATTTTAGTTAATCTGTTTTAGGTTTAGGGGAGAAGGTGGAATAAAGAGGTTAAAGGTCACCAAAACAAATAACTGAAAATTGTCAGTAACAAGATATCCAACTTTTAAAAAAGAGCGGTGAGAATTAATTACGGAACTCAAAATAAGCTGATCCTTAGGTGTTAGCATCAAGTTATTGCACAATCAAAAAATTTGTAAATAATGAAGATTGACAAGAATGGGATGACTCAGAAGATTTACGTAAAATACAAACAAGTTATTCAAGTGTTGGTTTGTAGGGATTTGATTGGTTTCGGGATTTCATCATGAGCTGACAGTAGTTAGAGAACCATTGGAAAACCTGGGAGTACTGGACAGCTGTTTCGTCCTAGTTTGGAACTCTTCATCAGTTCGATTCCCAGTGGGTGCGTACTGCTGAAGAGCCCCAAACTAGGACGAAACAGCTGTCCAGTACTCCCAGGTTTTCCAATGGTTCTCTAACTACTGTCAGCTCATGATGAAATCCTGAAACAAACAAGTTAATAGAACTATCTAGAATCGTAAAAAAAAACAAAGTCAGTAGTTACAAGTGAAATTGGAAATTGTTTTTAAAAACTTAATACATATTATGTAGTTAGCCATGACAAAGAAAGGGACTGTGCAAATTTCTTCCGAGCACTCAGATTCGGCTTGTTCAGATGGATTCCGATTGCCTCTGCTGTATGCGAAATTCGTACTCGTAGACCATGCGGTGAGAGGTTGGGTGGTAGAGTCGACTTGATGTCTAGTATCGACGAGCTGAGCTAGTATTGAGCTGCGTATAGCTTTAGTGGGATCTTTATCAAACCAAGATGGGAGGTGTTCAAAAATTCTACGATGAACTTGCCTGATCGTACGCCCAGTGAAATTAGCTTCGCACGAGCAGTTAAACCGGTAAATACACATAGAAGAGGCGAAACAGGGACAGTCTGTCTTTATTTCTTAAACTAAGAAGTATTGGTCGGCTAGTGAACACACAGCATAGCTTAGCTGCATCGGAAGTCCTTTTGAAAGCCCTTTTCAGGTATTGTATTACGATCTCACTACTGACATCACCCGTGAGTTGTAACCTTAGGAAGACTGACATTTTGGGAACAGCCAGCAACTTTTTCACTTTTTAACTTCACTTGATTGGTAAAAAATTTTGATGTAAAAAGCTATATATTAGTGTAGAGCTGATGATAAGGAATTAATTCAAAAGGAATGCATATTTCTTTGTTCAATCTGTTGTTTCTCTAAATAAGTATAATTGTTCACAAATACGAATTCACTAGTATTCTGACATCTTTTTGAATTAATTTTTGATATGTTGTTACCGCTAAATAATACGCTTAATTTATCGTCTGTTACAGACGATGTCAGAAAAGGCGTCAACAGAAAACAAATGTGATATGAGATATTTTTATATTAGGCAAATCTTGGTTAAATATGTTGAAATTTTTTCTCTACACCTCCTTCTCATGTTTTCAATGAATAACTTATATATAATTTAACTTTCACTTAATGTCTTATACTCAAGACATGGTTGAATTGCAGCTCCATTGGTTTAGGCACTCACTTATAACTAAGTGGGTCATGGGTTCGAACTCCTCTCCAATTACTGAGGTTTAGACAACCGTACACGTGATACCTGTGGCTCATTACCAGCTGCATGGGACTGCAATTGGCTGTTGAGTAACACTTCAGTGTCACTTTATATTATCTTACGTCACACTTCAACAAACCCCATCAAAGTTCATATGAAAACATACCAATGATATAAAGAGAACCTGGTTTATAAGAATTAGCAAAATAGTTAGGGAAAGAGATGGCTACACCAAACACCTAAAAACCTAATAAATGCTTCTATCATTTATGTAAATCCTAACGCTATAGTTTCCTTGCATATTGCAATTCAACATCTCAAATTATTTCCTAAATATCAGCCAATATGTAATCTCATGATATCACATTGAAGACAGTGCCCAGCTAGATCTTTTCCCCCACCACATGTTTGTGTTTTCACCATAGTAACCGTTTCCAAGCTTTCAAAAGTGGTAGTAATCTCTTCTCCATTGAATTTTTCATAGCTTAAAAACCAAATTTACTCTATTCTAACTACATTTTTTTACTGTACAGGATTCAGAAACTGAACGTATGCGATATATCTGTCCACGATGTGAATGTAGTCTTAGACCAGATTTGAAACAAGTTCTAGAGGTTCTTGTAGAACTTCACAATCTTACAAAGCTCAAAAGTAATTCAAATCAATATCAAGCATTGAATAATAATAATAATAGTAATAATACGAATAATGCTGTTAATACGGAAAACAAGCCTACACATGACCTGTATTTTCATCAATTCCCAGAATTTGTTGCAGTTCAATTACTCTGTGATCGAGCTATTTCTTTTATCAAACATATTCAAAAGTCGATAGCGGTTAGTTTACTATGAATGTACTTTTATTAATTTATTTTCCCTGAAGTTGTACTACCACTACTAATCCATATCCTCATGTTGCTAGGCCGTTTTACCTGTGTACGGACATTTCACAATTGCGGGTCCTGCCAAATGACCAATGCAAAGGTTTGTGGAGAGTTGGCCGTTTTTTCCATCACATTTGACAGTCAGTACCAGAACACCTAATCAGGGACTCTTGCGCACTGGAGCCAGCCCTTCCTGACATATGGACTCGAGATTCCGATCTCCAAACCACAGCCCACTGCACAAGACGCCACTTCAGACTAGCCTCGGCTAACAGTTGCCAGCTGCACCTCGCGATAGGGATTACCAGTCCTCCGCAGCCACCCGCTAACCAGTTGTTATTGGCTTCGGTCCTCTCATCAAGAATTCACAGATCTACTGGTCCCGCCGATGCACCGTGCACCGCCATAAGGCTTAAGGACCGCTGCACCGCTGCTTCATCAAGATTGAATAACCGGACACGAATGTTGTTTCATGCAGTGACAGGTCTTAGGTGGAGCTCGGTTTTCCCGCCGATAAGCTCCACCCAGCGGTTGCCCCGTGGAGGCGCCTGCCACATATAACCATGACCTCGTCCCGCCATTACCCATGTCCGGTTGAGTTTCTCCACGTTGATACTCAGAGCACTGGGCGGAACAATCGTAACCAAATGGAGATTTAACTAGAGAAGCCAATATTAGCCAATATCGGCTCTCTAAGCTAAGATCATGTATAGAATCCATATAATCATGTTGCTATATTAACTGGTTGGATTTTCTTTCTGTGCTTTACCTTCCGATTGGAACATCCGTCTTCAGGCATTGAAGTCCTTGCTGTGGTGGTTTTGTTTTTACCGGCAGGGGTTGCTGGCCTTACGCCAAACCTCATTTTTCAGTATACTACTACTACTACCTGCTAGTTGTAAGCTAGGCAAGGTTTAACAGTATGTCAGTTGGAAATCGAAGCCGCATCACGTGTGTGGTGATGTTCGTGAATATTTTGCCATTGAACTGTCGACACAACTGTAAATGTATATATAAAATAACTAAGTTATTATCCATCCGACAGGATAAATTACTGTTATTATTATTATTTTATTCCTTTACGTCCCCACTGGAACATAAGGCTTCAAGCTAGAGCTTTGAAGTTTTGGTAGTGATGGTGTTTATTGTCTTACGGGATGGAGTTGCTAGCCTCATGCCCAGCCTTTCCTCTTTACCAATCTTATTACTGGTTTAACGAGGTATAGGAATGCATCGGCCGTGGATCGAACCATCAATGAACCACATACATGGTTGGCGAGCATTATACCGCTGTACTACCGACGCACTGGATAAATCATGATACATTCTTTATGTGCAAACAGTGTAAGTTTTATAGTGAATTTCATGTTTTCTTTCACTCGCTTACTCACCGTAACAAGTTACAAATAGGTTCTATAAATAAGAATATTATTTATACATTTTCTTCTTTACTCTAGTTCACACTATATTTTATTTATTTCCTTTTTATAGTCTAATACTGAACTGAGACAGGCCTTAGAGGAGTATGAGCATTTCTCTCACATGACAATGCCATCATTCGATTTGATCGAAGAAAATATTACTGAGGCATTAATTAATTCGTCAGATGAAAACGATGATGTTCCAGTGGATTGTAAAAAGAAATATCAACGTGTACGCACCATATCTCCTAGTCGTCAGTCATCCACAATTGATCATGACCGTTCTTCTGTGCCTGGTGGTGTTCGAGATTTTATTCCAAAGTCTGTACGTAATTATCGTGATGCGGCTGATAGCGTTAAAACACAACCGCACAACCGGTCATATTTATCTACAGGCAAACCTCGAGCAGGGATGGCTATGCCACTGAAGACACCATGGAAACCAATGAATTCAGCTGCATCAACGGTAAAATAATTTTGCATTTGTTTATCTGTAGCTTAATTATTTTAAGAGGATACTGTACCGTGTGTATTAATTTGCTAGCCTTTTTCGATATTCCTGCCTAGGGTCCTATGTATCTATCTGTCTTCTCTGACTCTAGAACTATTTAACCTATTCACTTAGTATTCTTCTCAGTGTTCTTGACCTGGTAAGTTGGCCTGCTCAGTAGAGTACCAGTTGCAGATCCTGGTGCAAACTTCATTGTTAACAGATTTAAATGTTGATGCATTTGTCTTGCCTATTTTCCCTAGCATAGCTTAAAGCCTTGAATTTTCTGTAGCGATTGGATTGATTTTCCGAGTTAGGATCACTAGTTTGACCCCCAACCCTCCCTCTTTTCTTTGGATTAAGACCAGCTAAATTACTAGTGAACTGGTAAACGGGCTTTAAACTTTTATCAATAGCTGCCTTCTCTGACTCCATATTTAAAGATCAGATGTTTGACCAGTAAGAACTAACAATAAACAACTCTGCAAACCAACTAACCTGTCTGTCTGTTTTCGACATAGAACTTTGCACATATGTGCGGCAGTTCAAGTCGCCACACTTCAGGTACCACACAAAACAAGAGAAGAAAGTAGAAGAAATGCATAATAGAGACAGTGAACAGAGGTGTGAGACAAAGAAATAGAAGTAACGAAGATCAATATAGTTTAATGGGAAATCATAAGTCACAAGGATTGGATGCATCTGCGCTAGCCATTGAGAACGATTTTGAGCCATGTCACCAATTGTTTTCAACCATTGGCATTGAAGTCGCCTGCTAAAACAACTATATCTGAACGTTTTGCTTTTTGCAGCAAATTAGATAGTTTCAGGTAGAAGTTATCCTTTAGTTCATCCGAACTGCAGTCTGTTGGGGCGTAAGCGGAGACTACGAAAAGGAGACGACGGGTAGCGCCGTCTTTCCTTCTTTTAATGGACCCATTCAGACAGACCGCACACATACGACTATCTACTGGGATCCAGTCAAGAAGTGATTTTTCCGCTCTTACACTCAGTGCTATCCCTACACCTGCGAGTCCTCGCGAGCTAGCTGAGGGGTCTCCTGATACCCTTAAAGTTAATTTTGCAGATTCACCTTGTTGACCGGGTGAAGTCAAATGAATGACCACACTCGAGTCTTGTGTGCGTGTCTCCGAAACACAACATACATCCATGGCTCGAGATTTCAGAGTTCTTGTAAGTGATGCCTGTTGTCCGATTCGGCAGAGGGTTCTGGCGTTAAATGCTCCTATATGAAGTTGGTGACCTGGCTTTTAAAGGCTATCTGGGGTGTTTCCATGGCTCTCACCGTTGTTTGTGGTCACAGAGTGAAGCGAAGATGACCCGCTAGTCTGCAGAATAGTACTAACTGTAGTAGAGAAGTAAGATGAGGAAGGTGATGTGAGTAAAGGAGAATGATACTCAGGAAGGCTTCGTGTGTTTTTGGAAGTGTGTGGGCGGTTGTTACTTCCCGGCTGCCCACACTACCGTAGAAGTTGTTTGATTCTTCGAGTACCTGAAACAGAAAGAGGGTTAGTGTTGCGTGACCGCAGAGCCCGTGGGACAACTGCTTGAGGCTGGTCACACACAGCGTGTATGAACTGGTTTCTGGGATTGGTTCCGTATTAGTAAACTTACCGCCGGTTACGGACCACCGTAGGCCAAGTCGGAATGTAAAGTTTTTGGGGTCGACGTTTTCTAAGCCCTTCTCTCCAGAGTGGAGAGACAGCACAGCTGGCTGGCATGCTGGTCATCTGAGGGAAACACCTCACTGCTGTTACACCCCTGTTCCACAGCAGTACGACTTCGCCCTCAGACCCCAAGCAAAGTGTAAGAAAGATTCTTGCACAATGCCGGTAACTGCTTTTAGCCTAATTGCTATCGTAACAACCTTCCTGGCATGGTAGGACCTGCAGAAACATATGTTCCAGTCAGTGTAGATTGTTGGGTCATCGCGATGTGCAAGCCCGACCACAACGCCAAGGTAGCAGCTATCGGTCGGGAAACCAACTAACCAAGAACTTATCATTCACCAAATGGGCCGAAGGAAATCGATGGCGATCGGGCATGCATTGAGGAGATCGTTAAATAGTGGCTGTGCGCTCCAGGCCATCTCTTGAATAGACACCTAATCGAAAATGACGAGTTGGGCGTCCAAAGATGAAATGGAGGAGATCGGGTGAACAATAGATGAGCGACTGTAGGCAGTTGTGGAGCCAGCTGAAGAAGATTGCAAAGAACAGAAGAAAATGGAGATGTTTTGTTGAAGCTCTATATTCCACTCGAGCTGGCTGGATTCAACATAGAACCTGGTACAGATGTGCAGCAGTTCGATTTAGCACACTGCCTCCTTGTAGCACACAAAGCAAGAGAAGAGAGTAAAAAGAGGTTCAAAAGACAGATAAATAGAAGTATTGGTGAGGAATAAGAATAGTAATGTGTAAGAACAATAGATTTTTATTGGATGCATCTGTGCGAGCCATTGAGAACGATTTTTTGCCAAATCACCAATTATCTCCAACCGTCAGTGGTTTTTACTATTCCTAGGACCCCCGGCCAGTCAGGAAGTCTACACCTCCCTGTGTGACTGGCTTAAACTAACTGTTATGGATTTCATTGACTGATGTAGCTATGTTTTGGTTTGACCACCACTAGGTCGCTCTTTTCCAACCTGATCCATCCTATGTCAGCGGCTAACATTGCCCGTTGAGGAAGCCCACGTTTCTTGAAGCAAATATTTACGTTCAGATAGTTTGTCGATTCTAAAATTTTAGTATATTCTTGTCTACGTTATTTGGGTGCATACAAGTTTAGAATGACACAATTTTGAAATATTTTAGATATGTATTCACTCTGAACTACTGTCAGTATTATTGCTTCAAAACCGGTTTTCTTCAACTCTTTGCGTGTTGCTAAGAATTTGGTTATTTCTGAAAAGAATTACTATGTTAACGACTGGAAAATCGAAAGCTAACAATAAATAACTCTTTCCAAGTTAGACAATCAATGGAAGTGAGTTATTCACTTATGTTACTTTTTATCTGTAGTCAAGTAACAATGCTGACACAACACATGAGGTGAATTGCAGATGGTGCTTAGGAGCTATAGTAAGCACTTGACTTTCAACCAGTGGATCTCGGCTTCGAATCTCGCTTCACCTACTTCAGTTTAGGCAACGAGGTAGTATCATCTACTTGCGCAGCAGTATGTGTTGGCTCATAGTCTAGAACATGAAAGACCTCTTGTAGGGTCTGAATTCAAACAAACAAACAATCACCTCCTGAAATTTTAAGAATTTGATGTTTATTACAAGTCAGTAAGCGCATACCATACCATACCACGGTTAGTGAGTTACCGCATTAGCAACATGTGTATAGAATCTGTTGAAATTGGATTACTTCCGGAATATTCGTGTGTGTGTGTGTGTATGTGTGAAGATTAATTTTTACCAATGGCTTCTTCAATGAAACTGGTGTATTTAAAATCATAAGAGAAAACTTGTGACTATTACTCACTCTTTAATCACGTGTATTTAATCTTTCTTTTTACTAAGAGTTAGTATAAATAAATGCCAGATATGAACATTGTGATTAGCAGCCATTGAGCACAATCAGTAATAATCGCAAAGAGAACTTCAATAAAAGTTGAGTAAAGTTTTATTTTATTTGAAAATACGTTATCTGTATCTGGTGATGTTCGAGGTTTTATTCCAAAGTCAAGGCTGGCTATAAAGTACCAGCAGTTCCAAAAGAAGCCATGTTCTTACATCTTCAGCTCCTTGGGGATAACATCAGTAAGATATTGACACAACGCCTAAGGAATACGGCGGTAAAACAAGGGCATTCGGCGCTGCTGAATTTTTTCTCTGTCTTCAAAACCACCCTAATTTTGTGTTCTGGAGCTAAAGATAAACTGCCTAATTTAGCCTCTTCTATGTGTATCTACCGATTCGATTGCTCCTGTGGAGCCATTTACACAGGCCACACAACTAGGCGTGTTTATCTTCGGATTTCTGAACATCAACCTGTGTGGTTAAGTAATGGACAAGCAAAGTCTATTCATAGTTCTATGCTGTCTCATTTGGTAGATACAGAACACAAAATTGATGTAAACAAGGCCTTGGAAGTCGTCTACCGTACACCAGCCAACTATTCTTAGCTTTACCTTAAGAGGTCGTCTACCACATATTGCTGAGGCTGGCTGTTGAGATCAACATTAAGTAACCTTACCTTGCTGGCCATCAGGGTTTTAATGATCCTCAATTTACTGCTGCAGAGATTTCACTAATTTTGTTTGGTATTCTATTTACTATCACATATTTATGCTTATTATAATTTATGCATCTTTCTTAAACTGTAGTTCCACTGATCTTGACGAATTGATAGTGTTTAAAAAACGCCAATATTATTAATGACGATTATTCTGAAATATTCCGTGTATGTATATAAACATATATACATATAATTGTAGGGCTGAAAGAGGAAGTTAGCGTAAATGATATTCTTCGCTCAAATTTTCTCTTTTTCACTAAAAATGTCTGACTCTATGGTGTTAGGTTTTATCATGTTTCATTTTTGTGACGGATTACAATTTGCTGAATATATCCGTCCTTTAATTCTGATCACTATAATCAATAAAATCATGTTTCAAACCCTAATGAAACTAGCATTAATTCAGAGATCCAAATTTGCACTGCACATTGTTGAGGTAGTGGAATTTATTGTTGACCTATTGAAGCACGAACGGTTTATCATCGGAAGACGGCCTTCGACTCAGTCGACTGAGAGGTATTATGACAGGGTTTCGCCTTGGAGGGAGTGCCGGAAAAGCATATTGCACTAATTAAGTCAGTCTAGTCGAACTCATGCAGCCATATAAGATTTTACGAAAAGTTGTCATCTGTGATGTTTGCCATGGATATCCAGTGTCCCTATTTCTGTTTTATTTCATCATATATGTACTAATGGAATTAACCCTAGCTGAATTAAGCGACTTAGGGACTTAACTGTTACCAGGGAATAGCCTAGTTAATATAGAATATCTGGACAATATACTCCTCTTAGATGAAGACGCTAATAAAATGCAGAGTCTTCTGAACACGTTGTTCAGCAATCTTCGTATGTTTGGCATGCGATTCGTTTCTGTCAAATGCTACAGAACTGGGCCACATCAACTAATAGTCTTCACTTATTTGGGATAGTTAATCAGCCCCGACGGGTTGATCACTGACAGAATCTGAGTACAGAAGGCTCGTTTGGCATTTGGCAACTTACGCCATCTCTGGCGGAGACATGATATCCAGCTGGTCTTTGTCGATCAAAGAACGTGTGTACTGAAAACCAGTTACCTCCTTCCTACTTTACGAGTGAGAAATGACTCTTGAAAGTGGAAGACATGAATGGACTAGCTGTCGTAGATCATACGTGTCAGCGTTCTGTCTCCCATCTTAGGTGGTATAATAAGTCGAGTAATATGGAGGTTAGGCATCGGTCGAGTTTTAGGTAAAGAGGGAAAGCCAATGGATGAGGTTGTGAAGCTACATCGATTGAAATGGTTACGATATGTGTTACGCATGCCTAGCCATCATCACCTTCCTCGACGGGGAATGTTATGTGACCTACGATCAGGTTTTGGAAGAGCTAGTTGATGGTGGAACCATGAAATCTTTAACAGTTAGTTTAAGCTAGTCACATAGGGAGGTGTAGGCTTCCTGTCTGGGGTTCTCAGTATCCTCAGAACCAGTTTTTGTTTTCCTTCACGTTCCCCACTGGAACATAGAGCTTTAAGGTAGCGGCTTGAAATTTTCTGTAGCAGTGTTTAATTTTATAGGATGGGGTTGCTAGCCTCATGCCCAACCTTTCCTCTTCACCAGGATTATTTCTGGCTTAGTGGCTTAAAGGAGTGCGTCTGTGGCCGGGAATCGAACCCCGGACCATGTATGTCCATGGTCAGCGAGCATCCTAACCGCTATGCCACTGACACGGAACTGTTGTACTTTTATGCAAAGTGTGTTCTACGTGGAAACGACCCGAGTCAGTCAGTTTATCACACAGAGCCTTAAAATTGTTTTTATACTAAAATAGATTTGTAGGCGTTTATTGAATTATTAACTTGTTTCTATTGTTGTTCTATTTTTTTTATTTATGAAATTTGATTTTTCTCTCCCCGTTTTGTATTGTATTGTGCTGTTGTAGGCTGAAACACAGATGAATCGTAATCCTGAAGATATTCGTTCGTCATCCTCCTCGTCTTCTTCATCGTCAAGATTGCCTAATGTAGAATCACAATTCTCAGACTACAAACAAAGTCAAAGATCTCGTCTATTAATGTCGAATAGCGGTGAAAATAATAACAATAACAGTAATCGTTTACGAATTAATTCTGGTGAACAGAAAGAAGCTGAGGCAGCGGAAGCATTAGCTGGTTTATCAGCATCGCTAAGTAATCCACCGCCTCTGATGAAAAAAGATTCAACTACTACTTTTAAACCCACATTTAAGCAACAGCGATCTTATGATAATGTTAAATTAGATGGTGGATACAATCAATTGAATAGTCGTGGAAATATACCTGCAAAGAAGTTGAATCAACGTGATAATGCACTACACGATAATGGATTTAGTTCACGTCCAACTGATCGATCTGATTCTACTTATTGTAAGTGAAGTGAGAATAATTATTTAAAACAATTAGTTCCTTTTTATGAATTTAGATAAAGCAATAAGAAGAAGACGTAATTTGTCTGAATTGTATGTGTATTGTATTTGCTCCCACAACACATTTCGAACAATCTGATCCTACACACACACGGACTTGTTATAGAAATATATATGATATTAATAAAGGGTTAGGTTGATAATTTATCGAAGGATTTAATCGAAAATGTGCCACTTTATAGAAGGTATGTAGATGATATTGCAGTCATCAGTGATAACTCTTGTTCTGCCACCTCAATTTTAAATTGAATGAATTAAGTTCAGAAGAGCATATCACTTACATCTGTAGAAGAGGAAGATATTTGTTCATTTTGATGGGTCAATAAAAAGATCTGTTTATAGAAAACCTACCTGGTCAGGACAGTTTCTACCCTGTTCGGTACAAAAGAGCCTTAGGTAGTGAGGTGCCTCTTCAGTAGAATCCAACGAATATGTACTGAAGACACACTTGATGATGAAGAAGAAAGAAAGTTGACACAAACTCTGGTTGATAACAATTATCCAGACAAGTTCAACAGGAGATATAAAGTTCTGACACACCAAGACCCACTCTAAGACTCGACCTTAAGAAAGATGTGTACATCAAGCTACCCTTTAAGGGGCGTCATAGCAGATTGATAGCTAGACAAAAACTGAACGCCGCTGTTAAAAAGACTTTTTATGCAGCTAATATCATAATAATAGAGAATGCAAAGCCAATATCTCTATCTAAGCCCTTCGAACATGCGAAAAATGACATCACATCCCACTGTATTTACCAATTTGAATATATGTGTGGACACAATTACATAGGGAGGACTCACCAATCTCTGCGAGCAAGTAAGGGCTGGCTTCAGAGCATATTCCTAAATGGCTCCAGAAACAAATAGATTCTTCAGAACCCATTAATGGTGAGAACAGGAGACCTAGCTCCTCTATTACGAAACATATTATAGGGACGGAATATAAACTTGACGTTAACAGATCTTTTAAACCTATCTATAAAACGTGTTTGGGGCGTATCCTAACGTTTGTGGAAGCCCAAGTGTGATTAATCAGTTTAAACCATCTCTATACGTTCAAAAACAACTCGTCATCACATTAAACCTTCCTTAGTAAACTTTGTTTTGATACCAGCCAGGTTAGATGTACTATTACCTCTGCTATTTGGTTTTAGTGGTCTTCATTGTTATTTTGACCTTGAATATATCCTTTTAACTTGTCTGTCTGTCTGTCTGTTTTCGACATAGAACTTTGCACAAATGTGCGGCAGTTCAAGTCGCCACACTTCAGGTACCACACAAAACAAGAGAAGAAAGTACAAGAAAAGCATAATAGAGACAGTGAGCAGAGGTGTGAGACAAAGGAGTAATAACGAAGAACAAAACAGTTTCATTGGAGATCATAAGTCACAAGGAGTGGATGCATCTGCACGCCACTGAGAACGATTTTGAGCCATGTCACCAATTGTTTCCAACCATAGATTTTTACCGTCCCGAGGACCCCAGCCTGGAAGTCTACACCTTCCTACGTGGCTTAGACCAACTGTTGTGGATTTCATTGACTGGTGCCAAGTTTTTGTTTGACCGCCGCTAGCTTTTTTCCAGCCTGACCCTATATCCGCTAACATTGCTCGTCGAGGGAGGCGATGGCTTGGCATACGTAACACATGTCCTAACCATCTCAGTCTTTGTAACTTCACGACTTCGTCGATTGATTTCCCCTGTTTACCTAGAACTCTACGCCTAACCTCCATGTTGCTCACCTTATTATGCCACTTTACACGGGAAATAGAACGCAGGCACCTATGATCAAAGACAGCTAGTCTTTTCATGTCTTCCACTCTCAGTGGCCAGGTCTCACAACCATAAAGGAGGACGGAGCGGACTGATGAGCAGTACACCCGCCCTTTGGTCGATAGTCGAACATCTCGTCTACGCCAGAGTCGGCGTAAACTAACAAATGCGAAACGAGCCCCTTGTATTCGTGCTGAGATTTCGTCAGAGATCAGCCCGTTGGTGGCTGATGGTACTTCCCAAATAAGTGAAGCGGTCAACGTGCTCTACCACTTCACTTCCTATTTTTAAACTAGGCGTCGATGTAGTCCAGTCCTGTAACATCATCTTGCATTTGGCGGGAGCGAATCGCATGCCAAACATTCGTAGATTGCGGCTCAAGGTGTTTAGAAGACTCTGCATTTTGTCAGCGTCTTCGCCTAGAAGGACTATATCGTCTGCATATTCCAAGTCAACGAGATTATTCCCAGGTAGCAAGTCAATCCCTGAGTCGCTGAAGTCACCTAGGGTTAAGTCCATTAACACATCTATGATGAAGTTGAATAGAAAAGGGATAATGGGCATCCTTGACGGACACCACTACTCGTCATCAGTTCAGATGACAGCTCGCCGTAAGCCCTCACCTGGCTGTATGAGTACGAGTAGAGTGCCTTAATCAGTGCAATATATTTTCTTGGAATTCCCTTTACAGCCAAGCATCTCCAGAGAACTTCCCGATCGACAGAGTCGAATGCTGCCTTTAGGTCAAGAAATATAATGACTGTTGGACGCCGGTAGGAATGCCTATGTTCTAGAATCTGTCGGAGGGTGAAGATATGATCAATACACCCTCTTCCTGGTCTAAAGCCTGCCTGGCTCTCTCGTGTTTGTGCCTCCCGAGCACCACTCAGTCTACGCATGATTATTGAGCCTAAGACTTTAGATACTATATTAGTCAAGCTAATCCCTCTGTGATTATCACAGGAAGACTTGTCTCCCTTCTTGTATATGGGGATAATCAGTGACTTACACCAACCCGATGGGACTTCTTCTGATTCCCAGACGCTGCCTAGTACCTCAGTTAATGCAGACAGTAAGCTGTCTCCACCGTACTTAAATACCTCTGGAGTCATTCCATCAGGTCCCGCTGCTTTGCCTAGTTTCAGATTGGTGACAGCTTTAGTAACCTCAGTTAAGGACGGAGGACCTGTGTCTATATCCCATTCAGGGAGGTGTTGGATGCTCGGAAGGTTGAGCGTGGCTGTGGGCCAATTAAACTGCTCCTCATAATGCTCTTTCCAACGATCCAGTCGTCTATCCTGGGAGCTAATTATAGTGCCATTTTTTTCCGAGATTGTCTCACTAATGATTTGTCTTCTCCCACCCGTTTCCCTGATGAGTCTAAAGAGTTGCCTGGTGTTGCCTATCCTCGAAGCTTTCTCCATCTCTTTGGCTTTTGTCGCCCACCACTGTTCACGGTCCTTGCGGAGACTTTTCGTAAGTTTCCTCTTGTGCAGCTTTCGCTCCTCATTGAATTCGGAGCTCGCCGGAATAAGTCTTCTAGCATCTATCAGTTCGGATGAGGCGGTGGAGATCCAGTGGTTTTTACTCACCTTTGGGTTTACCTTATTCACAGCTTTTACAGCTGTATCTATGGCTGCCTGGATATTTTCCAAGCTTCTTCAGGGTGAGCACAGCTGTCGAACACAGATATGTGTTTAGCTAGTTCTTCCTCAAATACGGATTTAGTTTCCTGATCGAGCTGGGGACGTGATGGTTTTACCGCCAGCTGTTTCCTACGTCCGTTCAGTCGTAAGCACACCCGAGCGCGGACCAGTGCATGGTCGGTATCTACACACGTGTTCCAGAAGGAGCGACAATCTCCTACCGACCCACGCCAACGATAGCTTATTGCTATGTGGTCTATTTGTGTCCAGCGTTGGTTTGATGAAGGGGGTCTCCAAGTCAAACAGTGTCTCTCCTTGTGTTTGAAGTTAGTGCTTACAAGAAACAAATGATTATCAGAGCAGAACTGTAGGAGGCGGTCACCGTTGTCGGTTCGGTAGCTGTGGCATCTCCTGACACCCTCAAGGTGAATTTTGCAGATTCAACCTGTTGGCCAGGTGGGGTTAGGTGAATAACCACACTTGGGTCTTGTATGCGTGTTTCTGAAACACAGCATACATCAATGGCTCTGGATGCCAGGGTCTTAGCTAGTGATGCTTGTTGTCCTATTTGGCAAAGTGTCCTAACATTAAATGCTCCTATATGAAATTGGTGGCGTGGCTTTAAGAGGCTGTCGGTGGTGGTTTTTTGGCTTCCATCGTTCTTAGTAGACGACCAAAGTCCATTTTCTCACCTCTTAACTCTTGATTAATTTCATATATGCTCATTCATGTGCGTCGGTGGCACAGTGGTTAGGACTCTCGCCGACCATGCACATGGTCCGGAGTTCGAGCCCACGCCGGCGCACACCTGATATCTATGGTCGGCCTGTAAAATTTGGGCTACCGATATCCATGCTGAAAATTCCATACTTGTACCAAAAATACAGTGTGGAATCAAGCTGTAAATCAAAAAAAATAAATAAATAAAAAAAAATATGGCAAGTCCGTGTGTGATCAGATTGTTCGAATTGTTTTGCGTGAATACATTACACATACGATTAAGACAAATGACGTCTTCTTATTGCTTTATCTAAATAATTATTGTGCATTGCTTAAGACTATAAAAACTGCAGAATTTATTATGTTTTTTTATTTACAATTTTCTCAACAGGCTATGCAAGTTAAAAGTGTATGCGTTTATTGTTATTTTTTGTAAGAAAATCTTCAACATACACTGCTGGTTGACACGATAGTGTCCAACTGTGGTGATGGTGGTTACATTACGGTTCATCGCTTGCAAGAAATTTCATTTTTGATTACAGCTCGATTCCATACCGTATTTTTGGTCCAAGTATGGAATTTTCAGCATGTAATATCGGTAGCCCAAATTTTGTAGGCACACCATAAATATCCAGTGTGCGTCGACAGGGGATCGAACCCCGAATCATGTGCATGGTCGGCGAGAGTCCTAACCACTGTGCCACCGACGCACACACGCAAATATTTAGTAGCCACCGCGTAACCCGTTACGTCGTAACTTCTGACATCTCTTCCTCCTCTATTGACTGTACCTTAATCTGCTGTGATAACGTTTACGTCTTCCTGTTTATTTTCAAGTGTCGTTTTGCAGGGGTTTGATCAGCTAGTTACAGGTTTAGTCACAAGTTGACTTCAGTTAGAGAACCATTAGAAGTGCTGGACAGGTGTTTCTTCCTACTTTTTGGCTGTTCAGCAGTACGCACACATTGGAGTTTGTATCCAGGACTTTCCGGTTACAAGGCAAGCTTCTAGACCATTCAGCTACTGGGTGGGATTCTGTCCATTAGCCCATGAATTCGTGATATAGAGTGCAATCACCAGACAATATCATCGGTTGTCTTGTATATCTGGACGAAGTTAAACTTTGAGCACCACTACTAACTGCCAATGGAGTGCGTCCGCGCACCAGTGACGTTGAAACGGTTACTGAGCAAATTAGTGAACCGTGGTAAATAATGCCGTCGTCATCAATAAAATGTGGACTCATCGAAGTGTTACGCTTCTAAATGGGATATCTGGCAATTTTCAGCTTAGGTTTGAAAAAAAAGAATAAGTCGGGCTTTTTAAGCCAAGGACAATTTAGGGTTAGGTTAACTTATTAAAGGCGACATTAGGAATGGCTCGAGTTTGATTGCAGTTAGCTTAGGGATATTTTCACGTAAGGGTTAGGTTCAGAAAAGATTAGGGTTATTGTCAGGGTTAGAAGACCTAAATAATTACATGCATATAATGTGGTTAAATTACTCTGTTGATATAAGAATAGAACTTGTGCGCTGTGGTGGAGCATAATTCTATTGTAGGCAAAATTTGTTTTGATAAAGTCTTACAGTGTTATACAGTAATATTGACTGTTGGCCACGTTTCGAGTACAATTTATTGATCAGTAAATATTACTTTATTACACTATGAGACTTTATCAAAATAAATACCACCCACAATGGAATTACACTCCGTTGATACTCCAACCTAAAACTGAGAGCTATTTTTATCACATGTGAGAGGAAGGTATCCTCTGTAACACTTTTATACAGTTTTTATGCCTTTTTTCTCGTAAATATATGTATTCCTTACACAAAAATGCCTCCTTCACGTGATTGGTGCATTCGAGGTCATTCACTGATTTATGGCAGTTAATGGTGCTTAAAGTTTAACTTTGTCTATATCTGTTTGAGATCACTGTTGAAATTCTTCACTCTTGTTCATATGATGTATTCATGATGCATCCGTTTAGCATCCTTACATACTCAAAGTTGTTGGTAGCAACGTATTAGTGAAGAGATTAGAAAGAAAATTGTGTGAGTTTTGTTATATCTACTTCTTTACAGGTTTGATCACAAGCGCTGATATCAGCAACAGAACTATTGGAGAAACTAAGAGCACACTGAACTGGAGCTTGCGAATTGGCAGAACCTGGAATTCATGGGCTAGACATTGAATCACTTCCCAGTGACTGAATAGTTCAGGAGCTCGCTTTGTGACGTGGAGGTCCTGATTACGAACCCCGGTGGGTGCGTACTGCTGAAAAGTACCAAATTGGGAAGAAACAGCTATCAAGTACTCCTTGGTTTTCCAATGGTTCTCTTACTGATGTCAACTGATGATCAAACCTGTAAACAACGGAGTGAAATCGGCTACAGAAGCACTGAATACTAGCGTGAGATACTGAACGGTGGTTTCGTCCTAGTTTAAGACTCTTCATCAGCACACCAGCCCCACTGGGGTTCCGACCCAGGAATTTCTGATTATACAAGGCAAGCTCGTAGACCATTCAAACACTGGAACTTGATTAGTTCCAGACTAGGACGAAACTACTCCTTTGGTTTTCAGTGGTTCTCTAACTGATATCAATCCGTGATCAAACTTGAAACAAGTCAAATCCTTCCTATAAACTAACTCTTGATAATATTAATCAATAAATTAAGTGGAGTTGATTAAAGGGGTATGAATCGTTTAATGAGATAAATCATTTCATGAATGAGTTGTATTCAAGATGTACATAAATACTTAGGAAACATGACATTATTAAGGATGAGTCTGAAAGTATAAAAGAGTTAGAAAAAGTGAAAAAGGGAAAACTATAGATAGGTTGAAAACTACAGGGTCCTTACATTTCTAGTAGAAGAGGTTAAAGAATCCCTTTTGCCTGCAGAGCTCCACTTTCTCTGTCTGGATGACCAATGCTTTAGCAGTACAAAGGGGCATGTATGTATACACAGCTGGAGAAAATGAATTCTCTGAAAAGAGCCTCCTTGATGAAGTTGTTGTTTTATTTTTCGTTGATGCTTGGATGGGAATTATTCATGGATTAAAAGTTGAGAAGGTGATCAGACTTTGATCTTGTTGTTTCTGAGGGATGGATGCTGTGTTCTGCCGACTAAACTCAAATCCCCGGGTGGTGGTTGACTTTCGGAAGCAATTCAGCTTCGGTATGTATACATCCTATTTCATCTGTGGAATACTGAAAAATAGGTATGATGGAGAAGATTTGTAGCTCATTTGGATGATTTTGATGTGGTCGTGTTCTCTGGCCTGGATAGTTAATTTGAGAAGCTTTCATTGCCCTACTAGACAACATATTCAGCGCATACTTCAATTTGAATTGAGCTTTTAGATTTCCCCAAGAGTTTATTAATCATCCCTGCTGGTGACCTTGGACGTCCAAGGTCATATTAGCCGGAAAGAATTAGCGACAAGAAACCCTGACTGGCAACAAATCAACAGGCGAGAGCTGACTGCTGAACATATATGTAAGAAAAAGTGGCAATAGATCGGGCATACATTGAGGAGGCCACCGAATGACACCGCATGCCAGGCTCTCGGGTGGAATGCGAATTGGAAGTGAAGAGTGGGCCGTCCTAGAGTGACATGGAGGAGGTCGTGTGATGAAGAGGTGAGAGAGTTCAGTCAATCATCGTCTCAGCTGAAGAGGACATCAGAAAACAGAACAAAGTGGAGATATGTTGTTGAAGCCCTGTGTTCCATTCGGAACGCAAGGGTATAATAATAACATAAAACGTTTTGCCGATAAGAAATTATAATTGTCAAAGTTTTAAAAAATATTTTTTAAGTTTTCTTATGCAGGTTATTATTATTTTATTTTTTAACTTTTTATTTTGAAATTTACAGTTAAAAAGTCCAACTCTAGTCACAATTTATCTTCAACAAATCACCATCATGATTCTGGTTCATTGAATCGTCTTAATCATTCACGTGGAGTAGCCAGTGAAAGTGAATCTACAAAATCTTTAACATGCTTACAATCAACAAGAAGATTCTTTTTCCCTTTACCTTCTGAAGCTCGTAGATTATTAGAAAAATTAATTATGGAAGCATGTCTACTTGAAGTCCATTTACCACAAACACGTTGGTTATGGCAATTGCATTTAGCTTCAGATCAAGAGACAGCTGCATGCGGTGCACATCATCCAACTATTGCAAAGCTTGAAGAAGAACGCTTGAAACGTCGTATCGCACGTCATCTTGAACAAATAAGTCAATTAAAGCAAAAAACAATTGATCATCAGTCGAAACCTGGTCGACGTAAAAGAAAACCTTCGAGTATTACAGATAATTCTGGTAGTATAGATACAAAATTAGAACAATCAGATGATAGTAATGTGTCATCAAGTGAAAAAAGTGTATTGCAAAATCGTCAACGTTATACTCCTGTGTGTTCAGAACCTGAAGATAAACAAAGCAATTCACCGGTTTCTGATACAATTTCTCGTGTTGTTACATCTGTTGCTAGGCGGAAGGTTTGTAACTTTTTATTGCCTTAAAGTTAATTCTGTTTGTTTTTTAAACATTAAGGATTTTATTTTTAAAAATACTCCGTTATGTCAAGCTATGATAAGTTTATTTGTTTAAATTAAATTCATCATTTACAGTGGCTAGGTATGCGTAACACATGTCGTAACCATCTCAATCGGTATAACTTCACAACCTCGTCGATTGATTTTCCCTCCTTACCCAGCACTCGACGCCTAACCTGAATACTGCTCACCTTATAATACCAACTAACATAGGAGAGAGAACTCAGACACCTATGATCTACGACAGCTAGCCTTTTCTCATCTTCCACTTTCAATGACCAGGTCTCGCTCAAAGCCATGAAGGAGGACAGAGCGGAGAGCTGAGCAGTACGCTCACCCTATGTTCGACAGCCGAATATCACGTTCACCAAACCATAGATGACTTAAGTTGGTATATGCAATTACGCTCACTTCCCTGATTACCAATTGAGGTGTCAAGCAGATCATATATTATAATCTAAAGAAATCCGGTTTCTAAAGGAAACAGGTGCGGATTCTCCTCGAACTGAGTAAATTACCAAACAACTTGTAAATTATGAATTTGATTTATTGAATTTCCAATTTATGCAAGTAGCTAACCAGACATCGTGTGGTTTGAATTGATTCGACTCCCTCAGATGAGTCAAACCGCGTACACACCGCCAATAAGTTCGGCTTGGAAGGAGCGAAACAGCCGTCCCGTATTTAGATCTGGTTAATATGAGTGATGTACAACTATTCATCTCAATGAATCAGTAGTATATAGTTTTTATGCAATGTTTCAATTTTTTTTGGTTTTTGTTTTTTATCCAGCCATATCGTCCTCGAGGTGGTGCACCAGAAGTGGCTATAACACGTCGGTATAAATTAGGCAGACCAAAACGTGCATTACCTGTTCGAAGCTATCGATCAATTCATCGACCAACTCATGCTATCGGGTATAGATCTGTACGTACAGATGGACAGCAACAGGCGTATGTTTCTAGTATGCGAGATGAACTAGAGCATAAAATGCACAGAATTCTGTCTACCAAGAACAGTAAATTGCGAGGGAACAATCGTACAACGAATCTGAGGTAATTATCATTTCTTAATTTGTTTTTGTTTTGTTGTTTTGTTACAATCGTATTTCTATGATTAAATATTGATTAACTTGAAGAATTTTCTGTCACACTATCTAAGGTGTGTTTCATTGTTTCCTTATTCAATTGTTTAAGATAGTGAGTGCTACTCATTGAAGTTAAAATTAACTTGTTAGCATAATGAAAAACTTTGGTAATGCAGTATTTTCCATGAATTATTATTATTATATCCTTTAGTTCCTAGAGGACCATAGGGCTTCAGCCGCACGTTTCGATTGCGTTCGGTCTTCTGCTTAAGTTTTCATCTGGTTCCAAGTCTGCTCACATGCTTTCATCTCCTCTTCACATGACCTCCTCCAAATCACCTTTGGACGACCAACTCGCCGCTTCCCTTTCGGGTTCCACTCGACGGCTTGTCTAGTGATGTCACTTGCTGGTTTCCTCAGCGTATGGCCAATCCATCTCCATTTCTTCCTGCCTATTTGTTTCTCAATCGGTTCCTGATTGATTCGCTCCCAGAGATCTTGGTTGCTGATCTTTTCTGGCCATCTGATCTTGAGTGTTGAGCGAAGACAACTGTTAATGAAGGTCTGCAGTTTGTTTGAGATGCTCTTTATGACGCGCTGGCCAAGTCTGTAATCCGTATAGTAGCACTGACTTCACATTGGAGTTGAAAATCTGGATCTTATTTTTGATGCTGAGTAGTGCTGTTGACCTCCACACAGACTTGAGGGTAATGAAAGCTTTTTTTTGCTTTTCCGATTCTGGCTTTGATATCCTCGTCAGTTCCTTATGTAGTTGAAACGATGCTTCCCAGGTAGGTTGGTAGGTGAAGGAGGTTGTTTCTTTCAGGTTCCTCCCATTTATGCTGATTGTTGTCTGTTGTTGCTGCAATTGGTGTTGACCAGGAATCTTCATCACCTCTGTTTTCTCTAAGTTCACCTGAAGTCCTATCTTCTCCTGATGCTTCTTCTGCCAGCTTGTTGCTTTTAACTTGCATATCTTCCAGTTTGTGGGAAATCAGATATATATCATTGGCGAAGTCCATATCCTTCAAGTTTTTTGTGTGAGTCTATTTTATGCCTGTTTCCTCGTCGCCCACCGCTGTCTTTCCTCATTATCCAGTCTACTGCAATCAGGAAGATCATTGGTGATAGTAGACAGCCTTCCCATGAATGCAAGGAATTATATGCAAAATACCTCTTTTTATATTAGCACTGCTATGCTATGTGATGTGTATGATAGGAAAATTAAGACGAAATGATGGTTTCTCTTATCATCATATATGCCGAGCTGTTGCCTTCCTTGACAGTCAGTGTTAACCGAGATAGGATTTTGTTGGGAAAGGGCTACGGGTGATGAAATGGAAACCTGGAATCAGTCCATGAAGACTGTGACAGTTTGTTTAAGCCAGCCGCGTAAAGGAGGTGTAGGTTTTCTAGCCAGGATCAATGGCTGAAGACTTGAGGATTATGGCTTGTGCAGATGGATTCAGTCTTTGTGATCTCCTTGTATCCATTAAACTGTATTACATTTCTGCTTATTTTGATAATTTTGGACCCCTTTCTTCTCCTCTCTTTTGTCTTCCTTTGTATTCTACATGGAATATAGTGTCTTCTGTCTTGAGACTCAGTCAAATCAGTCAGTAATTCATCGTGTAGGTTATATTGAAAGGTGGATTATTTATCGTTTAGTGACTAGTCGAAAGTGGTGATTTAATGGACAAGTTATTATGGACTCTGTATTCCCCTTTTATTTCATTTTTATTCTGCTATTTGTGCTGCATACACTGGTAGTCTACCAGTTGCCACCATATCCTTCTTCCTCTTCTTCTTGTGTGAATTGATTTACTGAACACAATCGGAATGGGATATTTTTCTTGTGAAAATGTGATTCAGATGTTGTGTGTTTTTCAAAAGTGTACTTACTACGTGCTATCTATATCTTGTTAAATTCTTTCATAGCTTAAAAGAAAATCTTGTGAAGGTGTTTCATCGTCTATATTTAGTCGAAATATTCGCCGATGTTATACTTTACATTAACTGTACACTATGCTCACTATTCCACTTAGTATGTGAAGTAATAAATGATAAGGATAAAACCTGTGCACTGTGGTAGAGTATAACTCCCATTATGGATCAGATTTTATTTTGATAAAATCACACAGTGTTTGTTATACAGTAGTAATATTAACTGATGACCACGTTTCGAGCACAATTTATCACTGCTACTCATAATCATATCAAGGCACTACTCACACAACCTTTCTTGCTTCATTTATATACGTGAGTAAACATTGATGATCAGACATTTGAATAAAATCAATGTAAGATAGAGTACATTCGGAAATAATATTAGTGTTATCAATCAAATACAATAAGTAAAATAAATGACTTGTTAGAATGTTATAAATAATATAATTCAAAAAAATACCTTCCAGTGACTGTGAATGAGGTCAACTACATAGGTGAAACTAGTAGAGATCAGGAGTAGTGAGATTATGAGAACATAAGAATTTAGCTAAGGTTAAAATGATTGTCCTCATGGACATCTTTCAAAAGAATGGATATCCACGCAATTTCATCAAGAGACATATACCCCCAAGCCAACCTACCAAAGCAAAAGCCACCAAGGAAAGCACAAAGAAAATTGGCCTACCATATATAAAGGATATCTCAGAAATCACTGCAAGACTCTTCAAACCTCGGGGAATCGACGTCGTACACAAGCCAACGAAGTCGCTTCAATCAATTCTATGTCAACCAAAAGACTCAACAGCGAAAGAAGATAAAAGCAACATCATCTACAAAATAAACTGTAACAACTGCGAAAAACACTACATTGGCCAAAGTGGACGTCCCCTTCGTCTTCGTATCCACGAACATAAGCTAGCCGTCAAAAGACATGATATCCACTCCCTCATTTCACTACACACAGACAACCACGGACATCAATTCGACTGGGACAACGTTCAAATATTAGAAAAAGGAAATAACAAGAATGCTAGGGAATTTTTAGAAGCTTGGCATTCCAGTGAATCATCAATCAATAGACACATCGAGATAGACAAAATTTATCAACCGATGAGAAAGAAGTCTCACACACAAAGGGTCAAGGTTCAAGTCAAAGAAACAATCAGTTCCAATACAAGTAACCTAAAAGGTGTGAAAACACACATAAACAACCAATCACGTCCAAGGTCACCAGGAGGGGATGATTAATAAACTCGTGGAGAAATCTAAAAGCTCACTTCAACAGATTGAAGTATGCGCTGAAGATGTCACCCAGTAGGGTGATAAAAGCTTCGCAAACTAACCATCCAGCTCAGAGAACAAAACCACATCAAAATCATCCACCTGAGCTACAAATCTTCTCTATCATATCTAAATCTTACGAGCGTGATTGACCTCACGAAGATAAGTGATTTAGAAAAAAGCCCAGCACTACATTGCGCTGCATGCATTAACACTTAACCACACAATAGGGTGGATGGAACAGAGTCAAAGTTCTTAAAAGTAATATAGATAGGTGGGGAGAGATATTGGTTACTGACTCCTACCTGGTTCATCGAATGAATATACACCCAACACAAAACATGCAATAGAAGTTACTCAACGCAAATACCAGAGATATATATGGGAGATATTATCATCAGTCAAATCAGAGGAGTATAATAAATAATGTTAAAATGTATTCCGTCAATTCACATTATAACATTCTAACAAGTTATTCATTTTAACTATATAAAAATATGTTATTTCCCATATGATTGTATTTGATTGATAACACTAATATTATTTCCGAATGTACTCTATCTTACATTGATTTTATTCAAATGTCTGATCATCAATGTTTACTCACGTATATAAATGAAGCAAGAAAGGTTGTGTGAGTAGTGCCTTGATATGATTATGAGTAGCAGTGATAAATTGTGCTCGAAACGTGGTCATCAGTTAATATTACTACTGTATAACAAACACTGTGATTTATGAAAATAGAATTTTATCCATAATAGAGTTATTCATCGCAAACTTTTAAACTGAAATGTCTGCCAGATTTTTCAACCACTAAAATTGCTCACACTGCCTTGCAATATGGTAACTAGGAAAACATCTTTTCCTTCGTTATCTTTTTTTTTATCAGAATCCCCTGTCGAGTTTTTTCTTATATTCTTTATAGTAATCAGTCATTTTTATCTTCTCGAAGAAGTGGACGAGTATATCGTGGAGAACGCATAGTACGTCGACCGTTTGTATGCTCAAATAATGACTATAGTGATTCATCTGTAAGTGAGGAACACGTGAATGCTGTTGAGGTAAGCAAGATCCATGTTGCTATTGTGTTTAACTGATGAAAGTTCTCTGTTTATTACACAATTGAGAGCTAAATTTCGCCAAGGAAGGAAATCCTATCGAAAGTTATGTTGATTGGTCACTAAAGGCCTTAATGATGAACTGAATTCCATCCTTAGCTTATGATTAGCTCTATATCACAAATTGGCCTAAGTGTGTTTGTGAATAGCTAATAAACTTGTTCCGGTAATCTGAATGTTTCGGGTTCAATCCTTGGTTATGTCGTGGGTGTGGACTGTTGAAGAGTTTCAGAAAAATGGAAGGAAAGGGCTATCCGATGCTCCTTGGTTTTCATTGATCTCTCAACCTGATTTTGGTTCGTGAGGAAATCTGATATAATAGGATTCCATTTGTTAAAGTTCACAGTATAGTCAGGAAATTCTTGTACATGTTCTAAAACGATCAGCTATCGAAAGTTATGATTATTTAAGTAAGATAAATCTCGGAAAATTCTGCGTATTCGGAGATGAAGCCTCTTTATCATCCTGCTTACTTAAAAGTAATTATCTGGTGAATTACGTCACTGATTTCATAGTAGATTGCTAAGTTTGATTGGTACAGGCATTTCTGTGGCTTCGTAATGAGTTAGGCGGTAAAAATATCCTATCCAAAAGGTAGGACGAGGTTTCCCCACCTCAAAAAATAACGATTTCCTTTGTATTCACTACGCATTATTCTGAAGCTATGTTTGTTCTCACCATCATTTATTTATTTATCTATTTCGTGATGTTGATTTACTGTTTACTACGATAATCTTCGTATCTTCTTTTTTTGTTGGTGCTAATTACATTTGAATTCATTAGCCCACACTAAATGAACAGTATTCATCGAGAAATGAATCATCAGATTACTGTAAAATGATGATGACCTCAAATCATTCTAATTATAATTCAGGAATAATAGGTGGTAAACGATCAGAATTTAGATCACATAAACAAGATGAACGTCATTCATCGTTAAGAAATACAAATGAAAGTGAACAATATGAAGAATCTGCTTCAGAAGATCAGTTGTCGAATAATGAAGATGAAAAATGTCCTGCTAAGCCTTGTCATAATCCACGTACTGGTACTGTGAAATGGGTTCAGTGTGAAGCATGTTGTCAATGGTATCATCAAATCTGTGTTGGAATTCGTCATCAATATCAGGTATAATTAGTATTATTACTATTATTTTGTTGATGTTACTTGTATATCTTGATGTGTGTGATTCATTGTTATTTAAAAAAGAAAGATACGTTGATATGCTTCATTAATTTTTGTATTTAAGCATATGCTTCTTTTAAAACCAATAGCAACAACAACCAGCACCAATCACTAATCAAAGGGAGAAAATTGATAGAGGTTACTTCTAGCCTTCACTTATCCGGCTAGGCAGCACGGTTTCAACTACAAGCAGTCGGGACGGATGAAGATATCAAAGACAGTCAGAATCGGAAAGACAAGATACTCCGTCATCAACCTGAAACCAGTCGGGAAATCTTCTGCTGTCACTCAGTCAGCCAGCGGAAAGAAGATTCGGATTCTATTCAACACAAATATGAAGTCAGTCACTGCTTCTATACGAGTCAGAAACTTGCACTGTGTGTCACGAAAAGGATTTCCAACAAGTTACAGACTTTTATGTGCAGCTGCCACCTTCTCTGGTTGTTCCCATACTGAAGATCAAATGGCCAGTCGGCCGATCAGAAAGAAACTGGCTGGGAACAAGTCAGCTAAAAGCTGATTGCTCAACAAATATGTAGAAGGAAATGGAGATGGATCATCGGAAAGACATTGAGGAGGCCGTCTAATGACATTGTGTGCAATGCAGGCCATCGCTCGAGTGGAACTCGAATGGGAAACAACGAGTGGGTTATCGGTGCGAGGGCGACATAAAGGAGATCCTATGTTGAGGAAGAGGAGGAAATGAGAGATTATGGGGTAATCGTATAGTCGATCGCAGCTCTTACTTCACTAGGAATGGGATATCTTTAACTTGAGCTTCACTAGGAAGTTTTAATGCTGAGCCATCCACACTCACCAAGTATTGTGTTTGTGTGGGAAGACTATATTTTGAAAAGACTGTCTCTTAAGCTTCCAATGTTTATAAGATTCACAGGGATTACAACGTGACAAAAGAAGTAGATATTGTCAATACACTACTTAAAATTACTGTAGTAATCCGGAGATGTGATTCAGTTACTCCAGCACTAGGTTTTCAGCTGATGGTTCCCTTATTTCGAATCCCATTCTACCTACGTTAGTTTGAGCAACTAGTTGATTTCATCCTCATCACCATCACAGACGTTTCTGCTCGTGTGATCTATTCTGAACTTACATTTTGATATCACTTGCTTTTACTGGCTTCAAATCGATATCTCGCTCAACGTTTGAAGCGTTTTCTGTCTTATCCGTCGCCTAGTTGACAATTAGTTCTCTGACAGACTCCATCTGTTGTTTTTTACGAACACTGTTATAAACGAGAAAATCTATTTGTTATTTTTGATCATTTATGTCGTTTGGGTATACCCTATTTCCTCGTTTCCTCATTCCATCGTTTCCCAGTCTCTTAATTGGTCTACATATATGTTTAGTAGCTTTCTTTGTCTTTATTCGAAAGTCTTCGGTTTAATAAGCGTGTATAACTTTGGTTTTATAGGAGGTTGTTGAAACCTAATGGTGGTTAACTATGGTTATTCATCCTGTGGTATTTTTGTCGAGTCGGCTTTTAATCCGCACTACTAATTATTATTATAGTGAGAAGCATAATAATCCCTTTGCTCAACATATGCATAAAAAATGTCTACATGTTGTGTGTGTTCTGAAAAGAGTACACGTAAATCCAATAAATTACCATGGTCTCCAGAAATATAAGGAGTATATTACTTTGAGTATAATTTGATGGATAGTGACTAGCAGTCGAGTGCATAGTGCTCATTTCATCCTATTCTGGACCTGCCACCTGGATGTACCTATATTTCTCCGTGAGTAATAGTCTCCCTGCTGAGACTCGGAGCCATTATCCTTTGTTTTAATTGCCAAAGAGTTGCTTATTAGACTACTTGAGTCACGAGAACCACCTTTTGTGCGGTGTGATAGGTACCAGTTATTAATATGTCTTTATTTCAGTTTGATTTTCCCGTTTACTGATTGAACTGAAATATTCAGTCTGTTTCTCATAGGGACTCTTTGACGAACACTAATAATAATAATTTGCTTTATTCCAAAACAGTATTTGTGGTGCACAGTGGAATTCTCAGCATTTTACTACAGTATTGCATCCAGTTAGTACACTAACAATAATTAAAGTTCTACTTAGATTAAGGGTAATTTCAGTTTCTTTTGACAACAACATATTAGCATATCGGTAGCAAAGCCAAAAGTGAACAGAATGTTTGAAGGTGCTAGAAAAGTATATACTAGCATATTTACTGGCGTAAGTGGTTACAAAAGGTCGAGGTATACAGAGTGTGAGAGAACGAAGAATGTTTTAATAGAGTTAGTAAGGAAGAAAGAAACAAAGCAGCATGTAACAGAAAAAGAGAGAGAAAAGGAAAAGAAAGAAAGGAAAAGTTGTACCTATAAATGATGTGAGTTGGAAAGACGAGATCCAGCTATTCTACTGATTATTTAATAAGTTATAGGTTTCACGCCTAATGCTTTCTTTATCGCACAGAACACGAGCTAAGTGGGATATGGTTGAGTTTTTGTACTCGCTAGTGCGAGCATATAGTTTCCTATATGGGCTTCTGGTTTTTCCTGATGAGATACAAGGGGAGAGTTGTGAATGAAGAGTTAGATAGAATGGATTTAGCCCATTTTTAACATGAGTTCAAGTGCCTGTCGACCAGGATATAAACCAGCTGGTTAGGTGGCACATAGCTTACCCTGCTGACAACCTTTACCATCCTGCGTAATAAGGTATAGTCTTTCTTCAGTAGCCCTGGAAAAACTAAGGAGGAACAAAAGAGAATAATAAGCAGGATGCAAGAGTTAACGAATCGTAACAGTAAGGGTTTGGTTAGGTTATTCCAGAATGTCTTAACTTCTTGATGTAGAAAGTAAGACGGAATATTTTCTTAGAAATCATCAAGATATGAGACGATCACGAAAGATCAGCAGATAGAATGACGCCTAGGTATTTAATTTTGCGACTTGGTTTCTATTTCAGTGCCATCTATTTTGCACATCTCGTGAGTGCTAACCAGTTTTTTTTAGGTCAGATTTATGCCTAAGGGTGAAATTGACTGATTGGCATTTGGAGTGGTTTAAGGTTAGACCGTTTTCCTTGGACCACTGGCTGATTTCTGATTAAAAAACCCATTTAGTTTGGCGCAGTCACTTTGACATTTGACAGGCAAAGATACAGTCAGGTCGTCAGCATATTTGACAAAATTAATGTCATTTGAAGATGGTAAGTCATGTAGAGAGAACGGAAGAAAAGAGAAGTGGGGAGAGTACAGCACCTTGGGGGACACCAGCTTCAGTGAGCACAACAGAGGAGGATTTGCCTTTGTATACGGTGTACTGCATTCTGTTAGAGAAGTAGGAATACAAGCAGTTAGTGACCCAGGACTCAGTTTGTGTCATAGAGAGCTCATTTAGCAAGAGACATCTAGGTGCAGAGTCGAAAACAGAAGTGAAGTCGTCGCACTGTAGGCGCATATAAGTAGGCGTTTCCATCATATCTTTTTATCCATAACTCTTTCATGTATTACGTTTGTGAGGTAGATAACAATGCACATAAATCTACTCGGTCATTCAAGATAATATTTTACTTGAAGATAAAATTCAAACTGTTCAGTTTTTTCTCCATTGTTGTGTTTCTATTTTATTTCAGCTTCCTAAAGTATACTATTGCCCTGCCTGTCAACCCCGATCCTCTGTCACCACCACCGCTGGCACCAGTTTACCTGCTCGCCGGAAACGATTATCCGGTAGTGGAAATGTTAGTCGACTATCCAGTAGGCATTTCCTTGTTAGAACCTCATCTAAACTTCATATACGTAAAAATCTTACTGGTTGTTACCCTGGCAAATTAAGTCAACATTTATCTCGACGTCCAGATAGTTGGACACGTAGACTGCATGCATCACCACGTTTACCTAAATTACAAGCTTATGGTGATCGTAATACGCCTAGTCTGGCTGAGGATGACGACGGCGAGGATGGCTCAGATGATACAAACAATTATGTTGACAATCATCACCACAGACATGTTAAATCTTCGATGAAACAATCTATTCCAATTTTAAAAAATGAATTAATCGATAATTGGGCTGATATATCACAAAGTTCTGAAGAATCTTCATTGAAACATCCTGTTAATTCACCACATGGATCATCATCACACCTAGATGAACCTCCGGTTATTGACGCTTATGAACCTGTTCCAAATAGTAAGTATCTTTGTGTTGTGCGCGTATGTGTTGTTTTATGCGAGTATCCACTTGTAGTTTATTAAATATATGCTTTTTGTTATTTGATGATCTCAGTACGCATGAAGGATTTCATTATGAGCTGACATCAGTTAGAGAACCACTGGAAAAACTGGGAGTACTGAACAGCTGTTTCGTCCTAGTTTGGGACTCTTCATCAGTATACATCCATTGCCAGGGTTCAAACCCAGAACCTTCTGGTTACAAAGCGAGCTAGCTCATAGACCATTAGCCACTCACTAGGACCCGATCCATCGGCCAGTCTATGGATTCTAATTTCCGCCAATTCACGACATAACGCGACCATTTCGCAATGTCTTCTTCGATGAGTTACTGTCTCATCTTCAACCTAGTGTAACCTACTGGTCATTGCTTTCCACTAGGTCACTGCCTGAATAAGGCCAGTCGCAAGTGAGTATCAGATTAGTTTTCAAGTATTGGTTTTCTAGGGATTTTGTTTGATTGGTTGGAGAATTTCATCATGAGCTGACATCATTTAGAGAACCACTGGAAAACCAGCTAGGAGTGCTGGGCAGCTTTTTCTTCCTTATTAGTTTGGCACTCCTCAGCATTACTCACCCACTCGGGCACTATATGTATTGCAAATTAGCAGAAGTTGGGATTCATGGACCATCGGATTGAGTTGCATTGTCTGGATGGTCTACGGGGTCGCTTTGTCACTGGAAGGTCTTGGGTTCGACTCCTGGTGGTGGTTTCTCTAACTGATGTCAACACCGTAACCGATAAAAAATACCAGTAAACTAACACTTGATGAATAATATAATAGTTCAATGAAATGGATAGACTGTGGTATTTCATAGTGAAGCGTTTCATTGTTGTATAGAGTGAATTTTTTCTACAAAATTTTCACACAGAATCTTTGAAAAAGTGATTACTTTTGTGTCTTAATTTTTAAAGTTGGTTAATTATCATCAGCAGTGAACTGGGGTTCGATTCCCGGGCGATGCGCTCCTAAACCTCACTTAGTCAGTAGTAAGCCTGTTTAAGAGTGAAAGTTGGGTGTGATCCTATCAATATCATCTTATAAAAGACAAGATCAACGCTACGGGGACTCCAAAGATGAAGCTTGAAGCCGCATATTCCTACTGGTAATGCAAAGCAATTTAAGTAAATTAATAGTCATCATATTATAAGTAGAAGACTGATGCAAACTTTGAACTTATTCTGTCTTGTTTAAAAACATTTCGAAATTCTTGAGTCAGATGTTCACATAAATGCTGCTCATAAATTAACGTGGGATTTGGAAACAATCTTATGTGTAAATATAAATATCTTATAGTAGCGAAATGCCATGTGTATTACAGGAACGATTTTATTTTCTACTGACGATAGTCTTCTGAACACCTTGATCGGCAGGAATCTTCGAATATTTGGCGTGCTATTCGCTCCCGTCAAATGTAAGATGGTAATACTACAAAACTAGACTACATTGATTCTTAACTTAAAGATAGGCAGTGAAGTGGTTAATGGAGCATGTTGACCACTTCACTTATTTGGGAAGTTGCATCAGCCAACACCAGCGAGTTGATCGCTGACGAAATCTCAGCATGGATAGAGCAGGTTCATTCGGCATTCGCCAACGTACGCCATCTCTGGCGTAAACGTGATATCCGCTTATTGACTAAATGGCGTGTGTACTGTTCAGCAGTCTGCTCTGTTCTCCTTTTTGTCTGTTAGCAAGACATCTCCATTGAGAGTGGAAGATACGAAAAGACTAGCTGTCTTTGATCACAGATGAAGTCAATTGAATATTAGTCTGTCAATGAAGTTATGGATCTACTTCGATTAAGATGGCTAGAACGCGTGTTATGCAAGCCGGATCACTGTCTTCCTTCCTAGACGAGCGATGTTAGCTGACATATGGTTAGCTTGGAAAAGAGTGTAGGCTAACCAAACCAAAGCATGGCAGTAATCCATTGTGATTTTGACAATTGGTTTGAGCCAGCCGCATGGGGAGAGGTGTGAGCTGTCTGGTTAGGTTCCTCGAGATGCTAAGATCTAATGGCTAAGGACTATCAAAGCTGTGGCTCAAAATTGTTGTGATTGGTGCTTATGGTTTCACTTGCTGTGAATACTGACAATGATATATTAATGACTGAAAGAATAAAGAGGACCGTTTGCTAACTGTTTCACAGTAAGTTAGTAGTTTCATACCTAACCCCTTTTCTCGTCACAAAATACCTGCCGAATAAGGTATCATTGAATTTTTATACTTAGTCATCTGAGTATAAAGTATTTTATGCTTTTGCTTCTCTATTCCTACGTGATGAGATGGCAAAGTAGAGAAAGAAAGAAAGAGACAGTTCTGCATACGAAAGATGCTCAGACATCTGAGGAAATGATGGCATTCGCCAATGTCATACTGGCATCGAAAAGTCAAGTTGTACACCTGCTTTCATTACTTGACTATAGTTAGTAAAAAATTATATATATATATATTAATATACATAGAATATTCTAGAATAATCGTGATTAACACTATTGGTGCCTCTAAACACTATCGATTTGTTAAGTAAGATCAGTGGAATTATATACAGTTCAAGTAAGATGCACAAATTATAATAAGTATAAAAATACAATAGCAAATAGAATACCAAATAAAATTAAGGAAATTTCCACAACAAATTGAGGATCATATTAAAACCTTGATGGCCAGTAAGGTAAGGAAAGCGTCTGAACCAACTTCTTGTTTTGGATACATAAGTTAGGTTTCTAAATGTAAATCTCAAAAGCCAGCCTCGGCAATATGTAGTAGACGAACTCTTAAGCCAAAGTTAAGAACAGTTGGTTGGTGTACGGTAGATGACTTTTAATTAAAGCCTCGTTAGCATTAATCTTGTGTTTCGTATCCCGAAGATGAGATAGAGTAGCGCTGTGAATGGATTTTGTTTGTCCACGCAGGATTATGTTCAGAAATCCAACGAGAAATATAATGACTTGTAACACAGGTATATTTTGATTTGACTCTAGTAACTAGTGTGATGTGTCTAGTCCTCTCATTGGTGCAGACTGAATTCTATCAGTCAGGATTCCAATGTGGTCACCACTCTAGGTGGCTCACCATCATGGTGTACATTGATTTGATGATATTAGACAAATGGAGGCAATCGGCCACAGGAAGCCTTGGACCTAGGTTTCGTGCTAGTTGACACTCACCAGTCAACAAGGCGTATCTGCAACCCCGAAGGAACTCATGTCCCTTCTGAGATTCGAACCCGCGTCACCCAATGACTGCTGCAGTCAGCGACGTTACCACTGAGCTATTCGGGCTCGCGATTGACCTTGTTAACGAGTGCACGAAAACTAGGTCAAGGCTTCCTGTGGCCGATTACCTCCAACCATCCAGTATCATCAAATCAATATGCACCGGGATGGCGAGCTAGCTAGAATGGTGGCCACATTACAACCTGACTGATAGAATTCAGTCTGCACCAATGAGAGGACTAGACACATCACACTAGTTACTAGAGTCAAATCGAAGTATCCACTACAGTCCTACAGGAGGTTAATCGCGAGTCTGAATAGCTCAGGTTCCAGATACACCTTGCTGATGAGTGCTTACTAGCACGAAACCTAGGTCCAAGGCTTCCTGTCGATTACCTGAAACCACCTAATATCATCAAACACAGGTATACATATATTAGATTCAACAATCAATTTTATTTATTTTATTTTGTCTTATTTTATCATTATAGATTATGGGAATACAGAGACGATTACTGAAACACCAAAAGGACCGACTGAAGTTCTCCTAGAAGCATTAGATGTAATGAGTAGTGGTGAAATTCATGCAAACAATTCTGTTTAGTTAAAAAAACAAAAAATTATCCTCCGTGGTTTTTCTTTTTTTTAGTTAACTAACATATATACTCCATACTTTTTATTTGTCTCACACGAACATTAATTAATTAACTAGTAATACTGTTTTCACGACTATTAAACTACTACACTTATCGTATATCCAGACTTTAATAAGTCACAGTGACATATATATTTTGTAATATCCTCTCGCCTTTGTTGCATAGAAATTGGAAGTTAGAGAAAGAAAAAGAATTATATATATATTTGAGAATACCACACCATATAGGTAGGCACAAGGTGTAGTGTTTCCAGGAGAAAAGTGTATTTTTTAAAAATCTACTACTATTTTTTGTTGTCATTCATTTTGATCTCTTCTCTTTCGACATCAATCTCTACTTACACACACACACACACACACGCACGCATACACACCCCATTAGTCTACACCGTGTTTCCTTTTTCCCTTTTTTTCAATGTGCGTTTGTGTGTGTGATGTATTCATCTGTGATGACGTGCTGGTTATAGATAGTTGTGTGTGTGTGTCGAGAGGAGGTGGGACAATGTCCGTCCCGAATAGAAGTATTTGTCGTTAAGATAGAAGCGTATTAGGCCTGTCTCCTGATCTTGCCCCATCTCTCTCCCTTCGTGTCGAGTGTATGCACTCTGATGTACTTTTGTTCAAAGAATGTGTGCTACCTATCTTCAGACATTTCTATCACTCAGTATTGTTGTGTTTGGCGTTGTTGACGTTGTTGTCGTCGACGCCATCTTTGTTATTGTTAATAACTATTTTATTACTTGATTATAATTACTTTTTACTGCACATAAAATTACGTTTGTCTACTATGATAATCCCTTGTTTTTGATTACTAATCAATACTTGTCTTCTTGGGTCATCATTCATTCATTACTTAAGGACTGATATATTATTATTACCTTGATCAATACATCTCTCACTAATTTCATTCTTCTCCTCCTTATTATTATTATTACGAAAAGATAGGCAGTGTGTAAACTTCTCCCGAATTCCACGTATATTAATTAATTAGTCCTTAAAAAAATAAAAAGAATAATTTCACAGAACACATCGTTGGTGTCTTATTTTCTTCTTTTCTCCTTTTGTAAACTGCTATTTTCACCTTTGTAAACGAGAGACAATATGTTTTTGCCATGTCATGAACACTGGTTGCTTTATAACTTCTATTTTTCACTATTATTATTAGTAATATATATATATATATATATATATATATATATATATATATATATATATAATGATGTACAATACACATATATACAGTACCTTCAAAAACATAAATACTTTCTCCTCCTCTAGTGTCTTATTCATGTGCTCAGCAACTTGTCTGTGACTTGTTTGCCTTTTGACTTCCATATTTCACTCGAGTTACAAAATGATTTACACAAAGCAGGGAGAACATTTGTGGAAGGAGGATAAAAAGAGGTTATTTTCTGTTGGGTTAATTTTCCCGTGTATTCTTCCCGTTTTGATGGAGTATTATTAATTGATTTGTGGGTTTCTCTTATTTGATTGGAATGTGCTGCGGGCATACGGCAATATAACTGATTACTGATCACTTGAAATTATACCTCCCTCTCACACAGAGATAGGCAAAAATGTCACACTGGGAAAAACTGACAACAGGTACGATAACAGCAGCAACCTCAATAACTTTTATTGGTATCTTATATATTCACAAAACTGTGGAAATTTAAGCCATAATTAAGCAAATCTGATTGGTTGTTTAACTCTAGAAAATTAAGCTGTTAATGAACCAATCAAAACTGTTCAACTTGATTATTCGTGTTAGTACATGGTTAAATCATGACTTCAAGGCTAACAAAGAAGCTTGTCTTTCCTGACAGCACCAGTCATGCAGTGCCATCTTACACTTGACTGGGATGAGGCGTGTACCAAGCATACTCAGTTTTGCGCACAATATAAATAGTATGAGATACGTGGTTTCTGATGATATTGGATAGTTGGAGGTAATCGGCCACAGAAAGACTTGGACCTAGTTTTCGTGCTAGTTAGCACTCGTCAGTGAGGTGTGTCTGCAACGTTGAAGGAACTCATGTCCCTTCTGAGGTCAGTCACGAGCCCGAATAGCTCAGTGGTAACGTCGCTGACTGCAGCAGTCATTGGGTGACGCGGGTTCGAATCTCAGAAGGGACATGAGTTCCTTCGGGGTTGCAGATACGCCTTGTTGACTGGTGAGTGCCAACTAGCACGAAACCTAGTTGGAAGGCTTTCTGCCGATTACCTCCAACCATTCAGTGTCATCAAATCAATGTGCACAGGGATGGCGAGCTACCTAGAATGGTGGCCACATTGGAAACCTGACTGATAGAATTCAGTCTGCACCAATGAGAGGACTAGACACATCGCACTAGTTACTAGTGTCCAATCAAAATACTTGGTTTCTATTGTAAAATGACAAACAACGATGTAAATACGTAAAAGGATTACTTTTAGTGGGTCAAGTTAGTGAACTAAAATCATAATGAACGCAAATGTGAATATTCTAAAAAATAGTTCAGAGATCAAAATTCTGTTATTATTGTTATTCCCTTGGGTTCTGTGTGGAACGTAGGGCTTCGGCAAAACATCTTCACTCTGTTCTGTTTTCTGCTGTCCTGTTCATCTGGCTAGCTCTACGATTGCCCATAATCTCTTATCTACATTGCGCGCGATGTCACCCGACGGCCTTCTCAGCATATCCCCGATCAACCTCCATTTTCTCCCACATATTTGCTGAGCAATTGACTCTCACCCGTTGGTTTGTTCCATTATAGAGTTTCTTGTTGCTAATTGTTTCTCGCCGACTGGCCATTTGATCTTCAGTATGGAGCCAGCCAGTGAAGCTAAGAGCTGTTAATAAGAATCTGTAATCTGTCGAAAACTCTTTTAGTGATACGCAGTGCAAGTTTCTGATCCGTATAGAGGAAGTGATTGACTGACTTCACGTTTGCGTTAAATAGAATCCGAATATTGTTCTTTCTACTGGCTGGCTGAGTGGAAGCAGAAGATTTCCTAACTGGTTTCAGATTGATGAAGGGGTATCTTGTCTTTCCAAGTATGATTGGCCTTGAAACCATTCTTTCCGATTGCTTGTAATTGAAACCGTGCTTAGTGTTAAGATAAGTGGAGAAAGTAACCTCTGTCATCCTCTTTTTTATTTGATGATGATTGGTGCCGGTTGTTGTTGCTGTTGTTTGGTTATCTTCATCGCCTTTACATTCACCTGGAGTCCTGTCTTCGTTGCTTGCTTCTTCAGTCAATTCGTGGGTTTCAGCCTGCTTGAAAGTTTTCGAGTTTGTGTGACATTAAACATAAGTCATCGGCGAAATCCAGATCTTCTGGAATCTTCTTATAGGTTTATAGGTTCAACGTATTCCTGTCTTATCACTCCCAACGCACAATCTGACGCATAATCCAGTCCACTACAATTAAGAATGTTATCGGTGATAATGGGGAGACGGCCTTGTCTTACTCCTGCATTCACTTCAAAGCCTTCGCCGAGTTTTCCGTTGTGGCCCACCTGACGCGTGTCATTGTCATATAGCTGTTGAATGAGTTTGCTAAAGATTTCGGGTGCTACACTGTGTAGTGTTGAAGTGGTTTCCCGATTACTTCTCGATCAACGCTATTGAAGGCCCTTTTTGAAGTCTTATGCAGTTAAGGTTGAGTTTTGACTGCCATCTGATGCTCTTTTCTATGATGATGAATAGAACTGCAATTTGATTAGCACTTCGCTTACCTTTCCTGAATCCAGCTTTTTCCGGCTGGTGGAGTTCTGTATCCAGTGCACCTTTTGTTCTGTCTAGGATGACGTGAAATACTCTTTTACTTGGCGTTGACAAGAGCATGACTCCACGCCAGTTGTTGCAGGGCTCTAAAAATCGCCCTTCTTTGGTAGTTTGACAAGCTAGCCAGCTTTTCTTCCAATCGGTCCGCAGTTTTCCTTCCTTCCAAACCTTTTGTAAAATTGGTGTCAGCGCACATCTGCTGTTGTGCTTCGGTGGGGTGGGGGGGGGAGGGAGAGGAAGTTTTGGTCCTTCTGCCTTGCGATATTATTCTGTGAATGCGATAAGTGTCGATGACGACCGGAATGACAATGACAACAGCGTTTAACAAACAAAACACAGTATATTATACTTTATAAAATCTCATAAGTTCAAGCGATAAATGAACGAATCAAAACTGTCCAATAAGGTTATTCATTTCACTATGTGTACAAATCATAGCTTCACAACTAACAAAGACGCTTGTCTGCCTCAACCCTGCACGATTACTGACAACCTAAGCAATACCAAAATATACAGACTACAAAGAGTATACTTTTCCCTTCTACTTTAAGATTGGTATTCTCCTGCCGCCCAATGTTCCCCAATAACTTTGAAGATAAACTATCCCATTTAACCATTCGTATGCGTATCTACCAATAAACTTGTTCCTATGGAGTGAGATATATAGGTCGTCCGATGAGTGTTTTATCAAAAAAATGAAGGGACATTATCCCGTTTCGCTACAGAAAGGATACTACGGAGTGGTATAACTGAAGAGATTATTTAACAATCCTCACCCAATGAATAGCTAAGGGAAATTCATTCATTCATCTATGTTAACCAGAAAGTCAAAATAACCCTTGTAAAAATGGTATGATTCCGTATATTTGCACTGTTCAGGCGTTAGCCATTCGGATGAAGAACGTTGATATTTCGATACAGAAGTAACTATACCATCCCGTCCTCCGCCTTTGGATTTAACTCGATGCTCAACTATTATCAATATTTTGTCATTTTTCGATATGACCTTTGTTGACATCATTTTCTTAAAAACCTTTTATGCGTCTGTGGCACAGCAGTAGAATGCTCGCCAACCACGCATGTGGTCCGGGGTTCAACTCATTCCTTTAACTCGCTAAACCAGTAATCGAACTGGTAAAGAGGGAAGGTTGGGCATGGGGCTAGCAACTCTATCAGGTAAAAGTAAACACCATTGCTACCGAAACTTCAAGCCTCTAGCTTGAAGCCCTATGTTCCACTGGGAACATAAAGGAATTAAGAAGAAGAAATCACCTCTTGTTCACCTAAAAGTTGGACAGTATATTTTCGTACCTGTCTCTGTGCTGTTTCATTAACAACCAGATTTTCCTGAATATTTTTTCATATCACGTATTCTTTAGTCTACACTTACTAATCTTCACTACCATAGTTACAGTTTGAATAATTTTTATTGGTTATAGAAATTTTGGTGATGCAAAAAATCCTTCAAACTTCTTTATTTTTATGCCATCTTTGATAGACTGGATGTACACAGATATAAAAAAAATAACTGTATGTATATGTGATTATAAAGATGAGTGTGTGAATTTACCGAAAAGTGTCTCTTCGTCGAGCTGTTTGTTGTTATTACCATTTCTGAATGTGCATTTTTAGCGAATTAATATAATCTGAGGTATCAAGTATGCGATGAAATATTTGATTGCATATAAACTCATGAATAATAATTCCCAGACAGACAGACATTCATGAAAACAAAATATGTAGGTCAGAGAAGTGTCTCTTTTCACCGGAGAATCCATTAACTTAGCTGCACAATCTCAATTATATATATATATATATAGGTGAAGAAGCGATCCTGTTGACATTTCAATCACTTATAGTACTGAATGAAGATAGCGCTGAATTACATGAACTGATAGAAGTTATGATTTATGGACCTTCAGATTCTAACCTGTGGTACATGTATTCATAAACTAAGGTGTCATCTTTGTGAAATAGCTACCTGACGATAGATTGATTCAGAGTCTAATAAAAACCGAAACAAAAGTACGTGGTTTTCCGGTTTGATGATATAAAACAAAACAGACTTATACATACATACTGCATACAGACAACCACGAACATCAATTCGACTGGGGCAACCAACGTTCAAATATTAGTCAAAAGGAACACTAATTTTAATTTTTTTTTAAATTTTTTAATTACAGCTTCATTCCACACCGTATTTTTGGTACAAGTATGGAAATTTCAGCATGGATATCGGTATCCCGAATTTTGCAGGCCGACCATAGATATCAGGTGTGCGTTAGCAGGGGATCGAACCTCGGACCATGTGCATGGTCGGTGAGATTCCTAACCACTGTGCCACTAAGAATGCTAGAGAATTTTTAGAAGCCTGGTATTTGAG